AGTTTTTATTTTTATTTTTCATCTGAACAGTAATTTTGACAAGAAATCAGATATACAATTCAACATTCAATAATATAATACATTTTACATGTAACCTCAATTCAACAGGTTTGAAAGTAACGTTAACCCAATCATGATCTATAAACTTTTTTCCGTATTTAATGATTTATTACGGTTTTTAGTTTAAATTCATTTTCTATATCTGTCATGTTCGTATGTTTTATTTTCATCTATATTTATGGTTTTTGTTTTATACACATCTTGTGAAGAAAGAAAAAAACATCTCGTAAGGAAAATTATTTTCTTATTTTTCAACATCGAAATTACAATGTGAGAGCTAATAAGGTACCTGGTAGAAAGTTATTCCATAATAACAGCTTTCCTAAAAACCAGAGTAATAATATTACTTCGTAGGCCCCTTAAGCATTCCTTTGTGTGGATGTGTGCGGGGTATAAATGGAAATAGTATTATTATTATCATTATAATTTTTACTTTTGATTTTTATTTTCACAGAATTACCTGTCTCTCAATGACTTGGATGAAACATTTTATGCGTCTACACTGGACATGTGAAATTAAGCCTTGTTCGGATGTGCAGCGGTACTTCAATGCATCTACATCTTTTATGCTGTACGATGGTCCGATCCCAGCCACCTAGCTGGGACAATAGCGATATTATATAGACAAATTTTGGTTAAATTTATTTAGCCAAGAGTGCTAAATCATGCTATCGCAAATACTTCCCCTTTCTTCTTTCTTTTCATAAACACTGAGCTACCTCTTTCTCTATCTCTCCATCTCTTTCTCTCGTTTCTCTCTATAACTCTCCCTCTTTTCCCCTCTGATTCTCCTTCTCACTTTCTTACTATATGCTTTTGATGTTCTCTATGCAATACGTTCCATATTAAGTAATCTTTTTTTTAATTTGTATATTCTTTTTATACAGTTTTAATATACTGTGTTACATATGCAACGTAATGTAGTACATATATATATATAGCTTCTCCCAATATTTGTATATATTCTCTATTTTTCATTTACATCGCAAATCTTTACGTGTAAGCTAACTATTACAATCGCTAAAAGGGAATCACCCTTTTGTTGTTTATAAGCCTAATAACATTTGGTAGAGAAAAATTACTATGTATTGGATATCGTTTCTTTTATCATAATAGATTAATGTGAAGAACTACTTTAAAATTTACTTTTGTTACTGATGATTTGTCAAAAGATCATGACATTATATTCATGACCAGGCCTATTAAAACCTATTTTTTAAAGAATTTATCGATATCAATTCAATCAATGAAATATTGCATATGCAAAACAGTGATGTTACTGATATTTTATTACGTAATAACAGTTAATAAATAAATAAGAGAAGGTTTTTGTAGCGTACATTTGCATAACCGTAATTGGGGCAATTGGAAAGCTATGTCTGGGAGCCTATATAAATGTACTTGGTGGTTTTTTGTATTGTATTAAAGACTATAACAAATACGCACAACGTGATGTTACTGATAATTTATTACGTAATAATAGTTTATAAAAGATTAAGAGAAGGTTTTTGTAGCGTACATTTGCATAACCGTAATTGGGGCAATTTGAAAGCTATGTCTGGGAGCCTATATAATAAAAACGAAAGTATGACTTCTATGTGAAAAGGACCTTGTGTGATGATATCTAGTTACAATATATATCAATAACTTGGTATTGCACGGGTAAAACTTCTCAATTACCCCTGTCTCGGCTTTCACATTACACTATAAACTAACAGGATGTCTGAAACGCGGGCAAATAAATACATATATTAGAAGCGAAAAGATAGAAAGTGTTGTTTTTTATTCACCATTTGTTGGATGGAACACTCTTGTCAGCATGATCGCTGTTTTTCATTGGGGTCTATAAAGAGATAAAGGTTGAGGAGGAGAGACAGAGAGAGAGAGAGATAAAGGATATGGATGTAGAACACTAAGTCTTGTTCTAATTTTTGTTTTAAGTTTAGCATTTAACAATAATGTTATGTATCCAGGGGGTGTTTCACAAAGATCCTAAGTCGAACTTAACTCTAAGTTGGACTAAAACATTATGGAGAGCCATTTGTAGCCTTAAAATAAATATATTCAAAAGCAAAAATTCAAGTATTTTAGACTTTTTATAAATTTCACATCAAAAACATGAAATCTCCATGACAATAGAAAATATGATTGATTTGAATTAGCATTGTATGCCTTTTAAAATAACTTTTACAGATATTTTCAAAGATGCTAACGGCTTTCTATCATTGTTAAGTCCAACTTAGAGATAAGTTCAACTTAGTATCTTTGTAAAAGACCCCCAGGTCAATCTTTATTTAGTTATTTTTGTTATTTTATAAGTTGAGTAATTTGGTATATTCAATTCAATATCAAGATCCGATCATTTGAATTCACGATAGTTGTAATCGCCACGGCAAAATATAATACGAAATCATTTTTAGATTCGTCATTAATGCAACAAGCTCTTGAAACAAGTCATGTCAATTAAAATATGGAGCAAGCGATTAGGGAAAGGTCATTCAGTTGCATTTTCTCTCGTTCAAATTTGGTATCACCTGAGTTTGGATGAAGAACATGCAATTTAAGGGATGAACATTCGACATACTTTCCCCTCGTTCGAATTCATTTTCCTTCAAACAAAATTTTCAGACGAGGCAGTCACATTTAAACTGGGAATTTAAAATACGTCTTGAATCCTCTTGATATATATGCAAAATCACCAATCCTGTAAACTGTTGTATTATTGATATTTATTGATAGTTTGATATTGTTTTCGCGTGTTTGTTTTATATTTTTGAAGCTAAAAAAGGATGTAATTACATAAGTTTGTGTCCGCTTGTTCTTCTCTCTACACATTCAACAATGAATGAGAAATCATTGAAAGGGACAGCGAACAGTTGCTGTGATACCATTTTCTGATGTAGGAATTCTAAATCCTGAAATTTCACGGGCTCTTTTATCTCACCACCTGGTCTACAGTTGCAGATTAGCGTATAACTTTTCGGCGGCTTGGAGCATGGGGTCAAAGGAGAGCGGCTTGATTCCAGTCCCTCTCTATCAAGTCCCTGGTCAAATAAAAGAAGAGGGGGATCTAAGCTTTACAAATATGTGTCATTTATTAATTATGATAAAACATCGATAATTCTCGGTTTCATTTTTCCGGGATCCACTGTATTGGCGTCCTAATTTAAGGATCATGCCCTCTTCGACTGGCAATGAATAAGTCGGGGAAAGTCGCATTGCGTTGATATGGAGGAGATCAAAATCAAATCGGCAAGATTCGGAACTAACCCCACATAAGCAACCATACCAGCCATATAAACGCGCGCACACACACACACTCTCTCTCTCTCTCTCTCTCTCTCTCAATCTCTCTCTCTTTCTCTTTCTCTCTCTCTCTTCTTTGTTTCCCTCCCTCTCCCCTCTCTCTTTCTCTCTCTCTCTCTCTCTCTCTCTCTCTCGCTCCCCCTCTCTCTCTCTCTCTCTCTTTCTCTTACTCTCCATCCATCTTGCTTGACATGAAAGTCTAGAGCTAATGATAGAATGATAGATGGGTTTCATATCTATCGCTTTTACAATAATAATGACTCATACGCAGATCCTGAAAACTTAAATTGTCATAAACATCATACGTACCTCATCATATCAAAGTTTGAGAAGATATATCATCTTTAGTTTCTATTTGTGGCAATGGGCGTGGCTTTCACAAGACAAACGAGTCAAGATCAGCTGTGAGCCAATCATTTGATCATTACTAGCCACGTTAATGGCATTTCATTTGGTTACAATTGTTTGTAGTCATTCGATCGGCTCATTCAGCGCTGTCAGTGTTCTTCCGATAGTATATCACTGTACCTCAAGACTGCTGTCGGGTGCATCATCAAAGATCGGGCAACAACTACACCGTGACATAGAACATGCTACTTCATTTTGATTAGTAGTGTCAATGGATGTAAAGCAAGAAGATTTGCTGATACTCGCAGTGCACTGGTGCCTTGATATTATCAAAGGAGATTGATAGCTGTTGAATCCTTCATTTCGTTGCCTTTCACGATTAGAAATGGCTTCTGTATTTGTATTTCTCACCAAGCTCGTTCTGATTTTCGTCATCCACAAAACAGGTTAGTAATTTATCAAATCATTTTATGTATAAAATACGATGGGACACTTTGTAAGGCTTATACACTTACATTAGATTTTTAATTTTTAAGTATAATTTTAATTCTCTCTGCCATAATTATATTAGTTTTATTGCGGACGGTATCACGAACATATAGTCCTTTATATCTTGAAGTTTAAGCCGAATGTTGTTTATGTTAAAGTGTAAATGGTCAGTGATTATGTCGATTCACTGATTAAGTCCTTTATAAATGTCACGGATGTAAAATATGCTACGATACCGACATTTAGAATTTATTTTTAATGGTTAGATTATTCACAATCATTTTAACAACAAAAGTGGACACCTTTTGTTTTATAGATAGTCATCTGAAAGTTAAACAAAACATTGAATGGTATTTCAGATGAAAGTATGCAATACTCTATCTGGAATCCGCACAAAAGTTTATCATATTAAGCTATATTTAGTTTTGTGGGTTTTAAGCTTAACAAACGAAAGGATTTTTTTTTAGTCAACATTATATATTTATTATGTTGATGTCATTTTTCCTTTAATGTCATTAGGAATGTGACCGGAGATTATCTAATCGTACAGCAATAATATAGGACTTATAACATGAACACATACTTTTAAATTTTCGTTTGTGGCGTGACTCTATCCTTGTCTAATTCAAAGCTTATTGTTGTTCCTATTTATCATTTTTTCTACACAGTTGATGCCACTCTTAACTGTGAAGTGAATGAAACCATGGGAATCATTCTTCCTCCAAACCAGTCCCAATCTTCGAACGTCAACTGTCAAAGTGAACCATTTATAACGAATGTTGCATGGTACCTGATCCTGAAAGGCTTTTCGAAACCTCTTGAGGACAAGCAGTGGACTGCTTTCAACTGTACCGAAGGCAAATCTAATGTTAGTGACAGCATCTTTTGTGTTCACGGTAAGTAGCGAAGTGTGTGGTTATTAAGTATTTCAATCACATGCTATCATCTTTTGTACGACAACTCATTGTGTTGAATATGTTGCTCTTCCGGTGTGAAGATTTGTTTCAACTGCAATGTACTTTATTTTATTTCTTCAAATCAGGATTTTTTAATTAAAGAGTACTCTTAAATAAGTGAGTTACAATTGTTTCCCTGAACATACTTTTTACAAATAAAGATTTTACATTCTCAGTTATGATTTCCCTCATTTAAAAGTAAATGTTTTTTGATTGAATTTAAAAGTCTTTCCAACGAAAGTTTAGTTCATGGTACATACGAGTTCGCCTTGTTGTCACATTATAAAGAAAATGGCTTCGCCTATAACATATGCCATGCTGAAAGGCATTACATTATGCAAAGAATATATTCATTAATTTATCTCTTTTACAATTTTACAAATATTGAACATCAATAGGCAGGAATAAATGTCATCTTTCGGCACACTTAATCTTGATCTTTGGGTAACTGAGGTTTCCTTTAATCTTGTGTCTCATTTTTAGGTCCTGTTGGCCCGCCAACAATTTCTGGCGAAGATAATTTGGTAGCTGGGAGACCTACCAACCTGACATGCACAATCTACAACGTCTACCCAGAACCGAACATTGAATGGTTTCTCCATGGAGTAGGCCAATGGTTTCTCGGACCTGATGAGAACATCACAATGAACGCGTCTCTTCACACTACATTGGATAACAGTTCAAGTCTATTCAACGCAACCAGTTCGCTTTCGTTCACTCCACGGTCGCAGGATAATGGACAGAATCTGACATGCAATGTATTTCCATCCGTGGCAAATGTTTGGACACCAAAAAATGCATCTATTCAACTGCGTGTCTCGAGTAAGTATTTTTCAAGCCTAAATGTATGAGCAATTTCTTTTTAGTTGAGTATATTATAGTATATAGTAGCCTCCCCCCCCCCCCTCTACGGTTTACCTTCAATGTGTTGATTTAAGTGTTATCTACAGTAATATGCACCATCCTCAGTTGTGAGGTATCCTGTAAGAATGATCAAAATGAGTTTCATGATAACATGGAATTAAATGTAATAGGATATGTTAAATTGTGTAAAGGCATTGCAAAAAACATCGTCAATCTGGTATCACCCAGGGATCTTTATATTATAATGATCTTTCTTTAAGACGACTCTGGCCAATCTGACGAAATAAGGGTGGAAAGTGCAACCTCGTCCTCTCTCTTCATTTCCTGGGATCTTAAGCGTGACAACATAACACTGAGATACTGTCTAAACAGCACTATGGACTCTGACAATGTGACGACATCGAAAAATCTGACCTGCCCAGACTACAGGGAGGTAACTGATGACCTTAATGGAACCAGTTACAACCTGACAGGATTGGATCCATTTCAGTGGTATAACGTGACTTTGCTTGTTGGTGGAAATGTGGTTGCCTTTAATATATCTTCAACTGCTCGTAAGTATAGATTGCTCTGAACTTGTTTAAATTTCGTCATTATTTTTTTAATGTTACATTCAGCAAAATTCAAGTTTAACTATATAGTAATGAAATCAGAATCTGAATGTCAACAAATTCTCGTGTTCTCGTAGGACATAACAAACAAAAATAATTATAGAGAGATATATTTGTGGTCATAGGTTAAACCCAGGAGCTCTGAAGAGTTCCTTTCCACGTACAATCTATACAGGAGAGAACGATTAGAGGCTCCATAACATCACTAATCAATCTGAAGCAACTTCCGCTGCCGTAACTATATACAACACAAGTATATCTGCTCGCCATGGTTCAACCAACAAAATGGTTCTCGATAATTTAAATAATTTCGTCTAGAGTTTGGTTATACTCAAATTCAAGCTAGGTGGTACTTTATGTTCTTCTCTTCTATTTCACTTCAAAATGTAATCCGATGTTTTTTTTTCGAGAAGGATTTCGAATAGGCCTACAATGCAATTACTATTATGCTTGTCTGATTGTTTTGAATGTGAGATCTTTGTCTCTCTGGTTCTCTTTCTCTACCTTTCTATCATTATGTTTATCTTTCTATTTATTTACTTAGCTAATGTTATCTGTTTATTTTTCATGTTCAATCCCCCTCCCCCTGTTTTTTTGTTTTCTCTCTCTCTCCAATGCCATGAGTATCTCGAACATTTCTAATACATTTGGTTCTTGATTTTGAATCACGATATTTTAACCCATTGTCTTCATCTTAGTCACATAAAGATATTCAAACATTTATTAAATGAGCTAAAAAAGCAGAAACCCTCTTGATTTATAATCCATTTGCCTGTAGAAGTTGTTTTAATATATTTCTTTTAATCTTTCATGTCTCATTTTCAGCACCCTTACCGGAATATTATGGTAAGTTATTTCCTTGTTATTTTAACCGCTAACAATGTTTTCACTGCTTGCTTGTAGCTATATTAAGTAATTGCTTGAATTTCCAAGGTTCCGTTTGAAAACAAATTTTTGTTCTGGTCATGCAATTTCATTGCAAACGAAACTATAAACAGATTATTGAGAAAGATTTATGAGCTAATACATACCTGTGAGCATAATTTGTCTTTGTTTAGGAGATCATTAGAATGTTAACAACATGTCTCAGTCGTGCTTAAAATCGCATGCATTGAAAAAAACACTGATCACAAATGGTACTACACATGTGGTATATGATACTAGCTATGTGGCTTCAAAACATTTTTCACAATTTGTTGAACTTTCTCTCGTTATATTTAGGCTTAATGAAATATAATTGTGAATATGCGTACTCCACATAAAATGGTGTCATCAAGTCAACTCAAGTCAAGACAACTTCCAATTTTCAAAGCTTTCGATTTCGAGTATTCAGAGAGCTGTTACTCCTCTAAGTCAGACAGACACTAAAATAGCAGTTGATTTCATCGTTTTCTATTGCTTATTTCCGTTTATATATTTAGTTCATATATTTCCTTGATCACTTCCGAAAGGGTCTTGCACTCGGGTTTTGGTCACTGTGCCGGGTTCAAACTAATGTAGTGTATTGTAATGGCACTGTCTTTCAATTGATTTTCATAATTCTTAAACCCCCTGCACACTAAACAATCTGTCTACGATTCGATAAAGGAAAAAATTGCTATGGTATTTGTATTAACATTCAAACTTCATTTAATTCTTAATGATCATTGATTTGAAAATTCATATAAATAATAATATTACGATTTCAATAGATTTCACGCTTACTAAAGTTTAGTTTGTCTGAACGGGGTATAAGAAATGTGGACAAACTCTATGGTTTATAATAGCTCCATTTACATTGCGCATGTATCCATCCTTGATGATGCTCAATGCTCTTACAAAGTAGTACTATTATCCTGGCTTTAGCCCAGCTGCTCTGAGTGACTAAAAGCATTCAAGGAAAATATTGCTAACAAGTACCCGTTTACTACACCTGGATGGGGAGAGGAAAATGTAGTCTTGTCAAAGGACATTAGTGCCGCGGGGGACTTGAACCGCGAACCATGCGATCCACAATTTGGTGACGTGTGCGCTAGACCACGACACCATAATACGTCACTGCATCTTTTATAATATCAGGCATATCTCTTGGGGAACAAAAGTTGTTAAAATGGAAACCAAAATTATTGTCCATCTGGAAGTTGAGAAGAATGACATAGCTATAATACTACGAATTGGGCATGAAAAATTTTAGTTCCAAAGTAAAGTTTGTTTAAATAACTAAAATAAGAATCCCTTTTTGTCCTTTTCAGATGTAATCTATTTGATCATAACACACATTCAACAACAACAATAAATATACATAAATACATAATTTATATAAGATTCACTTTACTTTGAGAAACGTATCAATCAGTTAAAAATTTGAATAGTATTTCAAAATGCGATTTTATCCAAATGTATATAGTTTGTTTTTTAAACGTGCCATATCGAACAACTTTTGTCACAGACAGTTGTTTTTCCCTTAAAACTAGATCAGCATAAAATTATTGCGTATCGTGCATTTGTGATTACTGCGTTTATATCATTAGGAATAAGAATCCAGGTAGTATCCTTTGCAAGTGTGTATTTTTTGTTTCTGTCTCTTAAACAATCCTTTACTTCATAACGTGTATTATTGGGTGTGGAATGAGAGTGGGTTGGTGTTGTCGCGGTAAGGGTGTATGTGCGTGTGCGTGTATTTATCGTTCTCTCCTTCTCCCTCTCTCCCCTTCTCCCTCTATCTCTCCTTCTCCCTCTCTCTCTCTCTCTCCTTCTCTCTCTCTCTCCCTCTCTCGATCTCTCCCTCTCTCTTATTTCTTTTCTGATTATTTCCACTTCCTCTGTCAATTCTATTTAATTCCCTTCTCATTTAATGTAGGTGTTTTCATGACATACACTCCACAAAAAGAAAAGTTGAAGATTACAAAGCTGCCATATATGAACAGGACGGTTCCTTCAGATCTCTGCTTCGTCGTTATTCAAACACGAGACCAAATCAGACACAACTGCTCAAATGGCTGCTGTAAACCTGGATCGACCTTTTCGATAGCAGACATCACAGGCTACGGGCTAATCAGCAGTGGTCGACTACTCCGTAGTCTACCATCTCCACCAGTCAGTAAGTATTGACTCACAAATCAACATTTTTCTGACGCATTCCTGCGTCAACGTCAGTGTCATTTTGTTGATGTAGGCCTACGAACGTGAGTGGTACGGTCTTTACCGCACCAAGGTGTGAGAGTGAGATTGCATACAAAGTGAATATGACATGAATCGTAGACTGGTCGAGGATTCTGCAGTAGACCGTCTCACCCAGTCCGTAAGTACTGACGCACACAAGTCGTAATTTTGCTGACATAGGACTGTGTCTGCGACTGGAGCGGACTTTCAATCATGCGCCATGTCAGATCAAGATCGTAATACCATTTGAGCAGGTTAGGGGTAGGAATATTTGGAGCTATTTCACACCACAGATGCAGAAAACAAGAGAAACAGAGCAACAAAAATTGAGGTAAAATCGAATAACTAATATGGAAGTTATGAATTTTTGAAAAAAGTATGACAAAGTTTGGAACAATGGAAATCACTATTTACACAAATTGCCAATTTGGTTATCAGTTTGTGACGTCATTGCCTCACTATTTATTAATTGCTTTATATATTATTATCCCATTAATTTCACTGTTTCAGAAACTTAATTTCCCCTTGCCTCTGCCCAGGTTATATGTTTTTTATCAAAATTACGTGCATGACATTTCACAAAATCTTTCAGGAACTTTGAAGAATTGATCCTATTTTTGGATATTGTTTGTTTATAATCATTGATTTTTGTGTAAATAGTTTATCGAAATTCACACTGTTCATGATCTACCTGAAAAAATTACTCAATAATAGTGCATCCATACAAACAAATATTACTATCAATATAACTTGGATGCTGGTGTGAGGAAATAAGATTTTATGGGGGAAATGGGAAATTTATAGTATTAATATAAAGAAAACAATTAATGAATAGCATAAGGCAATTACGTCACAGACTCATGAGTGATTGTCTATTTGTCTCGTGAATTTCAAAGTTTTCATGCATTAAAAATTCATAACTTTCTTATTAGTTATCCGATTTTGCTCAAACTTTTTTGATTAGTTTTCTAATTTTTCTGCTTCTTTTGAAAATAAGTGATTAATTGGAGTGGACTTGCCCTTTAAGTATTTCAAGTGCCATTCTATGTTTGCGAAAGTTACTTTTGATCTTAGCTTATAATTACACATCGAAACAAATATAGTTTACACTATTGTCCTTATAACAGCATTACAATTCCAAACAATGGTATACGAGACCCCGTCGAAGTCTGTGTGAAGAGAGCTTTCAACAATCGAGGGATGAGGAAACTAATTAAGTACTTAAAATCTGACATAGTTATGTTGATAGAAAGTCATTGTCATTGTTTATTTCAAGTTCTCTACTTATGTTTAAGATTGATATTTGTAATAAGGTTTTAAAAATAGAGACGTAATTATACTTGTGTATCGTAAAACATAAGCTTAAGATGTGTTTGACAATTATTGTTCACATCTTGAAATATAATGTACATAAATACATAACATTATTCTCGTGTATTGCTATAAGGCTTTATTCATCACACATCTCAATGGTCGTTGTCTCATATACATCTTAAAGAAGTGAGATTGAAAAATTATCCCGGAAAAGTGCCCTGAAAATCATCCCAAATACCTTGACAACGATAGAGTAAATGAATTTAAGGAGTGAATGTCCGGGCTAAATTGCCCCAAGAAAGTTGTCCTAAAGAATAGTCGTCCGGTCTTATAGTTTTTTGCGAAAGTTGTCTTACGGCGTAGTTTTTTAGGATCAAGCTGTCTTAGGTGATAATTTCCCGGGGTTATTGGCTTGAGGTAGATTTCCTAAGGCGAAGTTGTAAGGAGGAAACTGTCCTAGGTGATAATTTTCCGGGGTTGTTGGCTTGAGGTAGTAATAAGACGTAGTTGTAAGGAGGGAGCTTTCCAAGGGCGCAGTACTGCTGTCCATGGTTGTTGTTCAGAGGTGCAGTTGTCGGAAGGAAACTGTCCTGAGGGATAAGCTGTCTTGGGTTATAGTAACGATGCTATAGTTGTCCTAAGGCCTGGTAGTCAGTAATAATCTTTCCTATGGGGTTGTTCTCCTGACGTTGTTGTCCAAGGTATAGTCATTTGGGGGTAGCTAATTTGACCAGGGTAGTGTACAAGAATCTAGACCTCTGTCATTATCATTTTTATCACAATTTTTTTTTGTATCGGGGATGCAGCCTTGTACCGGTTTCTGAAATATTTTGCTGCCTCACATGTTATGTTTGGATTACTGAGTGACTAACAAAATTTATATACAAATACAAAATACAGAATCGTTATATTTGGATAGTGAAAAATGCTGATATGTATTTTGAGAAAACTACGTCAGAAAACCTAAGTGAAGAATGACACATTGTATATCTAGTCTTGCTTATCATATTTTTCCTAAGATAACACTTTTCGGAGTATCTATAATTATGACAAGAATGAAATAAATTGAAAACAAGAAAATGAGAGACGTCAGAAAATCAGACAGTTTGAATTGTGTGGGTTCAATGTTACCGATCGAATACCAGGAAGGAAATACAATGTTTAAGTAGGTTTATTTTTTTTGACAATAAAAACACGGAATTTGATACAACACAAGCATAAAGGTATTATTTTTCCGTTTTACGTATTTGATCAAAGTTCACTGTATTATTTCTGTCTTCATGATTCATCAAAGTCTTTCTATATTTTGTATAGTGGATATTTTTCGTTTGTTCTTTTGTTTTCTTTTAGTTTTTCTTTTGATTTTCTGTTCTAGTTATCGTCTCTCTCTCTCTCTCTGTATCTCATTATCATTAAATATCTCTCTACCTCCTCTTTCTTTATATCTCTCTTCCTCTCTTTCTCTCTGTCTATCTATATTTATCTATCTCGTTCCTCTCTCCCTAACCCTTCTCTCTCTCTCTCTCTTTCTCTCTATCTCCATCCATCCATCTATCATGATTATGCATCTTCCCCCTTCTTTCTCTCTCTCTCTGACTCTATTTCTCCCTGTGGTTCTTAATTATCCCTCTGGCTCTCTGTTTCCATAACCAATGACACAGATGCAATAATTCCTCGTCACAGAGTATATTTATCGCCAATCTAAATTAAAATCGGATTACGTAATGCATCATTGCGATGTAGGCAAATGTCAAAATGTGATGCTCAAAGCTACTGAAATAGGATGTGTTTTTTTAACTCTTTATCATAGTGTTCGAAGTTGCAATCATACAATTGAAAACACCTTTTCGTCTTTATTCTTTATTGTCTCTACAATATATATTTCCAACTTTTATTTCAATTTGTCTAGTTCTGAACTCCACCCGTGGTATATTGGATATGCCTCACGTCAGCATCGTCATGGGGGCAGTTTTGGGAGCAGCAGTCTTCATTCTCCTTTCTTCTGTTGCCCTCCTCCTCTTCCTGAATTTCATCTGTAAAGGCATCGCTTGTCTGGGAAAGAAAGGTAAATGAAAACCTTATTCTGTGTAAATCGTTTCTCTTCATGCTTTTGCATCAATCCCACATAAAAGAGAGATGGTAATAAGGAGCGTCAGTCGTTGAACTGTTACGTAAATAATTTCTCTCACCCAATTTTTTGTTTCTTTTTGTTCGTATTTTGTCATTAACCAACGAAAGCTGTTGATGCTACATATCGAGGACGAAATTGCTCACTTATACAGGCGCAGGCGCGTATGCAGGTGAGTTGGGGGGGGGTTAATCCCCCCCCCCAAAAAAAAATGACTACTCCCTAGCCTTATTATTATCATCATAATTTCTCTTTTGGATAGGTGGATACGAAGAAGATGATGAAACTCTGGTGCGAGTAATCCATAAAGACAACTCTCGAAAGGTAAAGAATAAATTTAAAGAAAAAACAGCTAAACCTCAAATTATATTCTCATTATGAATGTCCATTTAACCAGTAGCCGAGATGTGGCCCTTCTCATATTTAGAGCATTTGATTTGTTTATCTTGAAGCTTATCTCAATGCATCTTTATTTGACACCTTTTAATTTGCCTTCAATAAATACTGCTCATAATTATACGATTTTAACATGTTATACTTACTAATTACGATGCCACTTTAACTTCTGGTCAAATCCAAGCATTACATTACATTACCAGAGAAATTCGAATTTTGAAAATAGAATAATAGACATTAATTATAAAACTTCAAATTAATGACATTCTTTACAATAATACGAGTTACTTTCACAAAAGTTTAGTTTCCCATCAACCGTTCGTCAAATTAATAAAACATTAAATTTTGAATAGCTTTGTTACGGAATCCCCAATGATTACTTTCTATGTCATTCGGCCTAAGTAAAAGTTCAATATTTCATAAATTTGACGATTGATTGATAGGAAACTTAAAATGCCCTAATATAACTTAATAATCATATTAGTAATTTGCAGATTTCTATTGAAATGTATATACATGTAATAATCTTTTGTAAAAATTGAAAATTCTCTGGGAATTTCACTCAAAACGCTTGGAATTTGCCTTCTTCGTTTATGCACACAAAGAACATTTCTTTTGTCTATAAGCCGTTTACCCATAGCAATGTAGAGTGGCAGTCATTCAATAAATCAAGATCATGGAAGAAAATTACTGCTCAATATTGCTTTATAAATCCAACAGATCTACACCCTTTCTAAGTATTATTATCTACCACACTGACATTTGGTTTTGAGTGATCGCTCAAGAGCGATTAATCAAGCTATAACACTTGATGACTGACACTGATCATAAATACAGCATTATAATTATAATAAACAATATTCACTCACAATGCTGTATAAACTTTCTCCTACTTTGTATACTTTTAAAACGGCTTTGTGGTTGACACTTTTATGTACTCATTATTAAGTTACAATAACCACTGAAACATGAGCTTGACTGAGTTATTATTACTGATTTGTGTTGACCAATCAAACATTGCACGCACTTATTCCAGAATAAACAAACTTAATTTATCATGAGGAGAAACGAAGAGTACTGATATTGAAAGTAATGGACAGTATAATGTATCGTTGATTGTACAACGAAAACAACTTCGTTTGAAAGAATCATGTTGTATACATGATTATGTTCGATGCTGCTTGTACGTATCGGCTTGCATGGTGATGTAGATGTACAGTAGGACTCCTCAATCCTCCCTCTCTCTCTCACATGGTGCACCCGCAAGCCTACTGTATATGATTATGTTCATGCAACACACTATTATCCTGCATGTCACGAAGAGAAGTCATGATCAAGGGTGTGTATAAATCGTTGAATATAGTTGTTTGATGAAATATTGTATGCCTACATCGACATTGTTTTAAAAGTGTGTAAACAACACTTTTATTTTCTTTCAATATAATGACAGGTGGATAAGGACGGGTTGGTGTACGTAGATATAGTGCATGACCACGCCCATCCCGATGATGCCCCGCCCATAAGAACGGAAGAGCCCACGGTGTATGCCTCACTAGACAGGAACGCCATGGGATCCCGCAAGAAGGATGACGATGGGTTGGTCTATATCGAAGTTTCACACGACAACGCCCATCCACCTGATGCCCCTCCCATTCAGACGGAGAAGCCGACTGTCTACGCCTCTCTCGATATGGAAGCCATGGCAACCGGCAAGGAAAAGGAGGAGAAAGGGGAAGAGGGAGGAGTCAAGGATGAGGAAGATGGTGTGGAAAATGAGATAGAGGATGTCAAGGAGGAAAAGGATGGTACTAAAGAGGATAAAGAGGGTGTTATGGGGGAGACGGATGGGGTTGAAGAGAAAAAAGAGGATGATAAGAAGGCTCCTGAAGACCAGTCCCCAGCTACCACTAATCAACCGAACTATGAAAACATCACTTTGTTATCTAATGATGACGGACTAGCAATACCTATGGAGACAAGGCTTTAAATATTTGCTTTTACCATATGCTTTGACGTCGAATGCTTCCGGGCTTTATTTATAGGCCCGTATTCCACTAGAAATTAAACTTGAACCCGGGTCCATATACCCCCGTCACACCATACACAGACCGACCACTAAAATACATTACCCCTCTGGTTTAAAAAAAAAACGGTTTAGAGTTGGTTTGGCGGTGTGACTTAGGTTTTAAGCGTTTTGTCAAAAATCTGGTTTCAACATAAAAGTTTCAGGTCTACGTTTTCCTTTCCTGCACAACTAAGACGTTCAATATTTAACGCGATTCCTCACCCGTTTTTTGTTTTTCTACTCTGTAATTATACAATAATTGAAAATGCTTTGTTTTGTATTGCATTGTTTGTTTTTTTTTGATTTCATCGTATACTTGAATATTGTACATGTTCATTATTTTTTATCAAGCGAATAAACTTTGAATGTTGAACTTAATTGTTAAACGCGGTGTTAGACCCAGCTAGGTTGTAATTTAGTTTAAGGTTAGGTTTATATAGGTGTACGGTTGGGTGTTTGCTTCAGGGTTCAAGTTAAGAATTCGGTTAGAGTATAGGATATTGATCGCCGGAGCGTGTGTGAGCCCCACTCCAAACCGACCGATTTTAAACATAATGTATTTTCTGTCAGTTTGTTGAGGTCTTGCTTTTACTGATGGCTGTATATATTGCTGTATCGTAAAATTAATTTAATATTAGTTTTATGTAAGCATCAATGTTTTGATTGAGTTTTGGAAATAACAATTATTTTGATTGAATTGATCGAAAAGAATCTATTAAGAAATTAAAGTGTAAAAATTGCATATCCAAGAAGATATCGCTTCTCACATGCTGAAAACGCAAGTTTAGAAATCATAAAGTAATTTGAAGATGAATACAATTAAAGTTGATTACTGTAGTGGTTGTATCTATTTGTGAAGAAAGTATATGTATATCCTATTATGCTCTTAGTAAAGTTCAGATTAGGTTTCTATGATTATAGTATAGAATAATAATGAAACTTTGTATATAATCCTATATGGAACAATATTGTATATTATGCTAGATGATTAGTTTAGTATATAGGTAAATGTTAACTTTTAAGTATGTCTAAATACTGTGTTATCAAAAACTATCAGCACTTTTAGTTAGATATTGTCGTTTCAACATGCATTGGTAACTATCTTGGATCGACCATTACTAGTAATAAAGAATGGTTGATTGAGTACGATTGGGAGTAAGAACAATGTGACTGGTGATTGTGTATGTGAAAACACCGTGGTCTTTGGGCACATCACGGTCGTGTTTACTCCCCAATGAGTTGGATAATGTCGGTTTGGTAGACCTTCTGACATCATCAGTTAACGATTCACAAGACCGACAGCTCACCAGACAGACAATGTCGATCTCGTTACCCCCCCCCCCCCCCCCCCTCGACGACTTTTTTGTAGTTGCACTATTATATTTACACGGACAGCTCACTACACACACAATGACGGTCTTGAAGGCCTTCCCATAGGCTATTTTTTCAAGTTCCATCAGACCGAGAGCCCACTATACCGATATTCTTCCCGGCCTTACGAATTTCTTTGTTTTGTTGGTATAGACCGTCGCTCGCGTGGTTTATCGGTCTCGTGGACCTTTATCACATTAATGCAATGTACTGCAATTTTTTCTCAGGTTGTACAATTTAAAAATGATTTATAACTGAAAATAGGGTGTTTATATATACGTTTTTTATGTTTTTATTTTTACCTCTCTGTTTCTCTGTTATTCTGTCTCTCATATCCTCCATCTCTCTCTCTCTCTCTCTCTCTCTCTCTCTCTTTCTCTCGGCTGTCGCCTTTTTCTCGCTGTATCTTTATTTCCCACTTTCCCTCTCTTTCTCGCCTCCCCTCTCTCTCGCTCTCTCTCTCTCTCTCTCTCTCTCTCTCTCACAAGGTCCATGCTCTCACTCTCTCTCTCTCTATCTCAGTCTCTTACACACTTACACCGACTGTTTCTTTCTCTCTGTCGTTAGTCTTTCCTGGTATCTCCTCATTATTTTCTTTCTCTCTGTCTATTTTTTTTTTTTCTTCGTTCTTATTTCTTTCTTTTGATATTTGCCCCTCCGCCATGTTCCCCCCCCCCCCCTTTCGTTTTTTTGATCTCATATACTGTATGATAATGTGTGTTATATGACTATGTATATAATTATGTGGGATCGATATAGGAAGCTATAAGTACACGTACGTGAGGTTGTTCAATTGTCTTCCCTATTTACCATTCGTACAATAAAATGTGTTATTACCAAATTAGAAAAGTATTATTTTCTATTCGGAAGTAATTAACGGGTAACAAGGTTGAAACTGAATCCACATTAACGAGCCAAATGCAGCCGGGAAAATACCGAGCAATCTATTTCTCAGAGAACCATCTAGTAATCATTGTTATTCCATGTAAATTTTCAGAATTAATCTTGGTTTCTATCATGTGGTACAAAAATCAAGCGCCCATGCAGTCAGGGGCGTCGCTAGACCTTTTTCAGTGAGGGGGGGGGGGATGTAGAGGCCAACGATTATCGACAAAACTAGCCACTAATTACCGACAAACTTATACAAATGCCAATGTGCCAATTATGTCTACAAATGTAACCCTATAAATCCGGGGCACCCCGGGCACGTACCCGAGGACATACAATGATGTGCTCAGATCACTTTTTCTTCGCCCCTCCTCTACACCTTTTAATCAAATTCTACCGACAAAAATCCATAAATTCTGGTTGCCATGCCAACCATAAATGGACGACCAATCTATATTAGTCAAATTTCGTTTTTCTATTACATGTGCCATTTGAGTTAACAATAAAGTGTAAGTGATTTAAGGTGTAAAAAGGGGATTTTTACTCTTTTTCCCCCCATTTTCTTCACAATCTATTGTGTCACACCCCACAACCACCCACCCCCCCCCCCCACCCTCGTTTTCGACGCTCCTGCATGCAGTAGCAAATCTCGAAGAGAATTATAGAAAGATCAGATCTTCAAGTTGGCTTCACGAATTTTACTGAAGCGTACAATCTCTTGAAAGCAAAACCCCCAAATCAACGGCTATCATTCACCAACAAGATTTTATATGCACATTGCACTATTCATGATGTTACTTTACATCATTAATATAGTATATTATTTGTAAAGTGCTTAGAGACATTTGTATTAAGCGCTATATAAAAGCTAAATATTGTTATTATGTTTACTAATTGCGGTCGAATTTAGTAAGAAATTATGATAGTGTTAAATGACCATGACTGATGAGTAGATGATTGTATACAATGGAAAAGACTTCGGTATTACTAAAGCTGACAATTAAATTACCCTGTTTTGTTTGTTTGTTTGTTTTTTGTTAGAGTTAAACCGTTGACTACTGAATTATCTTATTCCGATAGGCTTAACGCAGGGACCACCAGGTTCCCGTAAGCATTGGGTTAATATGAGATGTTATCCGTCCCCTCTCACCATGAACATTGTAATAGAAATATACATGCTTCTTTATTTTTGGTATGTTTGGCAGGCACGTAACAACGGGGGGGGGGGGACGGGGGGCACGTGCCCCCCAAAAAAATTACAAGATCGGTTGAACTTTTTAGACCCCTCCCCAGGACGTCGATCGATTACATGTATGTGCCCCCCCCCCCCCCCTCAAAACAATTTTTTTTTTAAATCAAGTTCTGGCTATGTGCCTGATGTTTGGTACGGAACAGCATTCGTAAAGCCTTTCGAAAAATCACCATAACTCAAATTGTTGTTCGAAATAAAAGATTACTAGTACTTAAATATCCATTGACTGGATGAAAAAATAATGCATGTGTTGGTATGCCTGAACACATAAATAAATGTATTAAGACAAATATCATTCATATTTTTCCTATTAGCTTCAGCTCTCCAGCTGATCTAGCTAAAATATGAGGGCTTTTAAGGGCGTACGCCGGCTAGCTCCCCCAGCACTTAAACTGTCTGGCAATGGTCATTCACGTAACAGCAGTGGCGGATCCAGGGGGGGGGGCCCGGGGGCCCGGCCCCCCCCCCCCTTGAGAAAAAAATCATGCAAAATCACGCGATTTTTACTTTTTTGGGGGGTTGGCCCCCCCCCCTGGCGCTCAAGGGGGGGGGTGCAAATTTTAAAGTTGGGCCCCCTCCCCTAAGAAGTCCTGGATCCGCGCCTGCGTAACAGTACACTATACCGAACATTTTTCTGTTGGTTTCATGGATTTATCTTTCCAGCTGATCTAGCTCACTATGGGGGTCTCGATTGGGGGCGTCTGCCGTCTGCCGTCTACGCCCCACCATTCAAAGTGTCTGGCAACGGGTCATTTATATAACAGTGGTGTGAGTGGACTTTGCCGAACATTTCCTCCTAAGTTTCATAGGGTTACCTTTCTAGCTAGCTGATCTAGCTCATTTGTTGGCCATACTGGGCCCACCTTTATTGCCACACCCACCTCCTAGCGGGCGGGTAGACATGACAGACGCCCCATTCATTCTTAGCATTGTAATAGGTAGGGAAACATATGTAATAATCATGAAGATAAGTAACCTTTTCAGCTAGGCTGGCACTGCTGGCTGCCGTATCCGAATAGATTTTTTTTTTAAAATCACGTTTAATCCCGCCCCCCCCCCCCCCCCCCCCCCACTCAGGGGTCGGAATGACCGCATGCGTGTTGCCAAAATATCCGGTAAAGGTGTGCTTTTCGTGCGACAAAGTCCGGCCCGAGAATTGTAAAAAAAGGGTTGTATTTGGCTTTTCACCCGGAGATTTCTTTAAAAAGGGGGTGTTTTTCCTTTTTTTTTTCTCTCATCTCTTTGGACTCCTGAGAAGTTATTCAAAATTTAGGGGGGTACATTGAGCATTTTTCCTGATTTAGGGGGGTCTCCAAGGCAGGAAAAGCCCGCGAAAAGCCCGCGAAAGGGGGGTTCGGAAATGTTGGCAGTCCTCAGATAGGGGGTGCTTTCAAAAAGAGGGAACGAGCATACCCTAAATAACAGGCGCGGATCTACGGGGGGGTTTAGGGGGTTCAACCCCCCCCCCCCCCCTTGGGCGGCCCAAAAAAAAAAAATAAAAAATAAAAAAGAAAGAAAGAAAAAAAGAAAGAAAAAAGAACGCACGCTGGAGAGAAACCCTTTCAAGTGCAAATATTGTGAGAAGATATTCAACTCATCTGGTAACTTAACCAAACACATGATAAAAAGGCTGGATATAACTGTGTATTAAGCTGTTACTTGATTTAAAAAGACGTTATCATGCACTGCTTTTTATGGTCTCCATTGTGTTAATAGATGCCAGGAAAACATCACTTACGGGGTTCAAATAAACACCCCCAAAAAAACCGGCTCGCCGCTACGCGGCTCGTGGACGATGCTCTGCATCGTCATTATTTTGGTCAACCCCCCCCCTTAGCAAAAAGCTAGATCCGCCCCTGAATAACACTGAGTGGGGGGGGGGGGGGCGGGCGTTTAATTAACGAAAGGAAAACATCGAGTTCAGACCGGGGTTCGATCAGACCACAAATCGATTAACCAATTATGAACGCAACCTGCATGTGTATCTTTGCAAAGTGGCCTAAGCATAAGATCACACAACCATTATTTGATTAAATAAAACTTTTAGCGAGCTAGGCTATATCATAATCCCGTATTATAATGTGCACTGGTAGCTGAAGTTTGATCCATATCCATCCCGCCCTTTATGTTCGCATTCCCGCAATTTTGGCCTTTCGCATTGTGCCCGCATATAATATATGCATCAGCGCAGGTTTTTTACGTATACTGCGCAGCTTTTTTACGTTTACTGCGCAATACTCTTTCACGCACGATCCACACAAAAGGGCCATAATTTAGACGGCAAGAGGGAAATACGAAGAAATAGGGTAAGGATTTCGATTATAATACGCCCTTCCTTATTTCAGCATCATTAGTTCAGCTCAAGAATCAAATTAGAAGAGAACACGTGTCACGTGTTTGTAATTATAAATTGAAGACGCCTTCATTTTGAGGGTAAGTGAGGTTTTGAAGTGTTGACTGTATGAAAATGATGTTTGGTATGCCCGCCGAAGACCAAGTTTGACAATTTACAATCATCAACTCAACATTATTTGATGCCTTGTCTTTCCGTATGTCCACACATTATTATGCCATGTTGAGATGTACATATATTACCCTCAGTCATGTACTGAACTGCTTTCCGGTCAAATACATTTTGTACTCGTTTCCCTGAGCATTCTTTTGAAATCGCCCACTGTTCATTGCATTCACTGTGTACACGTGCAGAGATTCGTTGCGTGCAATCTCTATGGGGAATGCGAACCGGCATAGGTTTACACGCATGTGTATGCACGTCACATGCATGTACTGTAGCCTATGTAGGCCTACCGTCTGTGCGAACACTCAAATGTATAGACGTCGACAGTGGCTTTACGAGAAGGCTAGACTAGTTTCCCTGTTTATATTTTCTTCTTGTTTTGGAAACATGCTTGTTGACTATTCAAAATGTGGGTAAAATAGAACATGAGAAGTTAGAGTCTAGATTCTAGATCTAGAATCAAAGTTTGCCAAAGTCAAAGACAAAGTTTGATGGAAATGTCAATGAATGTGTTGACTGTACTGTTGTGTAGACTAGACGAAAGTAAATAGGCACTGGTCCGAGAATGAGGATGATCCGCATAAACAAGGATCCTCTTGTAAACAGGGACAGACGCGTCCTTAAAAAATATGGATCGTCCACATTATCACAGACTTGTTCTAATTTCCGATTTGTGTGTTGGCGATGAGAAAAACAGATTTTGTGTTGATCGGTACTAGGGGCGCTGGTCCGAGACTAAGGATCATCTTCATAAACGGGTACAGATGCGTCCGCAAAAAAAAGGATTGTCTGCATTTTCGCTGACGATTCTGATAAAAGTAGAGAGTGTACTGGGGGTATTTTATTAGTACGAGGAATCTGTTTTTCGCATCGCCAGCCTGTGGATGAGGAACCCAAAACCCAAAACCCGCAGAGCGCTGAAAAAAGACAAAACTCTGCAAAAATGCAGACGATCCTTATTTTTGTAGGACACATTTTGTGCGCGTATACTAGGATATTCTCATTTTATGCGGGCGATCCTCATTCTCGTAAAGGCGCTCCGACTTATCAGCAGCCCAAAAAAATACACGGGGGCGGAGGGTGGATCGCCCCGGAAACACCATAAACAGCCCCCGAAATAGTGAAAATGATCTCAAATCGCCCCCTTAAAGATGACGAGCGGCCACGCGCTCTCTTCTAGCTTTGTATTAATTGTGTGCATTTCTTGGTCCGCGCGCTGAATCATGTAAAATTGTATGTACACAAAAATCGGTCGTAAAAAAACTCGAACCATTTTCCATACCTTACCATGTCACGCAAGTACGCTAAAAAACACGTACATTTTTTCGCAGTTGCGAGATCGAGACGGACCGTAGGAGTCGAGTTTTTGGCGGTCGATGTTGTTTTGGTAGATCATATTAGCTGAACCTAGACACTGAACATCGCGAAACTGCAAACAATTTCCATCACGAATTCACGATTGCCGCAATTTTATAAAGTTTCCATAAATAGAGGTATGAAATTAAAGCCTATTTTTTTATTATTCTCGTCATGTTTACCTAATTTTGATAATCATTTCTTCAAAGTAAAGAAAATCAGACAAAATCACCTCGACTGACACGCATACAATACAGTGCATTGCCGCTGCAGTGTGTGTGAGTGAGCTGAGCTCGAGTCGAAGAGATTTGACACTTTGAAATTGCTATCTGTTGGTTTGCATCATTATTGCCGCGATTTCAATATAGTTTTTTTTTTAATACAACCTGAGCTTAGAATTAGTAAAAGTATTACTAATGTCTAAGTTTTTAAACGACTGCCTGATTTTCTTGTGAATATTTTACTTCGAAAAATGATTATCGAAATTCATGGCCAGAAATAATCACTATGTAGGGTCTATTATGTTCCAGTCCTTGCATCAAATCAATGCATGAAAACTTAGTTATTGAACTAGAAAAAGGGGTTTCTTATTAATAGGCAATTATGAAGCAGGAAGCCCGCAACCTTAGCCTACTAAACAAATCTCAACAAACTGTAGGCCTATCCTTTCATGAATTAATGAAAAAGTAGCCCCAGAAAAAAGAGCCCCAAAAGTTGAAAAAGTAAAAGTAGCCCCGAAAATTTCCCAAAAATATGAAATGGAGCCCCCGAAATGAAAAACTCAATTTTTTGCCTGCTGATCAGTGATTTGAAAGCCCTTAAAAACTTTTCTCAAAATGTATCTGTAACAGCAAGATTAGTTTTTGAATTAATTTTCAAAATTTCTAATCGAAAGCCTCTGTGGTATTCTCTCTAGGAGTGAAAATTTAAAACCTCATCTCGTACACAAGTTTGATAAATACAATTCAAATTAGAAAATACAAATGACTTGGGATTTTGCTAATACGGTAATGAATATTTTACCGCCATACCTTTTAGAACAGTTTTCAATTTTGGCTCTTTTACAAGTTTTTAGATTTTCTCCTTGCAAAATCCCTGCAACATCTGTGGATCCAGGGGTGGGGCACTCTTCAAGATACTTGATCCAACATATTTAGGCCTTGCTACGCACTAAATTGTTTGATGACATGTAGAATATATTGTATGTACTCATCACTTATTTTTTGCTCCTTTTTTTTTTCCTTCTCTTCTTCTCCTCCTTTATCATCACCTTCTTCTTCTCCTTCTCTGCTTTTTTTATTCTCCTTCTTCTCTTTTTTTTTTCTTCTTCTTTTTTTTTTCTTATCTGTAGAAATTTCCAAGCTCCCGTTTTAGCTCATCAGTTGCTATTTCAAACTTACCAAAATGTCCGTAGACGACCAATCCCAGGTGACCTTCCGCTTATTGGTCAGCAGCAATAAAGCTGGAGGAGTGATCGGTAAAGGAGGTCAAAACATCAAGCGCCTCAGAAGCGAGTACAATGCAACAGTCAATATTCCGGACAGCAGTGGTCCAGACCGAGTCCTGCAGATAGTTGCCAATAGTCGGGAAAATGGGCTAGATATCATCAAAGAGCTGATTCCGCTCATTAGGGAGGAGGTGTCACCATTCTCAGACGGTGAGGCCGACCCCTACACCACGACGCTGAGCGTCTTGGTACAAACCAGCCAGGTTGGGGCCATCATCGGGAGAGGGGGCTCCAAGATCAAGGAACTCCGGCAGAGCACAGAGACCAAGGTCAAGGTATTGCAGGAATGCCTTCCCTATTCGACAGAACGTCGAGTCCAAATCAATGGCGCCCCAGATGCAGTTCTCCTGGCCATCGGTGAAATCTATGTGACGTGCAGTGAAGCCCCAATCAAGGGTTCTGTACTTCTCTATGATCCATCGCAGCAAGACCCCAGCGGAGGCTATGGTTGGAATCAAGGTGGCTTTGGCGATTCTATGGGAGGAGGAAGAGGAGGAATGGGTATGCGAGGAGGAAGAGGAATGGGGATGCGAGGCGGTAGAGGAATGGGGATGCGAGGAGGTAGAGGAGGTAGAGTTGGGGGAGGGGGACAGCAAGGCGGCAACCCAATCTTCGGCTCTGGAGGTCAAGCGTACGGCGGTGGCGGTGCCTATGGGTCAGGAGGAAACGATGGTGGTTTCGCCGGTGAAGCCACAACGACACAAGTCACCATCCCCAATGACCTTGTGGGTGCAGTCATCGGCAGAGGCGGTGAGCGCATTAGGAACATCCGGTCGCGAAGCCAAGCCGAGATCGAGATCGCCAATCCCCTCCCAGACGCAGAAGACAGAGTCATCACCATCAGAGGCACCCAAGAGCAAGTCAACCATGGCCAGTTCCTGCTGCAGAATTGTATCCAGCAGTTTAGCGGACACTCGTCCTAATTTTTTTTCTCGCATGGAACGGACAATCGCAAAAGACTTTCTCTACCTCTACGAAATAACAGGTCTGATGTAAGATCGAAAATTGCGATGTGAAGGTCAAGCTAGTCAAAGGAAGTAATTGAAATTATACATGCGTTTTTGTACTGAGATGGTGTATTAGCTATTATTTTTATTCCGCTAAATATGTAACCAGGCACCACAAAACCACTAAATAGTTGCATGGTGCGCTTTTCAATTAGAGCTCAATATAAAAGGTGTATTGATTTGGTCGGGTTGATCAATTTTAGGTTTTAGCATTCCTGAAACATTTATTCTGATTTCAAAATTTTGAAGAACCGAACAATCTAGAAAAAGTTTTTTTGCAGTGTTTTGTAGGCCTTTCTTTTTTTACTGTTTTTTTTTTTGGGGGGGGGGACCCTTGTAAACTGGTCATAACTTTGAGCAGAGTGATCTTTTGCTTTGATACCTAGACCAAATAAAGATCAGGATGCTGATAATTGATGCGCCAACTTTTAGGACAATCTGATAAGCCCTTCCAAGTAAATTGCTCTAGAGGTCTAATCCCCCTTTTAACACCTTGGTGTGTGCTTTTTAGAAAATAACATTCTCTGGGACAGGTCCTTATTTCAATGGGTTAGGAACACGATACATCCTATTGTGATGAAAAGTAAAAGTTAAAAATCTACCCCTTCAGAATCAGGACTAAACTAAAAAGTCATTTCTGGTGACTTTTGGGTGGTTTTGTGTTGCTTGGTCACTTGTTGTACAACTGGAATCAATCCAGCAATTGTAATAAGCCACTTTTGAGATAGCACTTTAATACAAAAATGACCCCAAAATATCCACAGATCCTATAAACATGGAACAGTCCCACTTTGCGCATTTTTAGAATTATCACTGCCAAAGTGATGGGAGATGCTTCATGAAAACCTTTTGTTGTTTGCCCTCTTGAAAAGAATACTATCACCTGTGTCAGAAAATGAGCTGCTGGTGCATACATGTACATGTAAATGAATGCATACATGCCAACTGTTCAGATTAATGAGGAACATTCCTCTTTTTGGGAGAAGATAATTATCATTTTAATGCAGGTGTTCCTCTTCCTGTACAAATTTGTCTGTAGTATTGAATAGGAGAGTTAGGATTGTTCCTCTTTTTTTGAAAATAGCATAATTTGTACAGATTTCTGATTTTCAAATGTTGGCATGTATGTGAATGATGATGACATAACTTTCATAAACACGTGTCCGGCAGTCGTCTCGATGGGTTTTACAGTTTTGTACAAATGACCTTTATCTGTCCATGTTCAGATAGTTCATGTATCTTCGAAGTGGCTTATTGTTGCTGAATAGACCGGTTTACTAACGTTTACATTTATGGATGTTTCTTTCCTGGGGACCTAGTGACAAGTTATTCCATTAACTGAATGAACGGTGGCGTAATGAGCAAAAGCTTTTTGGAAGACGGAGAGAAAGAAAGAAAAAAAATAACAAAAAATGAGGGGGAAAAACCGACAATCATGTCATTTCGGCAACATTTGTAAATAATCGAATTAGAGATAAACCATGTTTGAATTTTATAAGCCCCCCCCCCCCCCCCCCCTCCCCTCCCAATCAGTATGTCAGTGTATTAAAATGAACTACAATACTCTGAATCCAGTTTGCATATAATACCTGTTATTTTGGCAAGTCTTGGTCAAACTTTCTGGTTGTCAAGAGCAACCTTTGTTTGAAAAGTAAGCAGAAAATGTTAATAAATCAGTAAACCGGTCTATTGTTCTTGAATACCTTGCATAAATTGATTGCATGGCTTATTAAGAAAAAAAAGTTAGACGAGGTCAAGGTGTAGGAAAGGGTTCTGTATACATGTGATGCTGGGGTAATAATAATTGCAGGGCCTGCAGTAAAAGCAGTATTGATACTGATGTGATTACCCTAGGTAAATTGTTAATTTAATATTATTATTATTACTATTACTGTAAGTGTTTATTATAAGAAAAGTACTGTACTGTACCATTTTAGTAACTGCTGAATGCGGAAGTATGACGATGTATAACTCAAGCTTATGTACATGTACATGTACTTTATTTTTTACCCCCTAAAAAAAAAAAAAAAAAAAAAAAAATTACACCCAATTGCTTATAATTATACTTATTCTTTCTTGAATATCAATTCCATTCTGATGTGTTTTGTAAGTTTGTGTTGAATTTTTAAATAAAAAATATAGACCCTAATTAAAGATTGCTTTAATTTCTCCGTCATTTAACCCACGAGTGTAAGTTTGAAGGGATATATCTCTCTTTTTCTCCCATTTTCAGGCAGTTTTAGACAAGAGTCGTATACCTTATTTTGAAAGCTTTATTGCAAGTCACCGACTGTCCAAAAGATTTGTGTAATATGGTTTTCCTTGCAACTAAAATAAAACGATCATTATCTTACATGATTAAAAATAATTCAGGATAATCTATGATGATGACTGTGATGACATAAATGGTGACGGTGGTTGCATGATGATGAACATGACAGACACAATGGTGATGATGAGCATGATTTGATGATGGCAAACATGATATGGTGGTGGTGATGAAGATGATCATAAGAGATGGTGATGATGATAATGACGGACACAATGGTGATGATGATAATGACAGACACGATGATAATAATAATGGTGATGATGAGCATGATATGATGATAGCAAACATGATACAGTGGTGATGAAGATGGATAAGTGATGATGATAATGACGGACACAATGGTGATGATAACGATGATAGACACGGTAACAAACATGATATGGCAGTAATGATGATGGTGACAGACCCAATGGTGATGACAGGAACAGATACAATCAGGGGCGTACGCAGGGGGGGGGGGGTGTATGTTAACCCCCCCCCCCCTTTGGTATGTTTATGTGTGTAAACCCCCCTAACAAAAACTTTTTTGTTTTTTAATAATAAAAAAAAAAGAAAAAAATTATGCCCACGGCTAACCTAAGGTGACCTTACCCCCCCCCCCCCCCCCCCCAACGAAGAAAAACATCAAATTTTCAAATTTCGAGGCCAAAAAAAAACAAAAAAAAGTGTCCACTTACCCCCCTCCCCCCACTGAGCCACTTTTCGGCCGGCGCGATTTTCAAATTTTCGGGAGCAAAATATTTTGGGCCCGATTTTAACCCCCCCCCCCCCTTGAAAAAATCCTGCGTACGCCCCTGGATACAATGATGATGATGAGCATGATATGATAATGGCAAACATGATACGTTGGTGATGAAGATAGATAAGTGATTGTTGGTGATGATTGTTATTAATACTGTAATAACTTTTGGGAATTCTTTTATAAGAAAATGGGGAATTTAAAGACTGCAGGGGTAGACTCTCTAGATGTTTAGTCTAGCCTAAATTAATGCCCACGCAAGGCCAGGGCCAAGTCATACACACATACAATTACAGTCTCTGAGAGAAAGGAGTTATCGAACAATGATTTTTAAGTAACTGATGTTTATTCACAAGAAACATGGTGGTGATATCCAATATATTTACTTGCCACAACCTAATAACAGTTACACTTAACTCACATTTATACTAGTTCTTGCCCTTTGGCTAATTGATGATGCTCCCGAGCAACATCCTCCCAGCTCCTAACTCTAAGTTCTCACAAAATCTGTCTGTCTCACAACTGCCTCGGCCTCAGCTCCAAACTTTTACACACTCCCAAACCTCGCCCAAGTTAAAGCTAGTCTCCAATTCAGACCTCCCTTTTTAATCGTTCGAGCATCCAATTTCTGTAACACTGCCCCCTCCTTAACTTTGAACGTCTCGTTCAACACTAGGAACTTCAAAACAGGAACCTGTCAGTAAAACAACAATAAAGATAACAAGAAATGTAAAATACTAAATCTAAAAAATAACAACATCATTAAAAATGTGAAGCATGGAAAACACAGAATAGGAAAACCTGAAAGAAATCATCATAATTTCTAAAGTAGCACATTAGCATGGCACAGTCATTTATAAACATACATAAATTACCTTTGTTTCAGCCTCACAAAACAATTCTTAGGTTGTGGCGAATGCATACATAAAAGCACTTGCAAAATGAGACAAAGCATGCAGCATATGCATCTTACCTGATATCATTGATCGTAAATTTCAAATATCAATACAATAAACTGGACTTCAACTCTCAGTATACCAGAACAAAATACATCATACATGAATATAATTGTTGTTCCACATCAGTCTGGTGACTCTGGTCAACATGTTCAGCCTGTTGCACACTTAAGTAATAATCACTATAGAACCAAAAAAACTGGATATAAACAAAAACATTTTTTTTTTTTTCCCTTTTCAATATCACCTTTAAATATGGCAAAAGTTAAAGGTTATTCTGGTATAACCATCAAGTTTGGTATTCGTCCTCTTTGGTAACAACAAATGGGATATCTCGGTTCATTTTAAACTGGTTTGGTTAGCAAAATTAGAGTTGCCAACAACACATAAGTACAACCCTGGAAAAAAACATAACAATACTCTGAATTTATATGCCAAAGCGGAAACGCTCATTTCAACTGCCAATATAGAAGAATTTATACAAAACAAAATTGTTTTTACAAAATAACCTGATCTTGTAAAAACATGATCATGCATGATTGTCCATAGATTTCAAAATGACTTTAAGTCATTAGAAGAAAAAAAGGCAAAGCGTCCATTTGCTATTATCTGTTATTACAGAACGGCACAAATCAATTCCACATTTCGAGTTCAGATGAGTTAATCGCTCATCTGTGATTACACCTAATGCGAGAAAGCCACTTCAGTTTTCTCATTCTTTCTACTCTCTTTGATACATCATAGTAATGTGATTCCTACAAATCCTCCTGTATAAGAACACTTAACAATATTTGTGCTTCTCTTCACAAGTTCGATATCGAGGAATGCTAATAACACCAAAATGTTGGTCCCTCAGTTCTACATTCAACTGGTTCATTCGTAAAGTTCAGCAGCACAATGGAATAAGTGTTTGACTCTTAAGTTCATTTGCGTCTCCAAAGTTGCTTCAGCTAAATGAAGTCCTGTCACCAATTATTTGTTCCTCTGATCAATGCAATAGATGAAATTCCACTTATAGTCCATGCAAGTGTTCACTATAAAAGTTTTCAAAGTTTGATGGATTTCGTAAGGCTGCATAAAATTGCATGGCATTATCAAAATTGTTCACCATTATAAACACGAACCGCGTTGCCATGGAGACCAGATACGCTCATCCGACACGTGTTGCTATGAAGACCAGATTTGCTCATCCGACACGTGTTGCCATAGAGACCAGATACGCTCATCCGACACGCGTTGCCATGGAGACCAGATTCGCTCATCCAACACGCGTGAAGATACTTTGGGACGTCATCCCGGCGTCTTGCGGTACTGGCATCTCGCGTCCTGGCTTGAAGCTTCCTCGGTAAGGTACCTCACTATCTGCACGTCAGGCCTCAGCTACGTGATGGAGAAAATCTGCCATCCAATTCTGGCTTCCAAGTAGATATTTCTGCAACAAAATAACATCTTTTGCAGAAAAAGGTGTACCAGAGTGGTACAACCATATATGCGTATATTAGGTATACACATGCAGAAAATTGGCTTTCATATAAATAGCCGTAATAAGAGAAAATGCAACTAACTAGGTTGTGGCAATATTATTATAAAAACTTATTATAATCTCAATATACCAAAAAAACAGAATTCTGCCATATTTGTTTTATAAGCAGTTACACAGCAACTTCACTGAAAACTTCCCACACAGAACTGTGCTGTATCCCTGCTGGAAACAGGTACTGACTTTCAAGCACTCTAGCTCTGCTAATGTGAAAAGAACCAGCTAGTCGTAAGCATAACCATTAAAACCTAACAAACAAGGAATTTAATGAAAACCAAGTCCTTAACCATAACAATATCCTTGATTTAAAATAATAATCCATAACTATGTGTAAATGTAATCCACTACAATTATAGACAATGTGATAACCGTGATACACAGCTGTCAAAGTTACCAGCTAATCCCAACCATATCTATTGGGAGACTTCCTTTGACGATGCTGATGGTCGTGACTGTTTTCTCTCGAGGGTTCTTCATCCAGAGCATCATCAGGTTGTCACACTTGATGTCTCTCGCTGAGCTTGGAATGCTCCTCAGTACTAATTTGTGTTGCTACGGTAATGAAAGAACAATTATCATCACTTACATGGAGCCAGGGCTCCTTCTGTCCCTTGTACTTGCAAAGACGTTCTCTGTGAACCACTCTTGGTTTACTCCTTTTCGTCAACTGGATCCTGTAGACTACATCGTTCATCTTCTTTAGAACAGAGTAAGGGTCTCACAAGTCTGACATCAATTTAGGTGATACACCTTTCTTCCTTCGAGGATGCCAATATCCGGAATACAGGTCAAGGGCGCAAAACCACTGGGAGCCCGTCAATGCATCTAAGATGTCGTCAATACGAGGAAGCGGGTAAGAATCTTCCTTTGTCACCCGATTCAAACATCGATATTCCACGCAAAAACGCATACTGCCATCTTTCTTAACGAGTACAATCATTGAACCCCATTCTCCTGATGCTGGCTCTATCACTCCTTCAGACTTCATCTCATCAATAGCTCTGACAGCCTCCTCCCTCTTAGCTAGGGGTAAACTAGGTTCAGCATCACCCGTCTCTACCTTGTGTGCGACTATGCTTGTCTGTCCCAAGTCCATGGATCCCTTGGAGAACAGGCCTTGTCGTCTCAGTAACAACTCCCGCTTTTCTTCTGGTTGTCCCTCAGACAATCCTACGCTGCTTCTTTCAGGCAGCGACCTTAAACGCGGAGCGAACTCGCCTGTGACTTCTCCTGCTTCTCCAACATTTTCCTCTTGAGATTCAACATCAATGACAACATCAACTCGCTCACATTTACCTACACAATTACCTTCTTGTGAAGATTGGGTATGCTGATTCAAAAGTGTCCTGCCAACCATCACCCCTCTGAGGAAGAGTCCTTCTGCTTCTCCACCCAGGGATGTAATGACAGGAGCCTTGCCATTTCTAGCCGTGTTCCGCTCCTCGAACACGACTAGTTGCCGTTTCCCTCTGCCATCATTGAGGCCTCTACTTGCTTTCTCTGAACACTTGGTGATGTCACTGGGCTCTGGTCTCCAACTCTGGCTTCCAGCACCTGCAGACGCCTTTCAATACCCTGCTGTGCTGTGGAAGATCTGTCAAGGTGCGCTATAATTTCAGCCTGGTTACTGACGGCACTTTCCGCAAACTTCTCAAACGCTTGTAGGAGGGCGCCAACTCCTAGAGGACTCGAAAGGCGACCCCTCCCTCTTGTACGCGTACGTGACGAGATCCGTGAGCGATGCATGGTTGAGAGTCGATAGTCACTTCAACAACTGTGTATCACCCTAAACCCCTGTTACTTTCATGAGCCTACTCTTGCTTTATTTAGAAGTTTTATAAATGGAAACTATAAGGCTACTGTATTTAAAATCCCTATACAAATTTCACGTCAGGTTCAGTATAGTTTAAACTTTTCCACAATAAAATCCAACGAAGAAGAATATAATCCTAAAGGGGATTAAAATTATTTAATTAGTTAAATGGCAAATAAAACAATCCCATCAAAAACAGTTACTTAAAGTGACTAAATTTACTACTAAGTTATATCTTAACTTCCCCAAACAAAAGTAGCTTATCGGGTCTGCAAAGCAAGACTAGCTGTATCTAGCCTGCGGGACTACCAACTTTCCCTTTGCTCAGCACATATGCACTGAAACACCGATCCTAAAACATTACTACACACACACACACCAATACAACGCGTTGCTCCCCGTATACACACAGAGCTTTTGCAGTGCAGTGTGTACGATGCCAATGACAATGAACGTAGGCTACTGCCATTGACCCATCTTAACTTTTTACTAGTTACTACAATCAAAATATGACTTATTCCCTAACTAGACCTAACAATCTTCTAAAATTCCACCTTTCAAATCCCACTTCTGACACCAGTGTAATAACTTTTGGGAATTCTTTTATAAGAAAATGGGGAATTTAAAGACTGCAGGGGTAGACTCTCTAGATGTTTAGTCTAGCCTAAATTAATGCCCACGCAAGGCCAGGGCCAAGTCATACACACATACAATTACAGTCTCTGAGAGAAAGGAGTTATCGAACAATGATTTTTAAGTAACTGATGTTTATTCACAAGAAACATGGTGGTGATATCCAATATATTTACTTGCCACAACCTAATAACAGTTACACTTAACTCACATTTATACTAGTTCTTGCCCTTTGGCTAATTGATGATGCTCCCGAGCAACATCCTCCCAGCTCCTAACTCTAAGTTCTCACAAATCTGTCTGTCTCACAACTGCCTCGGCCTCAGCTCCAAACTTTTACACACTCCCAAACCTCGCCCAAGTTAAAGCTAGTCTCCAATTCAGACCTCCCTTTTTAATCGTTCGAGCATCCAATTTCTGTAACAATACAATCATATTGATGGAAATGATGACAGACACAGGGGATGATGGTGATAATCGTGATTGTGATGATGACAACGGCTCGGATGACCATAATGATGATGGATAGTGATTATGATGTTGAGTGGATGCTGATGATTGCATGTGGTGATCAGTCCTGTTAAAACCCTGGATGGGCCCTGCATATGCTTTGCTACATGTAAATCCTAATTGGAGATAGAGGAAAGTTCGAGGAGGATAGATTATGAATTAGAGATGAGCGTAGAGGACAGAGCTAGAGGAGAGAATAGATGAATAATTGAAAAAATGAAGAAGAGATAGAAAGAGCCCTATGGCTATGCCTATGGAGAATTCTAGAGACTGAGACGTGCAGAGAAAGAAGGGGGGGGGCTAAAGAATTATAAGAGTGTGAGTATCAAAGCTGATCAAATAAAAAAAAAAATTGACGAGGGGAGGGAGGAAGGTAAAGAAGCTAGCTCCATATAGGCAGGGATAGAGCTAGAGGAGAGAATAGATGAATAATTGAAAAAATGAAGAAGAGATAGAAAGAGCCCTATGGCTATGCCTATGGAGAATTCTAGAGACTGAGACGTGCAGAGAAATAAGGGGGGGCTAAAGAATTATAAGAGTGTGAGTATCAAAGCTGATCAAATAAAAAAAAATTGACGAGGGGAGGGAGGAATGTAAAGAAGCTAGCTCCATATAGGCAGGGAAAGAGGTGGTTGGGGTAAAAAAGGTCACATGACAGGGAAAAAATTAATATTTACTTTTCGGGGGCTACTTTTCAACCTTGCCTGCATGAAAATAACATTTTAAAATTTGTTTTGTATATTGAACTCTATGCAAATTTTCAGGGGCTCTTTTCTGATTTTCGAGGGCTCTTTTGGGCATTTCGGGTGCTATTTCGCCCTGAGCCACCATGTATTTTTTTTTTCACTGGGCCCACATGGAGAGAGATCATGTGGTTCTATAGAGGATTGATACTTGGGGCTTGATCAAATAGGACAGTTATAGGACCCCCAAAACATATTCCATCAATTGAAAGCTACCCCTCGACCCCCCCCCCCCCAGTTTGATTCTTGCTAAAAAAGCAAATTAGTTGAGACACATGTATACAAATGAGTACAAGATCCCTTAACCCCCCCCCCCCCCAAGACAATATAATACTGTATGTAGGCTGAGAGAGAGAGAGAGAGAAAGGGAGAGAGAGCTAGAGAGAGAGAGCTAGGGGGAAAAAAAAAGGGGGGGGAACTATAGATGTGCATTAAGATCAGAAAGAGAAAGAAGGGGATGTGGGGCCTATCAGGGAATATTAGTTGAGTACGAAAATTATGTTGAAAAGAAAATGCAATTGCAAAATGGTCCGCATGTCGACAGTAATTTCGAGGCATGTTTTTTTTCAAAACACAAGACAAAAAAACAAAGAAGAAAAACAGTGCCTGTGGCATAGACTACTCGCTGAGCGCTCTTTTTGCTTGAAACATGCAAGCGGACCAACGATCCCAAGAATAATCATGAATTTAGAGCTTCTTGGTCAGTATTTTTATGTTTTATGTGTTCTTTAGTTCAATGATATAATTATATTGGTTTTATGTTTGATTAATTGTTTAAATATGTGCTATTTTGTAGTGTTTTCTGCAATATAATTGTTCGTGATAATTAGCACGTTCCCACATGTAGAAATTCGTGTTAGATCTAGAATCTATGTACAGTTAAGGTTTATTCAAATTTATTTTAGATTTGATTTTTAGTGAAGTCTGTTTAACTATACATTTTCGGTTAATTCAAGTATTTTGCAGTACAATAATTTCCTGTGATGTCAATAAGCAGTAGATCTAGGGGCTCTGGTCCTCAAAAATAAGGACCGTCTTCATTTTCGCAGACGTTTCATGTTTTTGATCGGTGCATTGGCGATGCAAAAAACGGATTCTGCAATGATTTTCTTGATGCATTTTACATTGACTTTGTACAGAGACCTTCACATTATGAGCAATAAATCCTTGGAAAGACGGACAACCCATAAAAGTAGACGGTGAACTAGGGTTATTTTCCCCCAGGGAATCCATTTTTGGCATCGCCAGCAGGCCGTTCTGTAACATGAAACCCCCAGAGCGCCGATGAAAAAAAACGTCCTCGAAAATGCAGACAACCCTTTTTTTTCAGGACACATTTTGTCTGCTTTTATGAGGATATCCTTGCTTATGAGGACGATCCTCATTCGTGGACCAGCGCCCCTACTGACTGGGGGGATTTTATTACGCGGAATCTGTTTTTTTGCATCACCAGCGCGTGGATGAGGAACCCAAAACCTGCAGAGCGCTGAAAAAAGATAAAGTCTGCAAAAATGCGGACGATTCTTATTTTTGTAGGACACATTTTGTGCGCGTATACTCGGATATCCTCATTTTATGCGGGCGATCCTCATTCTCGGACCAGCACTCCGACTCTGATCAGTGATTTGCAAGCCCTTAGAAACTTTTCTCAAAATGTATTTGTAAGTGTAACAGCAAGATTAGTTTTTGAATTTATATTCAAAATTTCAAATCAAAAGACTCTGTGGTATTCTCTCTAGGAGTGAAAATTTAAAACCTCATCTCGTACACAAATTGGGTAAATACAATTCAAATTAGAAAATACAAAGGACGTGTGATTTTGCTAATTATGAATAATTTCCTTGATATACCTTTAGAACAGTTTTCAATGTTGGCTCTTTTACAAGATTTTAGATTTTCTCCTAGCGTAATCCCTGCAACATCTGTGGATCCAGGGGGAGGGGCACTCTTCAAAATACCTGATCCAACATACAATGTATGTTATAGGCCTAGCTACAGTACACACTAAATTGTTTGATGACATGTAGAATATATATTGTATGTACTCATCACTTTTTTTGCTCCTTTTTTTCTCCTTCTCTTCTTTTCCTCCTTTATCATCACCTTCTTCTACTCCTTCTCTGCTTTTTTTCTTCTTCTTCTCTTTTTTTTCTTCTTCTCTTTTTTTCTTCTTCTTCTCTTTTTTTCTTCTTCTTCTATTTTTTTTCTTCTTCTTCTCTTTTTTTTCTTCTTCTCTTTTTTTTTCTTCTTCTCTTTTTTTCTTCTTCTTCTCTTTTTTTTCTCTAGATGACGTGACCTTCCGCTTATTGGTGAGCAGCAATAAAGCTGGAGGAGTGATCGGTAAAGGAGGTCAAAACATCAAGCGCCTCAGAAGCGATTACAATGCAACGGTCAGTATTCCGGACAGCAGTGGTCCAGACCGAGTCCTGCAGATAGTAGCCAATAGTAAGGAAAATGGGCTAGATATCATCGAGGAGCTGATTCCGCTCATTAGGGAGGAGGTGTCACCATTCTCAGACGGTGAGGCCGACCCCTGCACCACGACGCTGAGCGTCTTGGTACAAACCAGCCAAGTTGGGGCCATCATCGGGAGAGCGGGCATCAAGATCAAGGAACTCCGGGAGAGCACCAAAACCAAGGTCAAGGTATTTCAGGAATGCCTTCCTTGTTCGACAGAAAGTCTAGTCCAAATCAATGGCACCCCAGATGCAGTTCTCCTGGCCATCGGTGAAATCTATGTGACGTGCAGTGAAGCCCCAATCAAGGGTTCTGTACTTCTCTATGATCCATCGCAGCAAGAAGGCTATGTTTGGAATCAAGGTGGCTTTGGCGAATCTATGGGAGGAGGAGGAAGAGCAATGGGGTTGCCAAGAGGAGGAGGAGTAAGAGGAATGGGGATGCGAGGCGGTAGAGGAATGGGGATGCGAGGAGGGAGAGGAGGGAGAGGAGGTAGAGGTGGGGGAGGGGGACAGCAAGGCAGCAACCCAATCTTCGGCTCCGGAGGTCAGCCGTACGGCAGTGGGGGTGCCTATGGGTCAGGAGGAAACGATGGAGGTTTCGCTGGTGAAGCCACGACGACACTACAGGTCACCATCCCCAATGACCTTGTGGGTGCAGTCATCGGCAGAGGCGGTGAGCGCATCAGAAACATCCGTTCGCGAAGCCAAGCCGAGATCGAGATCGCCAATCCCCTCCCAGAGGCCGAAGACAGAGTCATCACCATCAGAGGCACTCAAGAGCAAATCAGCCATGCCCAGTTCCTGCTGCAGAATTGTATCCAGCAGTTTAGCGGACACTCGTCCTAATTTTTTTTCTCGCATGGAACGGACAATCGCAAAAGACTTTCTCTACCTCTAAGAAATAACAGGTCTGATGTAAGATCGAAAATTGCGATGTGAAGGTCACGCTAGTCAAAGGAAGTAATTGAAATTATACATGCGTTTTTGTACTGAGATGGTGTATTAGCTATTATTTTTATTCCGCTAAATATGTAACCAGGCACCACAAAACCACTAAATAGTTGCATGGTGCGCTTTTTAATTAGAGCTCAATATAAAAAGTGTATTGATTTGGTCGGGTTGATCAATTTTAGGTTTTAGCATTCCTGAAACATTTATTCTGATTTCAAAATTTTGAAAAACCGAACAATCTAGAAGTAGGTTTTTTTGCAGTGTTTTGTAGGCCTTTTTTTTGGGGGGGGGGGGGGGGAATCCTGGTAACTGGTCATTTTTTTTAGCAGAGTGAGCTTTTGCTTTGATACCTAGACCAAATAAAGATCAGGATGCCGATAATTTATGTGCCAACTTTTAAGACAATCTGATAAGCCCTTCAAGTAAATTGCTCTAGAGGTCTAATCCCTCCTTTCAAACACCTTGGCGTGTGCTTTTTAAAAAATAACATTCTCTGGGACAGGTCCTTATTTCAATGGGTTAGGAACATGATACATCCTACTGTGATGAAAGGTTTGAAGGCGAATATCTACCCCTTCGGTATCATAACTAAACTAAAAAGTTATTTCTGGTGACTTTTTTGTGGTTTTGTGTTGCTTGGTCACTTGTTATAGAACTGGAATCAATCAAGCAATTGTAATAAGCCACTTCGGAGATAGGACTTATACAAATGACCCCCAAATATCCACAGATCCTATAAACATGGACAAGTCCCACTTTGCGCATTTTAGAATTATCACTGCCAAAGTGATGGGAGATGCTTCATGAAAACCTTTTGTTGTTTGCCCTCTTGAAAAGAATACTATCACCTGTGTCAGAAAATGAGCTGCTGGTGCATACATGTAAATGAATGCATACATGCCAACTGTTCAGATTAATGAGGAACATTCCTCTTTTTGGGAGAAGATAATTATCATTTTAATTCAGGCGTTCCTCTTCCTGTACAAATTTGTCTGTAGTATTGAATAGGAGAGTTAGGATTGTTCCTCTTTTTTTTTAAAATAGCATAATTTGTACAGATTTCTGATTTTCAAATGTTGGCATGTATGTGAATGATGATGACATAACTTTCATAAACACGTGTCCGGCAGTCGTCTCGATGGGTTTTACAGTTTTGTACAAATGACCTTTATCTTTCCATGTTCAGATAGTTCATGTATCTTCGAAGTGGCTTATTGTTGCTGAATAGACCGGTTTACTAACGTTTAAATTTATGGATGTTTCTTTCCTGGGGACCTAGTGACAAGTTATTCCATTAACATGTTATAAATGAATGAACGGTGGCGTAATGAGCAAAAGCTTTTTGGAAGACGGAGAGAAAGAAAGAAAAAAAATAACAAAAAATGAGGGGGGAAAACCGACAATCATGTCATTTCGGCAACATTTGTAAATAATCGAATTAGAGATCAACCATGTTTGAATTTTATAAGCCCCCCTCCCAATCAGTATGTCAGTGTATTAAAATGAACTACAATACTCTGAATCCAGTTTGCATATAATACCTGTTATTTTGGCAAGTCTTGGTCAAACTTTCTGGTTGTCAAGAGCAACCTTTGTTTGAAAAGTAAGCAGAAAATGTTAATAAATCAGTAAACCGGTCTATTGTTGTTGAACCTTGCATAAATTGATTGCATGGCTTATTAAGAAAAAAAAGTTAGACGAGGTCAAGGTGTAGGAAAGGGTTCTATATACATGTGATGCTGGGGTAATAATAATTGCAGGGCCTGCAGTAAAAGCAGTATTGATACTGATGTGATTACCCTAGGTAAATTGTTAATTTAATATTATTATTATTACTATTACTGTAAGTGTTTATTATAAGAAAAGTACTGTACTGTACCATTTTAGTAACTGCTGAATGCGGAAGTATGACGATGTATAACTCAAGCTTATGTACATGTACATGTACTTTATTTTTTACCCCCTAAAAAAAAAAAAAAAAAAAAAAAAAAATTACACCCAATTGCTTATAATTATACTTATTCTTTCTTGAATATCAATTCCATTCTGATGTGTTTTGTAAGTTTGTGTTGAATTTTTAAATAAAAAATATAGACCCTAATTAAAGATTGCTCTAATCTCTCCGTCATTTAACCCATGAGTGTAAATTTGAAGGGATATGTCTCTCTTTTTTTTCTCCCATTTTCAGGCAGTTTTAAACAAGAGTCGTATACCTAATTTTGAAAGCTTTATTGCAAGTCACCGACTGTCCAAAAGATTTGTGTAATTTGGTTTTTCTTGCAACTAAAATAAAACAATCATTATCTTACATGATTAAAAATAAGTCAGGATAATCTATGATGATGATGATGATGATTGATGACTGGGATGACAGATATGGTGATGGTGGTTGCATAATGATGAACATGACAGGCACAATGGCATACATGCCAACTGTTCAGATTAAAGAGGAACATTCCTCTTTTTGGGAGAAGATAATTATCATTTTAATGCAAGTGTTCCTCTTCCTGTACAAATTTGTCTGTAGTATTGAATAGGAGAGTTAGGATTGTTCCTCTTTTTTTTTAAAATAGCATAATTTGTACAGATTTCTGATTTTCAAATGTTGGCATGTATGCAATGGTGATGATAATGACAGACACGATGGTGACAATTGTGCTGATGTTGAAAGACATAACGGATGATGATAGCAAACATGATACGTGGTGATGACGATGGATAAGTAATGATGATAATGACGGATACAATGGTGATGGTGATGATGAGCATGGTATGATGATAGCAAACATGGTACGGTGGTGGTGAAGATTGATCAGGGATGGTAATGATGAACATAATATGATAGATGTTATAATAGATATTGGTGACAGTGGTGATGAAGATGGATAAGTGATGATGATAATGACAGACATAGTGGTGATATAATGATAATCATGATGATAAGATGAAGGCAAACATGACATGGTGGTGATGATGATAATGACAGATACAACCGTGATGATGATGGCAAACATGATATATTGATGAAGATGGATAAGCGGTGGTTAGTGATGATGAAGGTGATGATTATTAATATAATCGTATTGATGACAATCGTGATGACATTGGCCTGGATGACCATAATGATGATGGATAGTGATGATAACGTGATTATGATGTTGAGTGGATGCTAGTGATCAGTCCCGAAACCCTGAGGGACCCGGCATATGCTTTGCTACATGTAAATCCCAATGAGAGATTGAGGAGAGATCGAGAAGGATAGATTATCAATGAGAGAACGTAGAGGACAGAGCTAGAGGAGGGAATAGATGAATAATGAAAAAAGCGAAGAAGAGAGCTAGGGAGAGAGAGAGAGCCCTAGAGGGAATGCTAGAGACAGAAACATGCAGAGCAAGAGAGGGGGGGGGGGGGGGTTAAAAAGTTATAAGAGTGTGAGTCAAAGCTGATCAAATATAAACATATTATTTCAGAGAGGGGAGGGAGGAATACAAAGAAGCTCCATAAATGCAGGGGTATAAGAGGTGGCGGTGGGGGACATAGGCTTCATGGAAAGAGATCATGAGGTTCTTCTACAGAGGATTGAGACTTGGGGGGGGGGGGGGTGATCACATAGGACCCTGAAACTTCCATCAATTGAGAGCTTCCCCCCCCCCCCCCACAAATCCCCCTTTAAAATAAGACATTATAATATAGGCTGAGAGAGATGAGAGAGACAGAGACTAGACAGGTAGAAAGGGAGAGAGATGGGTCGATGAGGGAAAAATAGTAGGGCACTAAAATTAAAAATATGTTCAAATTATGTTGACAAGAAGATGCAATTGCATACTCACGTCGACAGTAACATCGAGGCGTTTTTTTTTTCTTCTTCCTTTTCTTCTTCTTCGTTTCTTCAGTACTTTCAAAACAAGACAAAGGAGAAAAAACAGTGTCTGTATCAAAGACTATCGGTATCTGAGCGCTCTTTTCTTTTCACTTGAAAAACAAGCGGACAACGATCAATAATGAATTTAGAGCTTCTTGGTCAGTATTGTAAAACTTTTATTAATTCTTCAGTTCGATGATATATTTCTATTGGTTTTATGTTTGATGAATTGTTTTAACATGTGCTATTTTGTAGTATTTTCTGCGATATAATTGTTCGTGAGAATTAGCGCGTTCCCACATATGGAAATTTGTGTTGTGTATACAGTAAGGGTGTAAAGCAAATTTAGATCTAGTGAAGTCTGTTTAAATTTATATTTCGAGGTGAAATATTACACCCCATGCCCAGTAACTATTTTTGGTTAATTTAAGTATTTTATAATACAAATTGGTTTCCTGTGATGGTAAATATAGCATTGCAAGAGGTGTGTTTTGTTTGATTTATCAGATTCAGAATCATGACTTGATTTTTTTGTTTGAGTCACTTTGACCATGAAATGATCAATCATGAATGATGTTGCTTGATATTTTGTTAATGTTATTCGACTTTTATTTTTAAAACTAATCCATTCATTATGAATTGTTAATTGCCTTTGCCATTGACATCGATTCTCAAGTATTTACGTGCACTCGCACAGATATCAGATGCAGGGGGCCGTTTCTCGAAACCAACTCCATGACAGTCATATCTTTGTCGGCGACCTACGGAGATGTCATGAATCGGATAAACCGTTTCACAAAGCCATGACAGACATGATATCGATATATCGCGATACTAGCAGCTCAAGAACATAGTCTTTGTCACGATCCATTTGATTTATCAAGAATAACCCAAAACAAGTTTTGGGGCTAAAATTGTTCAAAAAGAAATATATACATATAAATTCTCCTAAAATAAATAATAAATAGTGTCATTATCATATTTACATCATCAAACGATTTGCATATTTCTGTAAAGATTCTTAAATTGAGAAAAACCGGTGAGTGTTTTTTTTCGACAGTCGAATCAAAAGTTAGTTGAAGGATACCGTAATGTGATAGTTTATCAATACGTACTTTTTTGTTTATTGTGACGAGGAATTTTAGGCAAAATGTCTTTTCTCAGCCAGTTTTTATTCTAGAGTCTCATAAATACTCGTTATATAATTGATTTGATATTGAAAATATAATTTGGAAGAAGTAATTAGAGAGGGAATAATAATGCACATAGGCCCCAAAGGTATGACGGTATCCTAAGAAAAGACTCTGGATCGACTATGGAAAACGGTGTGTAACATTCTTACCTCTCTTATTTATATGTTATAGTTTAATGATTTGTGATTTAATGTTTATATTCAGCTTTTTAAAGTTTCTGTATAATTTGTATTCTCACTTTTGTACATTTGCATTTCGCATCCCAGAGAATTACGTACCGAACTCGTCTATATTTTTCTCAAAATGATAGTGAAACTAATCGTCCATTTCGCGGCCCATGGAATGGCAACAAACTGACTTGTGATGGCGCTTTACAGCAATTAAAAAGATATGACAGGTTCGGAGCAGTGACAACTCGCTTGTCGCGGAAGTTGTCGCTCATCTTGGCAAAGACGGCTTCGTGAAACACTTAGCTGACAAGTTGCGTGACAGTGGCGAGATGTCGTTGATCTTGTAGTTATGACGGTTTCGAGAAACGGCCCCCGGGTCACTCTCACTCTCATTTCTTAATATAGTCTAGGGTCTAGACCTAAATGGTTAGCATGGCCATGGATGGTTACTTTTTCTTAGATATTCAAATCTGACATTGATTGTGTTTTATGTTTCTTCTACAGAGTCCTTTGGCCAAAACTTTCCTGAGGTAAGTTTTCTCTGTCACATTTTCATATGAAAGAAGAAGAAATCCATTAGTTGTTTCTTTTGCAGGGTCTTTCTTGTATTTGTTTGTTTGATCTCTGGTACTCAATGAAGGAAGAAGAAGATCCTATCCGTCCCTCGGATAGGACGTTAAATGGAGGCCCCGTGTAGAGAAGCGTCACTACCTTTGCACGTTAAGAACCCACTGCACTATTCGTATAAGAGTAGGGGGAAACCCCGGTGTAGTGGTCCACCTGCACACCCCCAGTATAGTACGATAATACTCTGTAAAGAGGTCTGTAATCAAAAGGAAGAAGAAGAAGAAGAAGAAGAAGTTTTTATTCAAGAAGATGTTTTTGCAGGTCCTTATAATCCTCCAAAGATAATTCCTGTTCAAGTTGCATGGCATGACCATATAAATTTCATTAAAGAGAAAGTGTATAGTCTTTTAATGAATATTTGCAAAGCAGTAGTAGTAAACAGTGCCCTTTGCCTTCTTTTCTTTAAATGCTTTTATTATTATACACAATAAAATTAAATAAAGCAGTGGAGGACAAACCTTTCACTGTGACAGTAGCTTCTCTCTCTCAGTTTAAGAGGCAGCTGGTTGGGGGTAACACTGCTTCAGAACTAGTTGGAGCGGGAGATATATTTGCCTACACAAGGATCACTTTTTACTACTCAGGTCTGTAACCTAGTTTTCGAACCTTTGTTGAGGCTCACCCAATGCAGCATGACACTCTAGTTCACAGCATTGCATAAAGTACACCAAATACTCTACCTGCAGTACTGTCCTACTGCTAGCACTGGAAGAAGAGAAGAAGAAACCAGGAACAAATTCCAATCGACTTCATTTCATTGATTTAAATCTTCAGATCAAAGAAGGAACTGCCACAGTCTTCGTCTGTCACATGTACAGTGTACATGAACATTAGAAAGAAAAATCTGTCTGCTTGGATAGGTTTTTTAAAGTATTTTGTCTTCGGTAAAGTCAGATGAAGTCTCAATGGAACCTATACCCAAGCAAAGTGTACCGTAAATATCTGTGTATAAGGCGCACCCCTATTTTTGAGATTTAAAAAAAAAAAAAAAAAAAAAAAAAATTCTTTTGGGTTTGCTTTTTTGCCGACACCAACTGAATTATTTCAGCGTGCGGTCTCGTTCGAAAACCAAAGCCATGATGCAGGGAATTGGGAAGGACTTTTTATTTATTACGACTTTACAGTCAAAAAGTCAAAGTAAAAAAGAATAGTAACAATGTTGTTTTTAAAACTAAAGATGACAGAAAAATTTTCCTCCCGAGTCCAAACCGAAATTAAGACAGGCTAGTTTTCGAGTGGTGATTCGATATCCCCCGTGTGAGTGAGCTGCATGATACAGGTGAGTGAGCTGGAGACACGGGAGAGCTTCGGCCGGCAAAGTGCTATGTGAAGGGGCATAATTTATTGAGACTGAAAAAAAAACAAAAAAACTCACTTCCCTTCAAATTAGGAACGTAGTTTAACTTCAAATAGTAGATCCTATTCTCTATTTGCATGTAATTCATGTTGAGACACAGAGATTTTCAGGAACCATTTGAGCATTTTGAGAACTCAAAATATCCTGTACCTGTGTATTAGGCGCACCCCCGACTTTCAATTTTTCCTGACAGAAAAAAAGTGCGCCTTATACACAGAGATTTACAGTACTCGTTTTTCGGTCTACATAAATTTGTATTTCAAACTATGTAGCGTGTTAAAAGATGGTAAAGATATGTTAAAAGAAATACAAAAGGAGACTTCTTATGTATTATAGCACCTAGGTACATGGCAGGAATTCATTCCTTGAAATGCTCGAGTCCTATGATGGCAGCTAGGCTAAAGCCAGGGTAATGAGTGAACCTCGGAATAGAATTTCTAGATAGCCCGCGCTATATACAAGTATATTTGTAAAGCGCTAACAGACATTGTATTAAAGGTATTACAAAGTTTTGGTATGGGGTCATGAATTTGGTTCAAATTAACATATCGGATGCATATGCATTCCTACAATATTCATTGATCGTTGTCCTGGTTGCAATCGAGTCTAAAGTTATGGAATTATAAATAATAAACCCTTTATGTTGTATAGCTCCCTCTCAAGGTCAAGATATCAATTTAGCTATGAAGCAATGTTTCTTGACTAAGATCGACCGATTAGCTATTCCCGTTTGGAAATTATATATCACAACTACGTATTCTGAGATTTTCATGGTCGCAGCTACCATTGTACGGCCGTAGGCGCTATTTTAAATTTATCAACATTTACCGGGAGCACCGGTAAATTTTTATATTCAATCTTTTTCAAAAACAGAAGTGTTTTAGGGTTGTTTTTTTTTAGATTTACATCCACAGGGGCATCCAAATATATCAAAATTTTAAAGATTCACTATTCACTGAATTTTCAAAATTTCCCAAAACTTTGTATTACCTTTAAGCTCTATATAAGAGCTAAATATTAATATTATTATTATTATTATTATTAACAGTGACTTTAAATTAGAAAAATCTCCTATACACAAAGTATGTTTTAAACTGTTTGTATTACTCAGGAAAGTGATGGCACCCTGGACTGTATCAGTATGGCTCTGACGTGTGCCTTCAACAAACGAGGGACCCTCCTTGCTGTGGGGTGCAATGATGGTCGGGTGGTGATCTGGGACTTCCTGACGAGGGGTATCGCTAAGATCATCAGTGCTCACGTTCACCCTGTCTGCTCTCTCAGGTTTGTTTGTTTGTTTGTTTGTTTGATTTTATTTCTGCATTAAAAAAGATACAAATTCTAATTCAAAGTAAAAAAAAAAAAAGACAATAACAAATATGTGGAATAAAATATGTACAAAAGTAATTCAATAGAAAATCATGTACAATTATATCATACAATAAACATCTACAAAAAATACAAATAAGATAAGAAATATATAGTACATTTTTTTAATAAATTAGAGAGATAATTCAGAATGCAGGTTAGTATTGAGCTGCAGCATTCATATCCACACACACCATGTGTCCAATTAATTGATTTATAATATTAATATGAAGAAGTTTGCATGCAATATTTCATAAATCTTTTAATATTTTCTGTTATAACTGATTAATGATAATAATAGTAATAACTGTTTCTTATATAGCACTTTACCAGTGATAACTGACTAAAGTTTTTATTCAGTCCACACATTACAGTGCACATTCTCCACTCCCTGGGGAGTGTTGGAGCTAGTCGCCTTTTTACTGGTGTTCTCAAGCTTATCCAATCTCATGGACCTGTGCATCCTACTAGGTAGAGAGGAGCAATGTAGATAAAATGCCTTGCGCAAGGATATAAGACTTCATGTATATGTGACAATAGGCCTGTCCTCATCAGCTTATCAGCTTCAGTTTGCCAAAAAAGCCATCATTTTAACTATCCCAATGGTAACTTAGCCAGTTATTTTGCGTCTTCATCACCCTGCAGTTGCAATTAGTGAGATATTTGGTCGAGAAAATATCCAGAGAACTGTTGGTCTTGTTTTCAAGATTGTTCGCTATTTGGGAAAAAGCGGGCTAATTTGTGCTCGTCTGAGCTAGTTTGTGATGAGCGTTTCGTTCTGGTGAAGAGGCAATTTTGAGCTTCAGGATAATATCCCGAGTCTGGAAATAGCGGGTTATTTGGCAAACTCGAGCTGATGAAGACAGGCCTACATGTATATATTCCAATCTCAAGTGATTAGACCGCTCAACCGTAGCTCTAGGTGACCTTCATCTTGTATTTCTGTCTTTGTTACACAGCTGGAGTAGGAACGGACACAAGTTACTGAGTGCCTCCACAGATAACATGGTATCTGTATGGGACGTGTCGACTGGTGATTGCGAGCAGAGGCATCGCTTTCCTTCACCGGTCTTACGGGTTCAGTTCCACCCAAGAAACAGGTGAATATAAAGTTGCTCCTCGTTAAAAATTAATTTAACAAATACCAGAGCATAATAATAATAATAATATGGATATTTATATAGCGCCGGTATCCGCCAGGCTCTGACGCTCATGGTGCTGTACATAATTATTACAATCTCGAACATATCACTTTTTAAACTAAAATACAGGTAAACTAAAACAACACAAGGTATTACGGTACACCAAATTATAATTGTCTTAATTAAATAGCACTGTTTAGAAAGAGATGGGTTTTTAGAGCAACTTTGAAGTCATGGAGGGCTGTTAATTTATCATTTCGAAAAGGGGCTACCAGTATATATTTATTTCATATCATAGCATGCACAATCAAAGTGCACTGACTTTTGTACATTTGAGAATCAAAATTGATTTTTTTTTTTTTTTTTTTTTTTTTTTTTTCTTTTTTTTCTTCGTCCTTTCACTTTTTTATGGAATAGAAATGATTTTCAAAAATGGAAACTAATAATATCTTCATTTGAAAAGATACAGAATTAACCTTTTAACAAAAATGTAATGGACAATGTTAAGAATTCACGACATTGATCAGGAAATCATAATTTCTTTATTGAAGGACTGAACTTTGTAAAAAATAATATATGAAATTTTAACAAGTGCTGAAAAAATCCTAAACAATGAACTCTCTCTCACTTGATTCTGATTTCAGGAACCAGGCTTTGGTGTGTCCCTTGAAGTATGCACCAGTCTTATTAGATCTTGATGGCTCATATAATGTAGTTCCATTGGATGATGATGTAAGTATAGTACACCAGTCTTCTTCTTTTTAAGTCACTATTATAGGCACAACGTTCACTGTTAATCAGATTTGATAGAAATTTCTTCTTTACATTGGCAAAACTAATAAGTTCTCCTTTTTTAAATCTCTCTTTATAATAAAAATGAATAATGCTAAGAGAATATACACAGACTTAGAAGGTGCCAAAGATTTGAAAATTTCCCATTTGCATTAAAGCCTTTCTGCACTAGTTTGGCCAGGAGGGATTAGACCTCCCTGCGTGGTCACTGGCAGGTGGTTATCTCATCGAATCAGCTGTCAATTAACATAAGAAAAGGGGACCATGTGTGATCAATGGGTATTGTTGACTATAAAGAGGGCGCAAGGAGCTACAAGTAGTGCAGTCCTGCTTTAAAGTGATTTTGAACTTGTCAACTGTTGGCCAATTCATGGATTATAATGGTTATTTTCCTTTGCAAATCTAGTGTCAAGCTATGGAAACAAAATAAATAAAGAGTAGACTGGAATTGATATTGAGATAAAGCAACATTCCCACAAACAATTGTGCCATCAATAATTTCTCTTACATGTACATGTAGTATATTGAAATAACAAAACTAAATTGTACATATCGATTCAAATTTCCAAGTAAATTGCACTTTGACCTACCCGATCATGTGATAAATGAGAAAGTAAACAGAAAGAACATTAGTGCATCCACTTGTCATTAATTAGACACTTTTATTGACTTTCGCTTTCATACTCAATACAGTTTATGATGTAGTGCCCTTGGTATAACCTTTAAGCCTGTTCAAGACTAATGCCCATAATTTGTGGTTTAGCTCAGTGACTTTTTGTTGCAATCACTAAAAAATAAACTGAATGCATGAGTAGAACCAGCTACAATTTTTGTTTACTCTCTATCAATTTAAAACCCCTCTTAAAGTGTTGGGAGCTCCAAATTCACAAACAATTTGATGGCAAAATTTCACTTAGATTGTATCATAATGTGAAATAGGATGTCATTTAAGACACACTTCTGCAAAGATTTCCCCTCAAAGATGTGTTTGAAGACAAATATTGATAAAAAAGAATACATATTTGGGTTTTCTGTAGTGTGCAGAAAACCTAAATTTGTATTCTGTCATCAATATTCGACTTCAAACACATTTGTTTTGAAAATCCTTGCACACAAGTGTCTTGAATGACATGCTCTTTCACATTATGACACAATTTAAGGAAAATTTTGCCATCAAATTTTTGGGGCTCCCAACACTTCAGAGACGCTTTAATATCAAGGGGGAATTCCCCTTTAACCAGTTGAGAACGACTTGAATTTGTTTCAACCTGCATTACCTATATAGACTCCAGCCCAAGCATTCTCGGGTACTCTTTTTAAAGGGTTCATTCTCACTTCTTACTACCTTTGTAGTGTTTTTAATACAAATTAAACTTAGTTTCTAAGTTAAAACCTAATTGTAGCTCTAGCTCTTTTCCTGTATGTGACAAAATAAAGACAGGGCCCTGTTTCATGAAACTTATTATCAAAAACAAGTTAGAATAACTTTGATAAGCTACTGAAATTGTGACATTTGATTGGCTGAGAGCAAATTTGTCATGGAATTTTAGGATGAGTTATTGATAACAAGTTTTATGAAACAGGCCCCTGGGTTGATGCCAAAGCAAATCCTGTAACGTCAGCCTGTGTTAGTAGTAGTTTTTATATTTTACACATTAATTGCGAGTCATTTGCATAGGGATAAAACCTCTCATTACCGGTATGTTACTATAACCTGTACATGATATGTACTTATGAAGAGATAACTGCATGTTGTTGCTTTTTCTTTCCAGTTTGATACCACTATTGTAGCATCATTTGACAGAAAGGGAGATCATGTCTATGCTGGCAACGCCAAAGGAAAGGTATTTAACTTTGGATTTTTTTTTTTAATGTTGAAACCTCTTTCAATTTTTTTTGTCCATACTCTACATTTTACCTTTTAAAAGTCTCTGCCATTTCACATTTTAATAATTGTATCTTGTCACTGCTTTTCTTGTTACGTAAGGTCTTTATGAAAACCATCGCAGAATTTTTGAGAATTATACAAATTATGGGAAACGTGTTGGTCAACAATTATCAGAACTTTTCAAGCAATTTTATCTCAAGGAAAGTAATGTGAAATTTGTTTTGTTTGTTTTTTTGTTCATATTTGAGTGTATTTTTTTCCTTCTCTATCTCTCTCTATATATCTCTCTCTCTCTTCATGTATTTTCTCTATCTATTCCCCTCTTTCTCCCTCTCCCTCTCTCTCTCTCTCTCTCTCTCTCTCTCTTTTGTGCTCTAATATAGGTCATAGTAATTCATGCAGGAACCCGTAAGCTGGTAGCTTCATTCAAAGTCACAACTGGAACAAGTAATACCACAGCTATCAAGTCTATTGAATTTGCAAGAAGGGGAAAGTAAGTTTTAATTTGCACCTCAGCTAGAATGAATTTTCTGTAAATCTTGTTGAATTCTAGCACAGTGGGACAAGTTTTAATTTATTGTTGACTGGTTATTGCTCATGTACCTATCTTCCTAAAGATCAGGGAGTGTTTCACAAAGACTAAGATCGACTTTAAGTTGGACTTAACTATGGCAGGCCGTTCATGCCACTGTTTGCCTTATGTACACGTTCCTTTAGTACATGTTTCAAGGAGAAACCATTTTCAAGGGAAACAAAAATGTGGTCTTTCTATACAGGTGGTCACTAAAGCAGGATTGACTGTACTACCTATTCAAATAATGATAGAATGTTTTATTTGTTTAGTTTGACATTTTTATTTTGACAAATTTTGAATGATTTATTCATTCTCGTTTTCATTGCCAGTTTTTTCTTAGTGAATTCGACTGACAGAAATCACCGAATCATCTGGGTTTATGAGAGCAATATCATACTAGCTAAATGAAAGAATGTTAGAGTATTTTTATGTGATTTAAGATATTACTTTTCATGAAATACGTTAACCCAAAACCATGTATTCTTTATATTCATTTTCATTTCTAGTTGTTTCTTAGTGAATTCTGCTGACAGGATCATCCAGGTGTATGAGCAATAGCATACTAGCTTAATGTGATTTAAGATGTTATTTTTAATGAAACATGTTAAACAAAAACCATGTACCGGTATTCTTTTTATTATAATTCATTTTCATTTCCAGTTGTTTCTTAGTGAATTCGGCAGACAGGATCATCCGAGTGTATGAGAGTGGTGAGGTACTCGCCTGCGGGAAGAACGGGGAGCCTGAACCCATCCAGAAACTCCAGGATCTTGTCAACAGAACACCCTGGAAGAAATGCTGCTTCTCAGGGGACGGAGAATACATTGTTGGAGGTAAAGAAGCAGAATGAGGTTGCAGGATGTTCAAAAATATTTGTTTCTACCTACCAGATAATAATATTCAGTTCTTGTATGGGGCATATCACATTGTTATAACGGCTCCCATGTGCTCCCATAGAGCTTAGGAAATTATTACCCTAGCTTTAACTCTGGCAACCGTTATCAGCGCGCAGTGCATTCCAAGGAATAATCCTACCGGGTACCCTATTACCTCACCGGGGTCGAGTATGGCAAATGTAGATTAATGTCTTGCCAAAGGACATTAGTGCCGCGGCGGGATTGAACCGCCGGCCTTGTGATCAACAGTCCGGTGACATATCCACTCGACCACGGCACCTCTACAGATGAGCGAGTAACTCTTAAATTTGCTTCCCCAAGTTCCAAATTCACTTGTCCCATCTTTCATATCAGATTGGACAAGTGGGACAAGCAAGTTTATAAAATGTGTTTTGATATAAGGAATCAGTACAGATTCACAAAGTCTGTGTTTGCCTATGGTTTCCTGTGATAGGGAGGATGTTTTACTTATAAATCCGTAATAATTTTGCCTTTACTTTTTATGCCTCCGTTACGAAGTAGCCGGAGGCATTATGTTTTCGGGTTGTCCGTCCGTCCGTCCGTCCGTACGTCCGTACGTCCGTACGTCCGTACGTCCGTACGTCCGTCCGTCCGTCCGTACGTCCCGTTCTCGTGATCGCGTTATCTGAAGAACCGATTGATGGATTCCTGCCAAACTTTGGTCATGTATGTTACTTGCAGAGCCGATGAACTGATTAGATTTTGGGGTCACGAGGTCAAAGGTCAAAGGTCACAGGGCTCATTATGTATGCAAAAACAGCTCGTGATCGCGTTATCTGAAGAACCGATTGATGGATTCCTGCCAAACTTTGGTCTTGTATGTATCTTGCAGAGCCGATGAACTGATTAGATTTTGGGGTCACAAGGTCAAAGGTCACAGGTCACAGGGCTCATTAGGTATGCAAAAAGAGCTCGTGATCGCATTATCTCAAGAACCGATCGATGGATTCCTGCCAAACTTTGGTCATGTATGTATCTTGCAGAGCCAATGAACTGAGTAGATTCATGGGTCATGAGGTCATGAGGTCAAAGGTCATGGGCTCATTATGTATCCAAAAATAACTTGTGAACGCATTCTCATTAGAACTGACAGATGGATTACTATTTAACTCAGGACATCTTGCAGAGCCAATGAACTGAGTAGATTTTAGGGTCATCAGGTCAAAGATCAAAGGGTCATATATGTATATGAGAAATTGCTTGTAATCACGATATTCTGAGAACCTCTTAATGGATTACAATTGAACTTGAATTTGAAAAATTTCTTCTGTTTTGGTTTGTAAAATTGCTCTATGACGGAGGCATCATTTTCGACTGCGCGCAGTCGAAGTTCCATCTAGTTTAATAAACATGTGAGCATCAGATCACAGATTTGACCTCTGGCTCACTATTTATGTATTTCTCTCTCCTCTCTAACTCTCTAACTATCTTAAAATACCAGAGCGTAGTAATGGCAGCCATGCTCAAGCTGGGTAATAAATGTAGAGCACCAGGGGGGTGTTTCACAAAGATCATAAGTCGAACTTAACTCTAAGTTGGACTTAAATATTATGGAGAGCCATTGGTAGCCTTAAAATAAAATATATTCAAATAAAAATTCAAGTATTTTAGACTTTTCATAAATTACACATCAAGAACATAAAATCTCCTTGATAATAGAAAATATGAATGATTTGAATTAACATTTTATGCCTTTTAAAATAACTTCTACAAAGTATTTTCAAAGATGCTAAGGCTTTCCATAACTTTTAAGTCTAGCTTAGAGATAAGTTCAATTTGGGATCTTTGTGAAACATCCCCCAGGAGTGTCAAGTCTGACGGACATGATCGCTTTTTACAAGAACCCACTTTTATCATTATTTTTATGATGATCTCTACAGGTTCGGCTAGGCAGCATGCTCTCTACCTTTGGGAGAAGAAATTTGGCTCCCTTGTTAAAATCCTTCACGGTACAAGAGGAGAGTTGCTATTGGACGTCGTTTGGCATCCTGTTCGACCAATCATAGCCTCTGTATCAAGTGGTGTAGTGTCAGTGTGGGCCCAGAACCAAGTGGTAAGTTCCGTAATATGGATTATGATTTGTTCATGTGAATCCTGCTTACATGTACCTGATTGGCTAAGAGCCGGTCAGGTGTCATGCTTATATTTACTATCAAAGAGTTGCGATTGATCCAAATCAATCATAAGTCCTCCAATCAATCGCAAGTTTGCAGTCCCCTATCCCTTATGTACATAGTTGCGATTGATATGAATCCCAATTAGTTGCGATTGATATCAACTCTTTGTAAGATGGGGCCCAGGTGTCATACTTATATTTACTATCAAATTTACCATGCATTTTGTTACTAAATGTCTTTCAGGAAGACATTGATGAATATTTGGTACTTTCCACCCAGGTTTAGTAAATGAGTAACTTATAGGAATTTCATACCCTTTGTATGCTTTCAGTGCCTTAGGGCATTAGGGCTAAAGCCAGGGTAATAAAAGTACTTTGTAGGTACCTTGAGCATCCCCTGGGATGGATACGTGCACAACTTGAATGTAACCATTGTTATTATTATGTAAGTCTATTTTGCAAAGTATTGGTACGCATGTTTGTGTTCTGCCTCAAGCTTGCACCTAAAAAATGTGGATACAGATAAATGTGCTTTGGTAGAAATGTAAGGTTTGATCAAGGTTCTCTTTACAATGTTACACTCAGAAATCAGAACAATATTCAATTTGCATGATACATGCATAGTATATCCACTGAACAAATGAAATGTATGCTGCTATATATTGTTGCAAGTGAACAATGAATGGAAAATATACAATATTATGCCCTAATTGCAACTTGTCGTTGAGAGATGTTTGGTTGTTTATTTTCATTTTGGAAGATGTTTAGGTTACTATCATTTTTTGTGTTGGTCTCTCCCATATAGGAAAATTGGAGTGCCTATGCACCAGACTTCAAGGAGTTAGACGAGAATGTTGAATATGAAGAGAGGGAGAGTGAGTTTGACATCGAAGATGAAGACAAATCGGTAGAAGACCCTACAGGTAAGAAGGACATTTATTGTCTTTGATTCTGCTCATATGATAGTCTGTTGTGTGTGATGTACTTTATGTATCGTCTAATGTGAGCCAGAAGGACATTAACTCTGTAAGATAATTTGAATTTAAACCCTTCTGGCCCTAAAGCCTGAATTCAATTCAATTGAATAACTCATTAAAAACACATAAAATAAAAATACAAGTAAAAATACAAAATTATAAAATTAAAAACATCATGATAATAAATACAAGTAAAGCTTGGTTTTAAAATGAGTTGCGACAAATGAAAGATTAAAAACTTGTAAATTTCATCCCTACATTACCTATGATGACGCCCAGTAAGTCTAAAGGCTTGTAGAGGGTCATTAAACAGGTCTGTTCCCTGATCATGTAAAGCTCAACAAATCAATCTTTACACAGGGTCAAAATTTAGTCCAAACAATTAGCTTCCGGTTTTCATTGAGCTTTGACCTAAATACATTGATGATGAATTGAAACAATTTCTCTATGCATTTTCGAAAGTACTAAAAAAAACTCACAACGCAACCTTGTTATCTTGGAAATTTTTTGAGGAAACTCATCATAAAACATAATTTTGCAGAATTGCAGGTTTACCTGATGACTGCTTTGTCGTTCGTTTGGTCTTAGGAAGAATATAAAGGTGTACATCATCTAAATAGGAAGATCCTTATTAGCCAAATGATTGTCTCCTCATCGAGCTCTCGAAGTCCAGAAGCATTGTGAGGGGATTTGTTGATAGGACAAGCATCAATGAAGTGATGACTGCTTTGTAATAATGTGATTTATTTATTTCCCCAACAGAAACTAACAATGTGGAAGATGTGGAGGTGGATGTCTTAACAGTGGAACCTATCTCAGCATTCATTAGCAGGTGAGACAAGTAAAAATGTAGAAGACAAATTTTTAAAAAATGATACTTTTTTTTTTTTTTTTTTACTGTATATACTGTATATAACAGACAAACAGGTACTCTGAATTTTACACCTGTCTGTTGGACTTACTTTAAGTAAAGGTGAAATTTATTGACTGGTCAGGCAATTATTTTGTATAATTTATCATTCGTGAAATACATATATTCCCCGTATAGAATATAAGGCTGCGACGGGTAGTCGAATGCTTGAGTACCCGCACGGTTGACAACTACTCGGGTACGATTTCTTGTACCCGAATATTCGGCCGCAAAAAAAAAAAAAAAAAAAAAAAAAAAAATGTCCAGGCCCACGCTTACCCGTGCCAGGGAGAGCAGCATCCGCTGGCATGGTACCGTCGGTAAAAATGTTTCCAAACTCAAGCACTGTCAAACTCACCTTTCAGAAACTGGGACCAAATGTCCAGATTTCTGTTTGGACTTGGAGGAAAATGGATTATTCTGCCATCTTTGGTTTTTAAAACAGCATTGTTTACTGTTATTATTCTTATTAAATCGGCGCCTTCAACTGCAACTCAAAGTAAAGTTGCATGCGTTTTCAGCGAGCTGCGCGAGGGACCTGAGAAACTGCCGAGTGGTATGGTAGTGGCAAAAAAAGAAAAAAAAGGAAAAAAAATCCAAAAATTAAAAAATTAAAAAAAAATCAAAAAAATTCAAAAAAATTATAAAAAATTATAAAAAAAACATGGCGTCCGAATACTCGAGTATTCGCCTGTGAGCCTGTGTGTGTACTCGGGTACCTCATTACACTGTTGTGCACAGCCCTATTAGAATAGGAGAAAATATTTCACATCATCTAGATATATAATGTTAGTATTGTGCTATTTATCAAGTAACATCAAATTTAATATTGTAGGTCATTTTCGTAATGTAATAAAATTCAATGCATGAATCTTTAAGTGCCTTGTTACAAATTTTGTCATTGCCAGTTACAAATAATTTTATTTCAGAAGTCAGAAAACAAATGGCATACATTATGTGTTATTAGGTTAGGACAAGCCATAATGTTTGTTCTACGTAGCAACAATTAATATATGCAATTCACATTGTGACTAATGAAATACAACTATTTGTAGCAGGTGAATGAAAAATTTAGAAAGGAGGCACTAAACAAAGATTTATGCATTAAATTTGATTGAATTTCAAAAATGGTGAATTGATTAACTTGTCCTCTTTCCATTTTTATTTTTTTTCCTCTCTATCAGTGATGAGGAGGAGGAGCCTAAGAATGTTCTTCTCTACCTCCCTACGGCTCCTGATGTTGAGGATACAGAGGACCAATCATGGGCTCCCAATGCTGATCCGGTAAGTACATCAACATCTTGGGGTTATGAACTGAGTAGATTTCAGGTGTGAGAGGTCGAAGGTCACAGGGTCATGAAAATGTAAAAAGTCCCAGAAAATATCTAATGTGCGCATGATAGCTGGAGAACCATTTGGGTAATTAGTGGTTAATGCTAGTAGTTGGTTCATTCTTCTATTTGAGTGCTATTAAGAAATCATGTGTATACTTGAAAGTAAGCATCCAGGGGACAAACATCATTGAGTCCTCTCCAAGGGATTTGCTATTGAGGATTAATGCCTTACTAGGGCACTAGAGCCCCCTTTTTTGTGCCCTTTTTTCAACATTTGGGAAGGGGGGGGGGGGTAGTTGCAGAATTCTGTGCTAAAGCTCCTAGAGAAGCATATTGGTATCAAAGATGAAATTTTTTCTTGACTTTTTTTTTCTTCTAAACAAGATAAATATGCCAACCCCAACTAAAGCTCCCAAGAGGCCAAAATCCCAAGGGCTTCCAATGGTATTTACCTAGGAAGATTCTTCTCAGATATTGTGCTTCATAGCTCCCGAAATATGTTCTCAGGCTCGCCTTCCATACTTCCTATACAGATTATAGAAACAGCTAGACAAGTTAACAGTTGTAGGGCCTCCACAGAAAACAGTATTTAACTACTAAAAAAAGACTAATAAATAAATAAAATAAATAAATAAATAAACAATGTAAAATTTTCATTGTCCTTTTTTGCTATTATCATTATTCAGACGGATGAGCCGCCCCCAACTGAAGCTCCTAAGCGGCCGATCGCCCAGGAACCTCCCATGGTTTCACCCAAGAAGAGGAAAGTCAAGACCCATGATATCAACCTCAAGGGAGCGCCAGCAGATGGTAAGAAATCCAAACTTCTGGGGGGTGTTTCACAAAGACTAAGATTGACTTTAAGTTGGACTTTACTATGGCAGGTCTCTCATGCCACTGGTTGCTCTCACCATTGGTCTCTCAATTTTGATATTTAGATAACGTTTTTTCCTTCAATAATGAACTATCAAAAAAAGCTGAATTATGTAGATGTGTGACCATAATTTGTACATCTCTTGAGAGACCATTGCAAGTAAATGGTGAGAGCAAACAGTGGCATGAATGGCCTGCCATAGTTATTTAGTCCAACTTAGTCTTTGTGAAACACCCCCCCTGGTTTAACCCTTTTGTGATAATCATTCTACATTTTGTGATTTTTGCCCCAAAACTTTGATTCAGAGCCCATAAAAATTGTACCAGATGCATGTGTAGAACGGGCAAAAATGTCTACACATACTGCATCCATTTTTGTTTTTATAATTATCTTGCCTTTAATGTCACAAAACTTAAAAAAGAAAATAAGCTTGCACATTGAGAAATTGCACATTGGGCAATTTTTCAACTTATCCACATTAGATTGTTGTACCGTATTTGCCGGCGTAAAGGCCGCAGTATTTTTGGAAGAGAAAATATCAAAAAGTCGGGGTGCGACCTATGCGGCGAAAGAGTAAAAAAAAAATTTTAAAAAAGTCAAAACCAGCACGAATTTGCACATATGGGACTAGATCTACGAACGGTACAATAACTATACATTTCCACACATCTTACCGACAATTTTATCTTGCATTGTTGACATGAAGATGAAAATAAACTTCCAAAAACAACATCTGCCGATAGATCTTGATCTAAGTTCTGCCAATGCATTGCAAAAGTAAAAGAAGAGCCTGTTTAACGGAGCTGCTGCGAAGCATCTAGCACGCGAAGTCGCTATTTTGAATCCATTTCAATACACAAGAGAGAGGCGCAATGTATACATCACAGAAAACTCCATATGCTAGCATCAGTGCGCCGAGCGGTCTAAGGCGCTGATTTTAGTCACATCAACATTTGTACGCAAGAGCTCGAATCCCGACTTCGACAAAAATATATATACTTTTTTTTCTTTTTTTTTCCGAGCAGTCTTAGGCGCTGATTTTAGTCACATTAACTTTGTACGCAAGAGATCAAATCCCGACTTCGACAATTTTTTTTTTTTTTAAATGTCAAAATCGGGGGTGCGGCCTATACGGCGCTGCGGCCTTATCGCCGGCAAATACGGTATATTGTTTTCAGGGAGAATTTCTAGTCTTGTTTACTTTTTGTACTATTTTAGTTGGTTATTAGGGCTTTTGAATGGATCGTGGGTCTGTAGTTTGACCCAAAAAGAGTATTACTTATAAAAACAGTTTTTTTTTTTAATAGTCAATTATAACCTTGCATTTGTCGATCTATAATAAGTGCATTTGTCAATGACCAACTGCAATAATCAAAGAATTACACATTTTGGAAGCCCTGGATTCCTTACACAACAGAGATTTTCCCTTCCTATGTTACAGATATCCATCCACTATTAGGAGGAAACAAGAGCGAAGGCAAGACACGCAAGAAGGCTGTAGGTCCGGGCAAGTCAACGAAAGAAGGTCGTAGCACCAAGCACAGGAGATCAAGACACAGGGATGATTCGGATTAGAGCAGTGTGTAGAAAGATATTCAACTCCTTGTATGAAATTTGTAAAATATGTAGATATGCTTGTAAAGTATTGTTATGTATCCATTTATGTGGAATAATGAGCCAGTTGTATGGCCATGTAGTGGTACAGGATTGTAAGGGCGGCTTCAGGATTATGAAAAGGAGGGGGGGGGCAAAATTAAGACAATCAACAAACTTCTTTTTAGTATACTTCAGGAATGACATATTGTGTTTAACTGGGGGCTTGGGCAGTTGTGCCCCAACCCCTTTAAATTTGCTACTGTATCTTTGTATTTACATATTCTGGCACTTTGGTTTAATAAGCAGAAGTAGCTACCAAATAGTTGATAATGAGAATATCAAAGTAGATGTTTCTTGTAGCAAAGTCAAAATATGTGGATTAACAATCCATATGCCATCATGAGAGGGAACAAATTTAAGTGAACTCAGACTTGTTTCTATGATTTAAAAAGGATTAAACAGATTTGATACTACATTTGTTGTAACATTATTGCTGGTTGTCCTTTTCCATTTCAAGTCTGGAAAATGTCGATCATTGTATACATGAATTCTATTGAAAATTGGAAGTGGATGTCTTACATTTTTTCTTTCAAATTATCACAAATCCTTTAAAATCTAGCTACTTATATATCACAATCTAAATTACATTCATTATAATGTAGATGTAGATACATGTGTATTGAGAAAGCAGCTATAAATGAACCAATCGTGAAGAATGCGATGTGTACCATAATACTCATGGCTTCACTTTTAACAGCCTCAACAGTATCTTGAAACTATAGGCCTAATGGTGAACAATGAGTTTTAGTTAGTTCGACATGCAAAAGGTACAAACATAGTTTGACAATGTAATCTTTAATTTCTTCTTCAGGAATATAAAGGCTATGTTACATGACCATGGGAATAAATGACACAAACTTATTTAAATGTTTAGTTTGTTTATTATTTTATTAAAAAAAGGTAACAAGTAGCACATTTTATAAATAATGGTTGACATAAAATCCAGTGTTGTTCAATGCATATATTTTCCTGGTCGATTAGAATAGTCTGTGTTTGGTATCTCTACAATCTTCTGCCAAGCAACGATACATTGTTAAGTATGTATTACCGGAGCAGAATCAAAGTCATAATTGAATATGAATAACAAGTGCAGAAACAACCCAAAGAATTGATATGCAAAGTAAATAATCACAAACCTGTTGATGAATAAGTACATGCAAATAAAGTACATGTACTTGGTAACACTTGCTGCAACTTAGTATTGGTCACTCGTTTATAAAGTACCTATTTTTGGTCCCTCGGGTTTATTTGATCAATGCCTTCATATATAACTATATTTGAAGTCTTAGTAAGTTCTGCCCTCAGTAATGAATATATAGTAGTAGTCTCTTGCCTATTCAATAAGTCTACATAAACAAATTTGTAATTTATAAACAAAAGTCTTGAATGATAGAGGCATTTCAATAGAATCATAATACTGTTTGTGTACATAATGCCACCTGTATGATTCAGTGTACATGTATGTCATGCACAATGTACTTGGTATGATATAGGGTACATGTACATGTAATATCGTAATGCACTGTATAACACTGTGCCATGTAAGTACCATCAATTCAGAGCAAAAGGGCGTTAACTCTTATACAGAGTCAATGGCCTTCTTGCTCCACACATACGATACAAGGGTAAACTTTACACTGTACGCTCCACTCAGCAATGCCGCAATAATTTTTTTCAAATAAACAATGGTTAGCTGTACAGCAAGCCACAATTTTTCTTCTGTACCGCATGGATTGTAAATACATGTATACAACTGTACAAATAAATGATGTAAACAGTGCAAAATTATTTGATATTTCTTTTTGTTGTTATTCCCCCATCTACCATATGTATTTGTGGTTTGCCTTATATGTGTATACGATGGAATCTCGTTAAACAGTAACCTATGACAGGTACAAGGCCTTGTACACCTGGTTTTAGAATGAAAGGACTGTCCCCTATTTGGCACTGAGGGTGTGTCATTTTCTGACAGTCCAAGCAGTAGACTATGTATTTACATGCTTCTGCCTCTGTACAAGACGTTTTCAATATGACTACAGTAGGAATTTTTCTCGTTCGCAAGGAGGTTTATTACAGGGTTCGTACGGGTCATGGAAAACCTGGAAAGTCATGGAATTTTACTTTATTGCTTTTAAGGCCTTGAAAGTCATGGAAAATTATTTTTTCCATTGGAAAGTCATGGAAAGTCATGGAATATCAAAATTATGGACAACTATAGTATTTTCTCACTATACAAGTGAATAAATGGAGATATTTCAACCATTTTCTTCTCGTATTTTCTTTCATTCGTAACATACCGACTGATTGTACTTGTGAATGTGTTCACTATGATCGATGGATAAGCGCTGTGTACGTGGGTGTGTACGTGTACGATACGAACTACGTGTGTATGGTCAGTGTATGGCGGTACGGTCCACATCGTGCGCACATGGCTAGCTTGCGAGCGAGCTCGCTAGCGCTAGCTCAGTTCAGCAAGCTAGCGCACGTGTACGTGTGCAGTGTGTGTGTGCATATGATGATGGTGCCAACGCGACATGTGATACTCCAAGAACGAATGTAATGCCTCGATTGCACTTTGGCTTTGCATTAAATTGCGACCACTTAGACTACTACAATTTTTACACTTCTCCAATAAATGAGGAAAAAGTAAATTAGTAATATTTGTTTTTTAATTTTCATTATTTAAATAAAAAAGGAACAATACTGACGTGTCAACAAGGCAAATTGGCAGCGCTAGCTCGTTGACGATCTATATATCGACGCGACGGCATGTGTTTTGAAACTTTTGTGCATGTGTTGATTCTTCATGAAACGGAGTTGTTTATTTTCACAGACCTTGGAACTCGTCACGTGGATATTTTCACCATTACAAATTTTGTGGAAGTGATATTCAAAATGCCTGGAAATTGTCATTTTAAGGATGCTTGGTTAGAACACCCGGATTACCGTGGCTGGATTTTGAAAGAAAGTTCCGATCTGGGGACTGCTAGATGTGCTGTTTGTATGTGTAAATTCAGTGTCCGTAATATGGGCGAAGCAGCCGTCAAGAGCCACAAGAAGAGTGAAAAACACACAGCAAACCTCCAACAGCAACAACGTCGTAAGTGAGCATTTTTAATGTGAATTTTACCGATCCTTTATTGAGCATGAATCCAAATAATGACTGATAATAATTATATAAAAATGAAAGATTTGAGATTATTTAGCGATGCGATGTCACCTCGCAGGCATTGGTTACTGCTTACTGCGACCAGCCCGTTCGGGAGCGTCCCCGGCCCCGGGCCGGGCCGGCTAGGTTACTGCATGCAACAGCCCGAACGCTAACCCAGGGGGCTCCGCACTCACACGCCAGTGTTGTACCGGGCACTGTATGTGGACTGCAGAAAAAAAAAATAATAATAATTTACCTTAAAATTGACCCCAAAAATCATAAAACTAAATTTTGTACTTACAATTGGGTCCAACAGTTTGCTTGCCTTGAGAAGTATTTCCTCCTTTCTATTTCTTTAAAATATGTTTTTAAGGAATGAGTCAAAATTAGTCCACTTGTCTTAGTGACTTACATCAATTGGCCAAAAGTTGCCGTGAATTTTTTTTTTTTTCCTTCCCCATACTGTCAAACGGTTGTCAAAATAGGAAAACGTTTATGCTTTTAATGGTCGTTTGAACGGCAGTTAAACGTTTTGACTCGGCCCTAAATCTTACCAAATGATGATATTTATATTTTATTTATTTTAATAGACATTTTTTTCTTTTCTCCTAGATTCTACTCTCTCACTCAAGAGCTTCTTCAAGGCAAAAGGTGCAGAAAGTTCATCAGTATCTATCACGTCTACAGATGCAACAACCAGTACTTGTGCGCCATCAACCTCTAAAGTGACAACTCCCATTCCTGTTGCTGCAAGAGAGGAAACTTTAAAAGCTGAAATACTCTGGTGTCTGAAAGTGGTGGAGGATCATTTATCATTTCATTCTTGCCAGCACAACAGTGAGCTCTTTCAAAGAATGTTTCCGGACTCAGCTATTGCTAAGGGTTTCACGTTGTCAGAAACAAAATGTCGGTATATGACGGTGTTTGGTTTGGGCCCATATGTGCAAGACCTCCTTTATGACAACATAAAACAATCAAACCACTATGTGATACTGTTTGATGAAAGCCTCAACAAGAAGCTCCAGAAAAAGCAGATGGACTTCCTCATAAGAACATGGCAACACAATGAAGTTTGCACTCGCTACTTGACGTCTGTGTTCATCGGACATGGTTCAGCTGTTCACCTCAAGGAAGAACTGAATAAAGTTCTGCACACAGTTGGCTTGGAAAAATTACTGCAAATATCAATGGATGGTCCCAACGTTAATTGGAAGATGTATGATGACTTTACGCGAGAGTACACTGCTGACCTGACCAAATCCATACTGAATATAGGCTCATGCGGGCTCCATATAGTTAATGGTGCTTTTCTGACAGGTGCCAAGGCTGCTGACTGGGAGGTGGAAAGCTTTCTATCATCCTTGTATTACCTGTTTTCTGATTCCCCTGCCAGAAGAGAGGATTATCAGAAGATAACTGGAGATCATACCATGCCACTTAAGTTTTGCAAGACCCGATGGCTGGAAAACCTTCCTGTTGCAGAGAGAGCAATCAGCATCTGGGAGAGTGTATGTGCGTATGTTAAAGCAGTAGAAGAGAAGAAAATCCCTCACCCAAAGAACAAGTCCTTTGAAACTGTTTCAAAATGTACTCATATAACTGATTTCTTAGCAAGACTGTACTTCTTCATATCTGTTGCAAAGCTGGTCAATCCTTTCCTAACAGACTATCAGACTGATGCACCAATGCTGCCCTTTTTAGCTGAAGACCTTACTAGAATGCTTGCATCCCTTATGCAGCGATTTTTAAAGCTGGACAGGAGTACCATTACTTCTCCTTACAAGATAATGCAGGTAGATGTTAGCAGTGAGGCCATTCAGCTGCCCTTGGCCAAGTTGGACATTGGATTCTACACTGAGAAGAAGCTGAAAGATCTGAAGGCGAAAAATATCATCAGTGAGCTGAAAGTTCTGGAATTTCGCACTCAAGCAAAGAAGTTTCTTGCTGCAATGACCCGGAAGCTCATTGAGCGATGTCCGCTTAAGTATGCACTTGTGAGAAATATAGGATGCTTGAGTCCAAAGAACATGGCAAAAGACAAAGAAAACTCCACTGCAAAGCTGAAGAGGGTGCTTAACACCCTTAGTGATGCCCACAGACTTAAGGATTCATGTGACGATATCCTAAGAGAATACTCAGAAGCATGTGATGAGGCATCAAGAAGTGCAGAGATGAGAGACTTTGATCCAAAGAAAGAGAGATTGGACTCTGTAATGTGCAAATTTCTGTCCGAGTCTCGCTATTCGACCCTCTTAAAGTTGGTCCGCATGTTGCTTGTCTTGTCCCATGGACAAGCCTCCATTGAGAGAGGTTTCTCAATCAACAACGAAGTTGAAGAGGACAATCTCCTGGGACACTCACTGATATCATTGAGGGCCATTTATGACCATATCAAGTATGTTGGAGGAATCAAGAATGTGACTATTGACAAATCAATCATGTTGGCTGCGTCTGCAGGCAGGCAGAAATACCACATCTATCTCGATGAACAGAGGCGTAAAAAGGAAAAGGAAAAGAAAGAAGGAAAGAGAAAAGGACTGATGGATGGTTTGGAAGAACTAAAGGCCAAACAAATGAGACTGCAAGCAGATGTGAAAAGTCTTCACACCTCAGCAGACAAGTATGCTGAGGAAGCAGAGTCACAAGGAAGATTGACTTGTATTTCCAAATCAAACAGCCTCCGACGTACAGCAAAGGAGAAGGCATCCCAGTTACAAGTAATTCAGAAACAGATTGATGAACAGCTGAATGCCATTAAGAATTATTAAAGAACTTGGACAGTTTGTTACCAATGCCACCAAATATTCAGACAGGTGCAATGTGTAGAGGGATTTCTTTCAAACAGCTACATGAAGATGTCTCAAGAAAAAACTCATTCAGAAATTATTGACCAGCTTAATGCTAGCGAAACAAGAATTCATCAGCTGATGTGAGTAGGCCTACTGTGTTTTGTTGGTGAAATCAAAATTGGTGATGGTATGTGTGTGAGTTTGTGTGTTGGTGTTGTTTTGTTTTCTTTTTTTTTTGGGGGGGGGGTAGTTACCTTGTACATGCAAAGGAGAGCTATTGAAGGAATCATGGTGGTCCATGAAACCAGGAACAGGCAATTTGTATTCTTTAGAAGTGAAAATTGCCATTAAAAAATGGACAATTGTTGATATGAATACATGTATGTGTAATTGTAAGAATATTATATAGCAGTGCATATCGAATATGATGAAAAAATAACATGTAATTGTAACAGATGAAATAACTAGATAACAAAAGCTGCCTTTCTATTAGTAGACTTGAAACATGCACTTTGCTTCGCTTTGATTTGAGATCAAATTTTCAGTCTACCGTGTAAAAAAAATGTGTAAAAGTCATGGAAAGGTCATGGAATTCTGGCTAGAAAAGTCATGGAAAGTCATGGAATTAAATTTATGAGAAAGAGTATGAACCCTGTATTATAATAGGATTCCATTATATAGTCCTGATGCTCAGACCTTTTAATACAAAGAACATAATTCAACAGCTTACAGCACATAGTGTACATGTACACAATGTAAACGCAGCATTTTTACTTTGCAAATTGAATACATGGGTCCATGCATTGCATACTGTAAGTGTTTTTTTGTGGGTCTGATTAGGTTTAGTCCAAATCGGCCCAAATTGTACGGTCCAATAAAGTTTAGTCCGCATAAGTTTACGTCGAAAGGGTCCCAACAAGCCCCAGCAGAACTGGTCCAATTCAGTTTAGTCTACATCAGGCCCAGTAAAAGGTTCCAATTAAGGTTAGTCCTGTATCCGCTCCAGTACAATGGGGCCAATTAGTTTAGTCCATATCAGTCCAAGTAGAAAAGATGCGATTATTATGTCTCCACATCAGGGGGGCGTTTCACAAAACTTGTCATCAGTGACAAATGACAGTTTTTGTTATAAGCTACTGAAATCCTTGCTTCTGATTGGTTATTAGCAGATTTGTCACTGATTTTTTTGTCTTGAAAAATGTTTTGTGAAACAGGTCCCTGGTCACATGGAATGGCTCCATCCAAGTCCGCACCTCTTCAAGGAGCACAGGTCCAATTCGTTTTAGTCTACGTCTGCTCCTGGTAATGAGCTCTTCCACGTATCATCCCACAGACAATGCAGCTTTTGGTCCACGTGATAGTTAAACGAGTGACAGCGCTTACAAGTCTTTATCCCGCACCGGTAGCTGACGACGTTTCCTGCCGAATCTCTCCCGCGGCAGTACTTGAGACCGCACGGGTACCAACCGATACAGACCTCCAGCTGGCACGAGCAAGGTAGCTGAACTTCCGGTACCCCACCGCACTGTTTTTCGTTGCTGGAGACTGGCAATGCTTGTACAGCGTTCATGAGAGCTGTGTAGGTCAGATTGGATCCTGCAAGTTGGAAAAGAGAGAAGTTGAAGAATAATGTAGCATGAATGATTACTTGTGTTAATTGTTTATGGAGGAAATATTAGATCAATGCAGTCTGTGATCTGACATTTGCTTCAGGCTTTATTTATCAAAGGCAGAGAGTTAGAATTTAAGTTGCCATTGTGTTTTAGGTGAGGATTAGGGTTTTAGGTGAGGTTTAGGGTTTTCAGGTTTAGGGTTTAGGGTTTTAGGTGAGGTTTTAGGTGAGGTTTAGGGTTTAGGGTTTTAGATGAGGTTTAGGGTTTTAGGTGAGGATTATGGTTTTCAGGTTTAGGGTTTTCAGGTTTAGTGTTTTAGGGTTAGGTTTTGGGTTAGCTTGGGGTTAGGTATAGTGTCGAGACTAGGGTTGAGACTAAGGTTGAGGCTAGGAACCCTATCATTGTAATAAAATGACAGCAGAACAATGTCACTGGAGAATGTGTCAGGAAATTATACATCCCACCCTAAATACATGTAAGATGAACCCTCGAGAGACAGTAGAGAAAGTGGTCTATATAGACAGGTGGTTCATAGCATATGTTACTTTAATGCCAGTGTATTAAAGTGGGATACAAAACATTTATTGGAAAACAAAATTGTCTTTGTAGACAAGGGGAGACAAAACAAGATTTTACAATACCAGCAAATCCAGTGAAAAGCAATTGAATCTCTTATTCACCATGCCGCGATTTGATTGCATTATAACAATGGGGATGGTAAACTTGTCCAGTTTCAGCTAATTTGGGAATATCATTTTTTGAGGCCATGAAAGGGGATGTGATTTATAACCAATTTGATCCTTTCCATGGCTTAATTACATTACCGGTACATGGGCATAAATCTACTACATGTACATGTATTTAGTACCGGTACTTAACAGTTGACAGAATGTTGTAGTTAAAATACGCACATTACACAGAGCTTCCACAAAAAGGGGTGCATAATATGACAGAAATACAATCATACACATGTGTTAATAAATGGTGGTGTGGATTGTGAGAATATACATGTAAATTATAGTTTAAGAGAAGAAAGAAAAAAAAACGAAAAAAAAAAAACGCAATACTCATACACTGTACTAACAAACCACCGCATGGACCCATGTACATGTATTCAATTTGCAAAGTGAAAATGCTGCTTTTACATTGTGTACATGTACACTGTATCTAGAATTATAATATAATACATGTTTGCATGTTTGACTTTATGCAACATACAAATGTTTGTGACAAGAAACATTGCATGTAATTATGTTCCCTTCAAATCCTCATAGCCATCCCCCTTAATCCTCTCCCTCTCTCTCTCTATTCCCCTCCCTTTTCTGTCTGTCTGTCTGTCTGTCTGTCTCTCGCTCTCTCTCCTTCACCCTCCCTCTCCAATCTCCCCCCCCCCCCTCTTTTCTCTCTCCATCTCTCTCTCTCTCTCCATCTCTCTCTCTCTATCTCTCCATCTCTCTCTCTCTGACTCTCTTTCTCTCTCTCTTTCTCTTTCTCTCTCTCATTATCTCTCCTTTTATCAACTTTCCAACACCACAAATCATCTTACATGTACTACAAGCTAATAATATTGCTAATATAACTTTTTGTGCAATTGTTATGTGTGGGTTAGAATATGTTAATTCAGGGAATAAATATATCTAAAAGGAATTTATCATGCAAATCAGGCTACTGGTACAATTATTTTTTCATTTATCTTAAACAAATTGAATAAGAAAAGTTATATAGTGCACATGTAAACAAAAAAATCTTGTTTTAAATTGTGTAAATGATGAAATAAAATGTAGTTCCATTTCAGTTACAACAAAATGAAAGACATAACAATGTTAGTGAATGATGAATTCAGTTGCTTGCATCAAATGTAAACACTTTTGGAAACAGTCTTAACCTTAAACAAAATATCTGTCTTTCATTATACTGTATGTATACCGATATGCACAATCTTTTTTCTTCTAAAATTGTTTCAAGAAATCTCCCATTTCACATGAAAAAATAAAAAAATATTTTATGATTGTAGCTTTCATAACTAGTATTAGTCAATCACAAGGATTTTCTGCAATCAACATGTGTTTATGCTTATATTACATGTACATGTACATGTACATGTATATCGATTCCAAGTACATTCAGCTGCTGTTCTTAGGCAATGCAAAAAATACAATATATTCTGTATGCAAATAGCGACCATATCACCCCAAAAAACCTTTACAATAAGCATTCAGGAATTTATATTGCTTCTGCATTTACATGTACATGTACATGTAAGTACCCCAGCACAAAGATAAAAAAAAAGCAAAGTTTCATGCAATTTTTAGAGCTGCTGAATATAGATTATAATTTTATACATTCAATAAGGTACAAAGAAAGCATCATTTTTACTCAATAATGTATTTTTGCATTGGATCTGTATTCTGTACGTACATGTACATGTAGGTGTACATGTACCGTATGTTGTTTTAATTTTAGATAGCTTTTCTCCTGGACTGGTCTTACCAATGTTCTTTTCCTTTTTTTTTCTTTTCTTGTTAAATCTTTCTCTGTTTCTCTCTCCTACTCTCTCTGCCTCCCAAGCAAGTCTTCATTGCCTCTTCAGTTTATCTCAGATGGTAGATCTATTCTACATGTGTTTTTTCCTTGTTGTTTTTTGTTCCCCCCCCCCCCTCTCTCTCTCTCTCTCTCTCTCACACCCTTCTTTCCTTGCCCCCCCCCCCCCTCTCCTCTCTCTCTCTCTCTCTCACTTTCTCTCTCTCCTTCTCACTTTCTCTCTCTCCTTCTCTATAGACTTACTATTCCTCTCTCTTTCCTCCTCTCTCTTTCCCCCTCTCTCTCTCCATAATCTATAATGCGTCTTTGTTAAAAACTCAAGTGAAGAAATAAGTACCAATGAATCAAAATCAAAAGAGGATGCCATGAAAACATAAAACATGACTGTGAAACAGGCCAATTTCCAAGTGAATTAAAAAGATACAAAACAAACAATTGATAAATATTGCAAAGCTTTTAAAATGGACAATGACTTGCTGCAAATACATATTTTTGTATTTTTTCCATTCTTTTTTTTAAAACAAATTTTGAAAGAATTGAGGAAGAGAAATACCCTTGATAGTATGAGCCCATTTAGGGTAGAGAAGAGAAGCCCTGTTGCCTGTTGGGGGAGGAAAGGAGTTAATAAACCATTGATGGCACCGTAAAGCCTCGCTCACACACGATGTGAAACAGGACCACAAAATATAAGTTATGGGGCAAAATATTATCACCCCTGTAACATAAAGCTTTATAGCAATTGATCATACATGTACATTCGATCGATCCTATGATCATTTGATTGTATCTAGTGATCAAATGCAAAATAGCGATTAATTGCCAACTTATCTTGGTGTTACAAGGCCCCTATACATGTATCTGATGCACATATGGGGCGTTTGTTGTGAACAGTCACTTTCATTGTTCTTTTTTTCTTTTCATGCCGGCCCAAGTGCTGGCCATTCATTGACACATGGATTCTTGAGGTGGTTGACCACATCAAGTGTGAACGAAGCTTAGGGAAACATAACAAATTATTTAAACAACAGACCGGTTTACTAACATTCAAATTGTATGCATACTTTTTAAACAAAGGTTGTTCTTGACAACCTAAGCTTGCTTGAGGCTTGTCCGATACAGCAACAAGTAATGTATGCAGACTGGATTTATTAATAACACGTTAATGGAATAACTCGTTGATGAAATTTAACTCTTTGCTAGGTCCCCAGGTAAGAAACATCTACACATTTGAACGTGTTGGTTAAACCGGTCTATTCATCAAAAACATACAAAACAATCTATCAAACTAGTTATCTTTAACTTCTTCTGGATAGGGTACATGTACTGTATTTTTAAAGAAATCATAACAGAAAACAAAATTTTATAACATGTAAATGACATGAAGACTACATGATTAAATCTCTACTTTCAAAAAGGTGCATCAAGATTTCTCTTCTAAATCTCTAGTTCTCTACTGAATAAAAGCGACTCTAAATGATGATTAATGCTTCTCTATCTAAATGTTCATTTTCAGTTAAGTGCCAATGATTTAAGGTGAATTATATTCCTTTTAAATATCATAATATACTGTTACAAAATAGCTATATGTACAAGTGTATGGAGGCAGCCTTTACACAAATTTACACAAATTTCAGCTCATTACACTGCATCATTCTTTAATTAGAGGTCCATTTTATTTTAAGCATGTACCATGTTGATACGTTTATGAAGAAACCTACCCATGAAAGGGGATCAGAGCCCTAAATAATGAGGATAAATACCTTTAGACCATGCTTTGATGTCAGCCGTTCTGGTGTATACTCTCTCCTTTGCCTCGATACATGTGTTGTAGATATGAGGGCTGATCCTCGCTGAGCGCTCAAGGTTGATTGACATGTCAAAGGTCATACTTTCCCTGCCCTTATCCTCTTCTGGATTGCGGATGGTGCCAGGGTTTTTCTTCGAGGGGGTGGAAGAAGGAGGGGAGAGGATAACAAAATCGAATTAAAAAATACATTTTTTGAAATAGCAGAATAGCAGATATGTATTAGTAACAATATCATAATTCTTTTAAGTTTTTACCTTCTGACTACTGCTACACAATAATCTGTAGCATAGGACATAAAGATTGCCTCTGGTGATTTTTAATTTCTCATTGCTGAGAGAGAAAAGCTGCGTTTGTTGATTGTGGGATGCAGGTGTAGACAGTAGAGGGCAGCATATTATGCGATGTCACTGTGACCACATTGATTTTGGAGGACGAGGTAATATATCAAGCCAACCTCATAAATGTGAGGACATGAGTTGGTCAGCTCTCTGTCTTCGCCTAGTACAAACTGACTTAGCGGACCCCAGTTCGAGACCGAGTCACAGATGGTGACGTTAAGTGTCGGTCCCCAGATGTAAATAATCATATTTGATCAATAAACGTCTGTAAAAACCCAATTACAAACACACATGGAATAGGTGTGATGGCCCAGGCCCACCATTGTTTTTACCATACCTGTCTCAGTTTGGACATAGCATCCGATGAGATGAACTCTGCTTTGCTGAATTTGGTGACAAAGCACATGATGTGGTACTGACTCTCAAGTCGCTCCTCCTCCCCAAGAACGATGGTTTTAAAGATGCGTACCTCCTAAAAATAACAGGAGGCAGATAAAATTCAAAAAGACATAATAAAGGCATAATTGCGGACTTCATTTTTTAGAGTGCTTACATACAAATCATTAGCCCTAGACTCTAGATGTCTCTTCATTTTAAACATTGGATATTTATATTTGGGGGTCCAGACTTCAATTTGAGTTGCCTGGGATTGAAATTTAGGTACTCCCAATTTTTTCCAACTTCTTGTCTCCTCAGTACAGACAGTAGAGGTAAGAGGTGTATGGCCAATAAGGGAGAAACTTTCCTATTTGAAAGAGAAGACCGTCTCTAATTAATATTATAATTGTCAGAGACCTTCTCATTCTGTACAGAGTAGGCCCTACAGACAGAAATATCTGTCTGCTTGGCCTTGGCTTGGACTTGGAGGATTTTTAACATATTTTGACTTTTGTTGAGTGCGCTCTCCTATCTCCTCCAAGGATTCAGTGAAAACAGACATAGTCTAAGGTATTAGTATTAAGGTAAATGAATGTTTCCTTGATTTTTGAACGATTATCCAACCATGATCATGATGGTGAAAAACAATCCAAAAAAAGGCAAAACTTAAAGGGAAAATTGAAAAATCGACACCCTAAATTATTATCTAGGGCCTAGAATCTAGGCCTAGGCTACATTAACAATTTAGCATTGACCAATATGAGTTGCTGGTGTGCTTATATACACTGCTAGTGCACTTACTTATATTCATAAGATAATAACTACATTTTAAGTCAGAACTTTGTAAGTTACGTACCGATTTGAAGTCAATGACCATTTTCACAAGTGTGCCATCCAGTTTTTGGAACTGCAGATAAATAACATCGCGTTTGACATCGGCGTTTATACTTTCTTGAACAAGGTCACCACCGTCGTTTTTTACGTTGATCACCAGTTGAGATGTAACTATATGACTTAAAATACAAAATAAAACTAAAAGTCCCCTAAGAGACTGGGTTAAACTGCAACAATTCGGCGACATTTTCAAGGTCTTCGTTTCCTCCTACACTTCCAAAATGAATTCATTTTGTTATGATGGCAATCTGCGCGCGCGTTATTGAAACACAGTGTTATTCTACTATGTGATATCCTCGTGATTTATCCCCAGGACCTCCGGGGGAGAGAACGCTCTGAGCTCCGTTGCCCAGACCAAGCACCGGCTACTAATTACGACGCACGTACAAAAGGAATACTCCACTTTTAAAAAGGCGAATATGTAAAATATATCAGATAAAAATGTTAACTTTCAAGATCAATTTCAATATAAGTATGAAATTATCTAATTTTGTGTACTTGAATATAACTTTGATTCATTTTTTGATTGGATAAAATCATGATTTATCAAATTATTATCACATTTAATACGTATGTATTACCCATTCCAACCGTATCTAATGAACTCGACCTTTCAATAGGCCTCTTTCAAGACGATCAGAAATAAGGTGCACTGTTCTCCATCGAGCTAAGGCCAAAATCGGCGACGTGTACCATTTTTCTCAGCCATCCAGCGTTTATTTCTCAAGAAATCATACCACTAAATATCAAAGATGGCAGCTGAGGATAACACTTCTGAACTTGCCTGCGTATACAGCGCACTTATCCTTCAAGATGACGACGTCCCAATCACGGTGAGAACCACATAGGCTGCATCATTGCAGGTGCCCATGTATAGCGATTTGTGTGATTTGTAGATATGATGAACATGATAAATGACATTCAATGAGTCATGTGGTTTTTAAACAGTGCAAGATTTATCTGTCTCTACCATAATTTTCTAAGTGTGTATGAAAGTCCAATGCTGCTGAGGTGTGTCTGATTATGATGAGAAATGAACCGGTGAATAATTTAATAAATGACATGTGAATTGTGATCACTGTTGTATTTTCACACATTGGATGCCTAAAATGTGATTCTGTTGCTTCTGCTCAACAGAATGCGAGGTAAGAGCACTGGTCCGACAATAAGGACTGTACGCATAAACGAGAATATTCACAAACGCGGACATATCAGTATCACGTCCTAGAAAATAGGGATCCGCACGTTGGCAACGTGAAAAACGGATTTCGTGATGATGCCTCATGATGCATTTCTCATTGATAGAGACTTTCATGTTATGAACAATAACTCCTCGGCAAGACAGACAACCTGTAAAAGTAGATGGTGAACAGGGTATTTTATTATGCGGAATCCGTTTTTCGAATTGCCAGCGCGCACCCTACACCGGCAGAGCGAGAAGAAAAGAGACATCCGCCAAAATTAATATTTTTTAGGACGCGATTTGTCCGCGTTTATGAAGATTTCCTCGGACCTTCGCCCCTACTGATTGTGATGTGTCTCTTTACTGCATTCATCTGGGTCTTTCCTTTGCTGAATAGAATACATTTCTTTAAGTACCTGGTGTGAAAGCGTGGAGGCACAAAAGTGCATTAGTGCCACAGTGTGACCAGATGAAGGTAAAAGGCTTGAAATTACCTGTTAAAGACAGATAACTTGAATTTTACTCTACCCCTCTCCTTCTCTCTCCTCTTTTTCTCTCTCCTCTTTTCTCTCTCCTCTTTCTCTCTCCTCTTTCTCCCTTCTCTCCTCTCCTCTTTCTCTCCTCGTTCTCTCTTCTCTCTTCTCTCTGCCTCTCTCTTCCTCTCTCTGCCTCTCTCTTCCTCTCTCTGCCTCTCTCTATCTCTCTCCTCTCTTTCTTTCTCTTTCTCTCTCTTTCTCTCTCTTTCTCTCTCTTTCTCTCTTCTCTCTTCTCTATCCTCTCTCCTCTCTCCTCTCTCCTCTTCCTCTCTTTATCTATCTCCTCTCTCTTTCTCTTCCTCTTCTGTCTCTCCTCCCCATCTCTTGACCTCCACCCCCCCCCCCCCCCTTTCTCCCCTTCAGGGAAAGAAATACTCTGGGCGAATTAGCCCCCAAAATTTGCATAGAGTTCAATGCAAAAAAAATTAAAGAGTGTTATTTTCATGCAAGCAAGCTTGAAAAGTAGCCCCCGAAATGTTTTTAATAATTTTTTCCCTGCGTCCTCTTTCTCCATACAGGCTGACAAGCTGCAGACCCTGATCAAGGCAGCCGGTGTGTCAGTTGAGCCCTACTGGCCCGGTCTCTTCGCCAAGGCCCTGGGAAGCATTGATGTGTCTTCCCTCATCTCCAACGTTGGAGCTGGAGGTGGTGGTGCAGCCGCTGCCCCTGCTGGTGATGCCGGTGGTGAAGCCGCTGCCGAAGGTAAACCAAGAAACCCCAGAAATTGGGGGGGGGGGTGGTATCGAAAGGGGAACAGGATCTGACAAACTCCATGATAGTCAAGAATAGACTTGTGGGGGGCAAGTTAAATAAGATCTGGTGACATCTAAGAGGTCAAGCAAGAATAGATATTTGAAAGGTGGGGTCATGCATTATAATCCAAGATTGCGGCCGCATGTTTTGCCTAATCTCTAAGACCAATATTATTAATTTCAAAGTCATGAAAAGGCACTAAATATCTACAAACATGGTCTACAACAACCCCACGTGACAAAATAATCCCAGCTTTGCATTTTTTTTAAGCAATTTGATAGCTCAAAACTTGAAAATTTTAGGCATTAAAAAAAAGTCTGCCAATTTGTTTTCCCATAAATGATATTGATCGGCGATCGGAAATTATTATCAGATCTCGCCTGATCAGCTCAAGATCTGCCCCCGTTCCGATGATTGGTTACAGGCCTACTTTAAACTTTGGAAAGCAGTTTAAAAGCACTGAAAGGGCTCTGAGAAAACAATGAAATGCATCGAGTCAGAGTGAGAAATTCCATTTTGAGCATGTATTAGCTCATATTTGCTCCAATAACTTCACATATCCATCAGCTTATAAAACTGTATTATCCCAGAAACGGTCATTTATCATTGTGGAAGATTGTTTCAGTGCGAGAAACAAAAACAAACGAGCATTCAAAATTTAGCTGAGCAGATAATATGCTTTATCTCTAGATGTGTAGCAAGTACACGCATCCAATTTTAGTCCCTGCTAACATTGTTGTCTTGGTTTTGTTTTTCCCCATTACAGAGAAGAAGGAGGAAGTGAAGGACGAGTCCGAGGAGTCTGATGATGACATGGGCTTTGGTAAGTTCACGTTCATATTCAATGCATCCATGATAACATGGATCAATATATTATGGCTACCCTAGCAATATGTCATGTATGACGTACAGTTAACAATGTAATTATTCATACCCCTCATGAATTTGATGGGGTTTTTTGTTTTTCGTAACTCAAGAATGAAAGGTGGACTGGTTGAATTTGGACCTTATTTTAAAACTATAGATGTAAGCTTGAGTTTGTTACATTCTCAAGAAACATAAATAATCAATCAATTTTTCACATGATTAGAAAATTACACAACTTTATAAGGGTGTGAATAATTTAGTTGTTAACTGTACCTATGTCTTTTTTACGTTTTATCCATTTATTTCATTTAAAAGATTTGTTTACGACTAGATGTAGGGCTTAACACTAACTTTTTAGGATGGGGGCTCAGATTGAACTTTCAGAGTATGTATGCATGTGCCCTTTGTAAACAAAATCAAATCATAGTTTTAGGGGTCCGTACTTCGAATTTGGGCGCTCATGTGTCTTGGGACCCGTTTCCTAAATTACATTTTGCTACCATGGTTTTCCGCATCGTGTGAACAGATCTTTAGAAACACATGCTGCCCATTAGATACAGTTGAAGTTAAAACTAACCATTTTCCTCTTGTATCTTATTTTCCTTCACACACTTACAGGTCTGTTCGATTAGAAACCTTGGACACACCCCTCTGCTCCATGACATCCATCTCTGCCTGTCCCAAAATGGACTCCATCGTGGATGCATCAACATCATCATCGTCATCCATCACATTGAGAAGAATGATATACAGGTGCCATGGGGTGGTTTGCCCCTCATCGCATCTAAACCTCCAACATCGATGGACTATTTATCAGACTCAATAAATGGCCTTGTTGGAACAGGCAGTCTTTGATTTTTGTGGCAAAAACGCAACCTTTAGTATTGCCCGGTTGTTTTATTAAGCGTCTTAACGTGTTATGTGTGAGTCGTTATCATGTGACTGGCTGAAGGATGCAAACTCATTGATTTTTATTTCTTATCTTTAGTTGTTGAGCTGAAGAAGAAATAACAATTTTGTAATGGATTCTCATCTATTTTTTAAATCATTAATTGTTCTTCTTTTTCTTTTCTGATTTACATCTTTTTGTGGGCTTATTACATATAAATGGAGTTTGCATTCTTCTGCTGGGCACATGATAAGTTGTTGAGTAATAGAGCTGCCCCAGTGAGTGACAAGGTGATTGAAAGTGCAGTGAATGTAGATAACGGTACAGATGAAAGCAGAAAAAGTCAACCTTAAAGTACAGATTAAAAGGGGAAACCTACTTTGAAAACAAATTTGATAAATGAATTTGTTCAGTGTTCACTAAGTATGAATATCATGAGAGCCCGCATTTCCTCTATCAGATTTTCCATAGTTTAATTTCCAAACCCATTGTTGCGCAGTTATCAAATTCATGGTCAGGGGTACAAACTGATCTGTCTGTTCTCATCTCTCTCCTCTCTCAACTTTTTTTCCTCTTGTCTTCTCTCCACTCTTCTCCTTTTCTCCTCTCATCTTCTTCCTCTCTTCTCTCCTTTTTTCTTTCCTCTCTTCTGTATTTTCCTTCTCTTCTCTTGTCTTCTTTCCTCTCCTCTCTCTTCTCGTCTTCTTCTCTCTAGTCTACTTCCTCTCCTCTCTCTTCTCGTCTTCTTCTCTCTAGTCTACTTCCTCTCTTCTCCTTCCTCTCTTCTCTTTTTATGCCGGAGGCATCATGTTTTCGGGTTGTCCGTACGTCCGTCCCGTTTGACCGTTATCACAATATCTCAAGAACCATTTAAGATTTAAACTTAAGACTCGGGAATAGTATTTATCACCATAGGAAGACGATCTGATTAGATTTTGGAGTACGTAGGTCACAGGTCACAGAGGTCAACTTATGAAATTCCTTGTATTGAGTTTGTTAGCGCGATATCTCAAGAACCATTTGAGATTTAAACTTCAAACTTAAGGATAGTATGTATCACCATAGGAAGACGATCTGATTAGATTTTGGAGCACGTATGTCAAAGGTCAAGGGTCACAGAGGTCAACTTATGAAATTCCATACATTGAGATTGTTATCATATCTCAAGAACCACTGGAGATTTAAACTTCAAACTTAGTGATAGTGTGTATCACTATAGGAAAACAATCTGATTACATTTTGGAGCACGTAGGTCAAAGGTCAAGGGTCATAGAGGTCAACTTATGAAATTCCATACATTGAGATTGTTATCATGATATCTCAAGAACCACTGGAGATTTAAACTTCAAACTTAATGATAGTGTGTATCACCATAGGAAGACAATCTGATTAGATTTTGGAGCACGTAGGTCAAAGGTCAAGGGTCACAGAGGTCAACTTATGAAATTCCATACATTGAGATTGTTATCATGATATCTCAAGAACCACTGGAGATTTAAACTCCAAACTTGTTTAAATTGCTCTATGGCGGAGGCATCATTTTCGACTGCGCGCAGTCGAAATTCCATCTAGTTTCTCTTCTCCTTTTCTCCTCTCTCTCTTTTCCTTTCCCCCTGTTCTTTCTCTCCTCTCCTCTCTCCTCTCCTTTCCTCTCATCCTACACTGTCCTCTCTTTTCCCTTTTTCTCGCTCTTCTCCTTGCACTTCATCCACACTATCTTACAAATAGACTACTGAATTCTAGATACTGTATGCATCGGTCAATTGCTAGTATTTTGGATTTCCCTGTCTAATTACATACTGTTACATCCACCTCTCCCCTTCTGTCTCTCCGTCCCCCTCTCCCTATGAGAACACATTTGACACCTGAAAAGAAACTACATCGCCAGAACTTATTGTTCAAGAAAAATGTTTATATTTCGAATGTCATTTTAGTAAGTTTAATCTTGAATACACCTTTTACATACATGTATATAACATAATCAATATCAAAATTGTAACCTATACCATGCAAGGTAACCCACGTTATAGTATGAAAGAATAAGCTAAAAGAATGTTGAAAAGAACAACAGCAAGATGTATAAATGATACACTAAGTGTTATTGCAAAAGAACTGGTCAAGTATTCCTGACAGAACTTTTATGATGCTATTATAATATGGACACTCGTCCTATGATACATTATCATTTTTACTTTCTCTATGGAGAAAAACAAATGGATCAAGATTTCAGAATGGTTAATAAAGAAACTCGGAAGAAAAAAAATCAAGATTAACATAAATATGTATATTATAAAATATTAAATCTTATACTTATTCTAAACCACTTCAAAATCCTACGAGGGTGCTTTGTAAATAGCACCAAAAAAAATGTTTTTGAATTTGTCTTGCAATCAGCTAGCAATAATTTCACAATTACTTATCCATGAAAGACTTCCATTACAATAACAGTTACAAGTTTCTGCAGGATCATTTGTTACAGAACATGTCATTAATTACATTGCAATTTAATTGAGGTGATGAACTGTGTAGGGTCCACACAAAAAGATGAAAGGGTCAATAGATTTTCTATATCAAAGGGGGGGGGGGGGAATGGAAACATTCCATTAAAAAGAAGGCAAACGTCTATTCTAGCTTGTGTAATGTCATGAAAGATATTGAATATTATTAAAGGATCCCATTAAATATAGAAAGCCCTGTGCAATCTTGCTGAAAATACAATTCAAGCTCGTGGAAAAATGATCTCTTCTAATACATGTAGCAAATTATTACATTTCATCTTGTCAGAATGATATTGGTACAAATCTGTATCAAATTTGAAGAAAGTTTTGTTATAATGTTATAATACTGAACTTGATACATTCAAGTAAAGAATTCTTGTCAATATCCAAAACTACATTTAGAGATACCATAAAATTTTAGATTATAACACATGTATATAACACAATACATGTTGCAGAAAGCGTATGAATTCTAACCATACTATAATAGTATTGAAAGAAAAATCAACACTATGCTCCATATTCTACTTGTTAAGTTAAAGGGAAATCCAATCTTGAAATCAAACTACTGTAGACAAATCAGAGAAGTATACTAGTGAAAGTATGAATGAAATTGGATAAATTGAAAGTTATGAATTCTTTAAAGTTGCATTACTACAGCTATGTCCTCTTCAAATTGGCTGAATCGGTAATGTCTCTGAGATATAGTGGCAGACAACCTTCCCATCGTTCCAAAATACAAACGGACCCCCCATTTTTTTTTCTTCTTCTTCTTTCTCCAAAATGTAGGACTCGTAATGGTCTTTTCATTTAAATTTTAAACTTTAGAGGACCTGTTATGATATACTCTCAATAATTATATTGAAGTAGTGACCCAAAGTTGAAGGCACTTGAGGGGAAAACGGGGAGTTATCTGTCAGTATGTCACAATCCACTGACAAAACTGTCGCAAATTATTTTTACTCTTGCCCTTCTGGTTATCTAATTTTTCTGCTTTCAGTTTTGTACTTGACTTGACCGAGCTAACATCACGTTTAAATTTGAGTAGAATACCCGCACATGAAACATCAAATCCATGTTGCTGCATAAATTTTTTTTTTTTTTTCTTCTATGATTATATACTATGTAAATTCTAATCCTAACAAACGTGTTAATATTTCTTCAGAAAGTGAAAAATAAGAGTTGATATGAGCAGTTGTTCAAAATTGAAAAGAAAAATAATTGAAAATAAAATAAAGGTGGAAAACATAATTTGGCAAGTTAGAAAGCAATCAAAATGTTATAAATACAATTATAATTGTCTTTTCATTATATAAGAATTTCAATATATACAAAAAAAAGAATTATTACTATAAATGGAAGGAAGCAAAAGTAAATAGATTTTCATAACACATCAAAACTTCTCTTTCCTCTTAAAGTATTTCAAGAAAGCATGTATAGACTAATGTCTTTTCACCAAATTGTCCATAGTTCTAGTTTATCAGTGGTTTACCAACATGTAACATGACCCTCCCTCTCCCCCTCCCCCCCCCCCCCCCCCCCCCCCCCATCTCTACCCATATGCCCATTGTGGTAGTGAAATAGCTATACTTATAGACACTGGGCGAGGCCCGGTTTCGGGCTCGTCGATTAGGCAAAAGGGTGTTAAGAAATGGTACCATAAAAAACATAGGATGAAGTTAAACTACGTCATGTATTGAAAAATGTAATTATTTTTGTCCTTATATTAAAACAAAATATTACTATTTCTTCTTTTCGGTGGTTTACCACATCTTTATATGAGCCTTATTATGCCCCATTTCACAAAACTTGTCATCAGTGACAAATGACAATTTTTGTTATAAGCTAGTGAAATGCTTGCTTCTGATTGGTTGTCACCACATTTGTCACTGAATTTTGTCATTGGTCAGTGCCAAAAGGCTTTGTGAAACAGGTCCTTGTAAAAGTAAATCCATGATGTATTTAAGTCCCACCATCTCGATGCTAACAAGAAAACTGAAAGATATCTGGAGTAGTAGTACTTCTAGAACACATTACAAAACAAACATCAGTATAAACAAAACAAAACTAATTTAGTACCAAAATTCAAATACATATTTCATAAGATTGGGGCCAGAAGGGTGCTATCTCATAGCTTAACACAGAGTTGATGCCCTACTGGCTCCAAACGGATGATTTCATGCCGTGATTAAATGCGCCATGAACAATGAAAGATGTACAAGAAATGAAAACATAATTTCTGAAAGGAGTCTTGAAACTTGAAAGTCATTGATTTAAGCGTGAAAGAAACTTGAAAATTGAGCAACATGATTTTGTCACAAGATATCTTGAAAAGTATTAAAAGAAAATGAACAAACGTTTTCTGAGATGAAAGACGGCTACTTCAGAGTTGTATACAACAAAGCTTCTACAGTACATCTCTTGCAAAACAATGATTTACCTTTATAAGTTTATATGCAAAAGATTTGTTAAAATTGAAGTAACCCTAAGCCTACAGGTTTTTCAACCAGCACGATTGTATGTACATGGGACACATGATACACATGATTTGCCTATTAAAGACAAGTGTACTCGCTTTCTTATCAACATACATGTATTATGTACATGTTCAGGAAAAAAACATGTTTTTTCATTCTGGTTATGACTTTACTCTATGAAACACAAACATGCAAACGGAAGGATTATAGTGATCAGTACATAAATAAAATTAAACAAATATATATACCCTAGACGTTCTCAAAGCCTGTTCATATATATATACATGAGTATCACAATTAAAATTACGCTCCAGAGAATTCTTGATAAAATAGAAAATTGTACAAGATATGATATTTCATGAGTAGTTTACACATTCAATGTTTGGTATATACAGAAATAGTTAAATGTACATTTTTTTATTAAAAGCCTTCCTCCATGATTGTAATCACAAGGCTAGATTTGTTTACATTGATATTGTCTGGTTGGACTTTGGAACCAGGAGGGTTTAATAGCTCTGCGGAGACGTGATGACTCGGTGGCCAGGCAGTGGTCTTGTAACGGAGCAGGGGGGTGTTTCACAAAACTTGTCCTCAGTGACAAATGACAGTTGTTGTTATAAGCTACTGAAATGCTTGCTTCTGATTGGTTATCAGCAGATTTGTAACTGATATTTGTCATTTGTCATTGAAAAGAGGCTTTGTGAAACGGGTCCCAGGAGTTCACACGCTCAAAACCAAATCAATGCAATAGTGCCCTTTGGCAAGGCATTAATCCTCATTACCAAAATCCCTCAGAGAGGAGTAAAAGCCTTGGGTCCCCTGGTAGCCATACAAGCATACATGATATATACACATGCCTCCTTAGGAGTTGGTAGAACAAACCATCAAACCAAATGATCAGTTCATGCCTTTCACGCTCCAAACAGACAATATTTATTTGGTAGACATGACAATACATGATATCTTTTTTCATAGCATCTGGAGCCTCATTCATACACGATACGGTAAACTGCCTCAAAAATCAAGTGCAACATAATAAAATGACGTAAGCACAGCGCTCTTCACATCTCTGTACCTTAAAACACAACCAAAAGCAAAGTATGAACACAGCCCGTTGTTCACTATTACCTGCCAGTCATTATCACTGGCAACTGAAAATCGTTTTCATCGCGCTACAGAGTTTTTATGAGGCAGTTCACCGCTTCAAGTGTAAAAGAGGCGATAATGTTCATTCACAGCATTAGAGCCTTATTACCTTTGGTTACATCAATCCTGAATAAGTACGTCATGATACCATAACAAAGAATCCTGCTCTACAATTCATCAATCTGATTACAGGTGTACAGACCTGTTGTAAATGTATGTAAAATTTTGTAGCACCCGAGTAGCACTCATATTTCTTTAACAAATTCATTTTCTTTGGGTTCAAGAACACTTTCTCATTAGATTTGCTTTTAAACAAGTGACAGTGTACTAGAAGACAAAAGACCACTCCAAATAAAATGATTACAGGACAACAAACGAGCCCAGGGGAGTGTTTCACACAGACTAAGATTAACTTTAAGTTGGACTTAACTATGGCAGGCTGCTCATGCCACTGTTTGCTCTCAACATTATGATCTTTAGATTATATTTTTCCTTAAAAAATGTAAATCTTGTAGATTTGTGACCATGATTTGTAAGTCCCTTGAGAGACCAATGTCAGTAAATGGTGAGAGAAAACAGTGGCATGAACAGCCTGCCATAGTTAAGTCCAACTTAAATTCAATCTTAGTCTTTGTGAAACACCCCCCTGAACTGTAGGAAACAACAATTTGTTAACAATCAAAGAGCATCAAGAGAAGAGTTCATTACATTGAAGTTGCACATGGAAGTTAACTTCGAGTTGACATCAATGAACACTATACAGTCAAACCTGCTTTAGTGACCACCTGTCTACACAGACCACATTGTTTGTTTCCCTTGGAAAGGGTTTCTTATTGAAACATGTACTAAATGAACCTGCACATAAAGACCACCTGCCTATAAAGACCAATTTTCTTGCCTCCCTTGGTTGGTCTTCATAGACAGGTTTCACTATATTTCATGCAAATTTATCACCCTTGTTCCATTAAGAAACTTAACAGAGTAACAGAGTTGTTTCAAATTGGTATATCTCCTTGTGAAAGTGGTATCTCATGCTAATATATTTGAGATACATAATACCAGCATAAAAATATTCGCCAAACAGAGCAGAAATATTATATCGGCAATTGGTCTCCCTTAACTTTAACACTTGCTAGCAAACGTGTCATGACACTGCTAACACTGATATCTTTTTCTACACAAGTTGATAGCAAATAAGGTTATTATGAATTGGGTTTAGAGTTTAAATGACGGTGAAATATTTAACCTCCTATGACAGCACACTTGCACCTTAAACAATACATAACAGTTTTACACCACAAGAGAGTTTTACCAGTTACAGAAAAAAATATAACGTTTCCACTTCTTTTTCCATCTCGAGATTGAAAATTAAAGTGAGATTTTTTTTCAGGTATTAACTTATATTTAGGTTCTGAGTTAGAATATAAAAAAGACTTGAGAAGAAGAAGAATTTCTCTGCATCCCAATTTGCCATTCATTTAAATGTGAGTTGGTTTTATTTTGCTACAGCTGATTCTTTAGGTTCATCATATAACGTGAGGATGAGGCTGAAGGATGGAAGTTTTCTATCCCTCCTCACATGATGCTTATATTCTTGTTTCTTTCACCGGTAGACTCTCGATCATGTGATTGTTATTTGCATTTTTCGCTTTCACCGTCACCAGATTCGGCATCACTCTTTCTTCTTTGGAAAGGCGCCTTATCGGGGGCACTGGCTTTGCTTTCTTCCGCGACAAGTCCCCTTTGTTCGACAAGTCCTCGCCCGTAGCACCGCTCCTATCCACTGGTTTGACCACCTCGTAGCTATGCTGCTGCTGATGATGCTGCCATCTTTCGTTTCTCCGATCCATCGCCTCCTCCTCCTCCTCCTTGCTCTTTCGGTGTCGCGACGACTTCTTCTTCCGTTTGTTCTCCTCCACGGCCTGGTAGGTGTGCTCCCTCCTGACCCAGAGTTCAGGGTTCGGTCTGTGTTCACTGATATGCACCATGCTGTCATCAACGGGCGACCTGCTCGGGGGCGGGGGGTCTTCGTCAATCGACTGATAATTGTTCTCCGGGATTAAAGAGTCGTTCACATAATTCCTGACGTCACCTCCGGGCAGAGGCGCATCGTCCACATCGGCGTAAATGTAATTGTTCGCGAGGGGTGAAGCGCCACCTGAAATGTTCCTTGATACACCGGCGACGCCCTGGTTTGGCGATCTGTGCGGCTGCATCACAGTGATCGTCTTACGACCTTTATCCACCGTCGCGTAGAGGGCGCCAAAGTCATCATCATCTGCCGCATCACTGTTCGTTCTCTTGTGATTGTTATTATTCACGTGGTGTTGCTCGGGCTTCCCTTGTTTGTTGGACGTCTTGTCCACTTTGGCGTACAGCTGAGCAAAGTCTTTTTCCTCGTCCTTTGCATCCTCGTGATTGCCATTGCTGTTTGAGCTGGCCTCCAGAGGGCGCTTCTTGGTTTGTGTTTTCTCAACGACTGCGTACGGCTCGGGGTCATCATCGTAATTGGAAGCACCTAGGGATACATTTAAAAGATATGTTTTAACCTCATTATTTAGTCACGAAGAGCTCCTACACATAAAGTCCCTTATAATTCTTATAATTCTTTTAATTCAGTGCTTTATTCTTTGTTGAATGTAATAATTACAATAACAGTTGGATCTATAGAGTACTTCTTTCCTAGGGATACAAAGTACTAGATACACAATTTTTAAGGCTTTTTTCAAAGCTAAGTTAACATAGTATGATTGCATTGTAGAGTAGTATGATTTTATTGCTCGCCCTGTAACATGGTCACCATATCTGCTGTTTCGATTTAAATACACATGTACATGTAGTCAATGCCTAGAAACAAATAAATAGATAACTAAATAAATAATACTTTATTTACAGATTGTACCACTAAAATTGCAGCAATCCTTGACAATTATTCTTGACTTCTTCATCATCAACAGCTTTTGAACAAAATGTCTGGATCGAATTTCACCTCAAACAACCGAGGAACAAATCTGTGCCTGCTTTGTATCAATCACTTGTCCAATTCAAAATTGGAAAGTGGTAAAGTTGAAGTGAATGATTATTGATTACTTAAAGAGAAGGTTGAGTTCTGGGAAGAGTTGAAAAATAATTTGTGAACTTTATCATTCTTATTATGCAAGTGTGGAAGAACATCAGATAAGACATGTTCCCTGAAAAGCATGGCTCTTCAAATGCCTTCATATTCTAAATATGTCATGTAAATCGTAAAACTCGGGGGTAGGTTTTTTACGCCACGTGTTTGTGTAGTCCCATATACATCTTTCTGTGTACAGTGTTTGTAGCTTTACCAAGACTTGGCCAAATTTCTTATCATTTTGATGATTCCAGAACCTTGAAATACACACAAATTCTTATATGCTAGATGATCAACCTTTTCTGGTCGATTCCACACCGTTTCTTTCACAATGCAATCGCATGACCAGAACTCAACTTCATTTTTAAGTTGCGAGAAGGAAGGAGCTGATATCATATGTTATGCTCTGGCGACGATAATTAATTCTAAAAGCAGCTTAATTCATTACTTAAACCCTGAACCTATTACACAATACCTCATTGTAACAAGAACCCCAAGAACAAAATAATCACACATATAAAAGTAAAACCTAATGGCAACCCAAGCCCTTAACAGTATGGACTTTCATGAAATAAAGCTCAGAGATAATGTTATCGGAGCAATTGTCAGATCTACTAAGCTGTATCTTACCAGGTGGGCGGGGCCTGTTGTCCTCGGTGATCTCTTCATAGACACGCCCCCTGCCCATGCCAGGGAAGGTCTGGATTTTGGGGGAAAAAAACAAAGACAAAAAAGATATTGTCAAAGGGTTTGTTGAAGAGTTAATTGAACAATTTTAATTTTTTATTTATTGGGGACACAAATTTAGATTCAGAAATAGTCTACTCTAAAAAAAAGTTTAAATGACTGCTCCATGGTGGAAAGTGTAAAAACTTAATAAAATATTTATGATACTAGCAGGACCCGCGGAAATCCGCGGGATTCTAGAGGGGGCGGGGGGTGTAAATAGATATATAGAGAATGTCTAAATTAAAACCACCAAGAACGTTATTTGCCATTCAGGCCATTAAAAAATATACATGTTTAGCGTCCCCGCCCGCTTCCTTTTTGGGGGCCGCCTCCTATTTTTTTTTTTTTTTTTTTTTTTTGAAAGAAAAAAAACATCGTCCCCGCCTGCTTCCTTTTTGGGGGCCGCCTCCTATTTTTTTTTTTTTTTTTTTTTTTTTTTTAAAGAAAAAAACATGAAAAGCACTGCTAAAATTTATTTCTGATTTTAAAAAAGAAAAAAAAAAAAAATTGTCGGCCGCCATCTTGAAAAATAGCCCGAATGCCAGGGAAAATGTACGGAGCGGCCATTTTGAAAGAAAAAAAAAGAAAAAAAAAGTGCCTCCTCCTTCCCATTTTTCAAAAAAACAGGACGCTATAAGCATTTTTTTTTTTTAATTTGGCCTTTTATTAAATTTAAAAAAACAATCCAACTGTACCGGTAGTTATTCTTTAAGCCACTGGAACTGCGTAGAGTTCCGTAGTGTGGCGTACCGACTACGCAGAAATTAGGCTGCGTATTAATAGGAAAATAGTCCCTGCGTAGGTTATGCGTAGGCTTACTGTGTGGAAAGCTTTTACTGCTTAGTCGATCTGGCGTAGGGTAGCATACTTTTGCATAGGCATGTAGCGTAGTGTTGCGTAAAAAGGCGTACTTTCTGCGTCAAGTTTCTACGCCGAAAGTACGCGAAAAAAATTAAACATGTTGAATTGTTTTCGTTCATCTTGCGTACCCCTTTCCGTCCCTCAGCATATACTAACGTAGGCCAGCGTATTGGTACGCAACACTACGCAACTCTACGTATTGACCCCAAGCCAATTAGTGACCCCACGCCAATTAGTGACCCGCAAGTGTCACAAATAAAGTATTAAAAATATGCTTATCTGACCCTAATTAAACGCCTAAACCCCCCCCCCCCCCCCGAGCTTTCGGAGGTTTATGGCCCCTTGAAACCCGTGGACCCCATGCCTATATTACATATACATTCAACTCGCTGCGATCTGATCTCTCCCCCCCCCCCCCCAACTTTGAAGAACGTAACCCCCAAGCTTTTGGGGGTTTATGGTCCCTTGAAACCCGTGGACCCCACGCCTATATTATATATACACTCAACTCAGGACCCGCGGAAATCGCGGGATTCTAGAGGGGGGCGCAGGCAAAAAATTAAGTTTTTCATTTCGGGGGCTCCATTTCAAAAATTTTGGAAATTTTCGTGGGCTACTTTTTTCAACTTTCGGGGGCTCTTTTTTCTGGGGCTACTTTTTCATTAATTCATAAATGGATAGGCCTACACTTTGTTGAGATTTGTTTAGTAGGCTAAGGTTTCAGGCTTCCTACTTCATAATTGCCTATTTAAAAAAAAACATTATTCTAGTTCAATAACTAAGTTTTCATGCATTGATTTGATGCAAGAACTGTAACATAATAGACCCTAGATTGTGATTATTTCTGACCATGAATTTCGATAATCATTTTTCAAAGTAAAATTTTCACAAGAAAATCAGACAGTCGTTTAAAAACGTAGACATTAGTAATACTTTTACTAATTCTAAGCTCAGGTTTCGTAAATCTATTCACGAAACTATATTGAAATCGCGGCAATAATGATGCAAACCAACAGATAACAATTTCAAAGTGTCAAATCTCTTCGACTCGAGCTCAGCTCAGCTGTACTCACACACATAACACTCCAGCGTAACTCCACGAAGCTCGAACACCGGCGCCGCAGGCCTCGGACGCGTGCGGTGCCCGGTGCCGGTGTTGGAGATTCCTGGAGTTACTGCACTGTGATGTGTGGTGACTGAAGTTAGCTTGCGACTGAATTGTCAGTCCAATGGTTTTCTTGTCAAAACTTTCCTTTAGAAAATAATAATCAAAATTGAGTATACATGGCCGTAATAATCACAAAATAAGCTTTGTTTTCATACCTCCATTCACGAAAACTATATAAAAATCGCGGCAATCATGATGGAAATAGGTCTCTAAGTTTGGACGTCGACGGGAAGCCCCGTGTATCTCTTGTGCAGCTACTACATGCAAAGCACATCCTAGCTACAACAAAGCACATCCTATAGAAAGATGCTTTACTCTCGGTAATCCCGCCCTTTGCATAGAGCATTTAATACGCAACTTAATGTGAGTGGATAGTCATCGGTCGTGTGTCTACGGATGTAATGTTGAATATCCATGAGGTATCTCTGTCGTCACGCATATCCTGCATTATGCATATCGCGTCTGTTTTCGCCCTGGACGTCGACACGGAGGGGGACCTCGGGCGGAGTATAGCCAATTCCACAGAGTAGACTCTCCCGCGGACGATGGCACCGGGCACGGGTACCCGGAGGGTAGGGTTCAGGAGGAGATAGCCGCACCAACTTGGGTCGGCGATCTCATTAAAAAACAATAGAATACAAAGGCTCGCCGAGACGTCGCGCCCCCCGCGGAGCCTTAGCGTATTACTTATATAGATTGGCAGAAGAACACCACTGTTAAACAAACTCTAACAAAGAACTATCACATGAGCGTGGACTGAGAAGAAAATAAACACAGGAAAAGTACAAGCAGAGCAAAGTCTATTTATAAAGATGATATTTCATGCTCAGTCAAAAAGTGAAACAAGAAATAGAAACTATAATAATAATTGTCTCTTGAAAAATATTAAAACTAAGAATACAATCAATAATTCAATGGAAATGTTGATTCTAAGTTGAGAAATTCATCAGTCCGTCAAGGTACAAAACCAATGTCAACAAACTAGTATTAATTTATTGTATTAAAAGAAAACCAACACTCCTTCTCTCCCCTTTGTTTTTCTTCTCTGCAAGTCGCTCTTATGATATTTTATTTTTTATTGTTGTATCTAAGTTGAGGGCTGTGGGCACTTCAAGCTACTTTGCTTATGCTGTAGCCCTCCTGTATCTAATGTACGTTACTCATGCATTCAATATATTTGTTAAATTCTGTATATTTTCTGTATATACATATGAAATATTGTATCAAATCATATTGGCCCAAATTCACAAAGGAGGTTTACATTAAACCCATGGTTTAAACCTTCATTTACATAACCCAAGGTTTAAAAATTAGTGCAAAATAAGCGTACCTTGTCTTGTGCGCGTCTAATATTGGACATCTTGACTGTGTTGCGCTTATTTTGCGCTAATTTTAAACCATGGGTTATGTAAATGAAGGTTTAAACCTCCTTTGTGAATTTGGGCCATTATGTTCATGAAAATGTATGATGAGACAAAAAAGATGCAGAAACCAAGGAATCAAATCAACATCCATACCTGTCTTCCTCTTGGGAGGGGTGGAGGTGAGGTGCTGTTCTGCCCCCTCACGCTATTATCATCCACCTGTTCATAGATACCATCAAAGTCCTGCTCCCCTGCATCACCGGGCGGGGCAGCTGCGCCCTTACCCCCTGCAGCTCGTAGGGCCTCCTCTGTGAGTTCAGTGTGGTCGTGCTGCTGCCTTGCCCGGATGCTCTCCAGGCTCTCCCTTGCGCTCACCTGACATAGCAACAAAATTGGGATTCTTAGAGCCCTGCATTGTTCACTCGACACAAAAATGTCTAAACGTTGATGTTTCAAATCCAAGAAATCAGATTCTTTTTCAAGTGAATAATGTTTATTTTACCTCCCACGTTAGTCTAGAATATGGAGAATGTGCATACATTGTGTACGGGTAAGCCTGAATCCAATGACCGGGGTAATAATATAAATGCAGGGCCCACAGGGAGAGCAGTTTAAATACTGATGAGGCTACCCTGGGTAAACAAGACATATTATTATTATTATTATTATTATTATTATTATAACGTCTGAGGTACCCAAAATTTCAAACACTTGTGTTCGTTTGTCTACGTCTAAAACTTGTACACAATGATATTACAATCACTGAATATCTCGAAAGAACTTTCAGAAGGTTAATTATCATAAAACACATCACAAAATTTACTTTGTATTTGAAAATAAACTCAACTCAAGAAAAGAAAATGATTCCAACTTCTCTTTAACAAACAAAAACTGTCAACCTATCGTCTTACTTGAGTATAAGGGGGCTCTCTCTGACCGGGTCCAGCAGCACCGGGAGAACTACTATCAGGACCAGAGCCAGAGCCAGAGGGTCCAGGTCCATCTCCATCTGGTCCACCTGGACCACCAGGACCACCTCCTGGGTTAGGAGTTCCTCCTCCTTCTCCCCTCCCTGCGGTGGGACTGCTGGGAGAGGATACGGTCCCCGCCCTGAAAAAGATTATAGAAAATTTCAGTTGCCACATTGTTGGTAATGTTCTTCTTCAAGGTAATTACATACGTGTATCACTACCACCACCACCAGCACTATCATCATACATTGATTTGTGAGGTAATATTGTTGAATAAGGACCATTGTAACCCGTCACTACATGTTTCTCACCAAGCATTCCAATGTTCTAAAGATAAATGATATGCTAATATGAATGATAACATGAAGCAAATATAATTACAACCACAATTAGTCACTCCCATTACTACTAGAACATCTGTTTGTTTTTTTCCAGCCACCAAGATAATTTTACCTCATTATCAATATCAATACTCCTATAGAGTACCAAAGCTGTGACATCATAAAAACCTATTCTTACAATTTCTCAATTTTGTCTTCATTATCCAAAAGAGCATAAAAAATGATGTCCAAATGTCGAAAACCAATTGGATATGTTAAGTATTGGCTGAGATATGACCACCTGAATAAATAGATTTCCTATAGAAACTCAGTGTTATGTTCCTCTGGTTTGTAACGTTGTGCATGTATCATGTTCATCCCTCCTACCAGACTCATCACTACTAGCCATACCGGTATTTCTACCACAGCCATCAGTATTGTTACATCGATCCCCCCCCCCCCCCCCCCCTCTGTCAATCACCCATTGCCCCTTCCAAACCCACCCCTCCCACCAGACCCATTACCCCGCCCAGCCACATCCTCCCTACCTTTGTGATACTGGTGATGAAGGGTTCTCTGGTGACTCTAGATCATGTGGTTTATGGGGTACCGGTGGCACCTCCTCGTCGTCAGGATCCGCGCCCCCTGCCACGCCCCCTGCCATGCCCCCTACAGCACCATCTGATTTGGTATTGGGTTTCACATGGACATCTTTCACAGAGGCATACCCATGCTCCCTCTCCTGTCGAAACAAATCAAATTAGTATCATTATTTGGATAATATTGTTTTCATTTTCAATGTAACTTCTGATAACAGAGAAAAAAATATTTTAAAAATTTCGGGAGCTACTTTTCAAGGTTGCTTGCATGAAAATAACAATCTTTAATTTATTTTGCATTGAAGTCTACATGTATGCAATTTTTTTTTTTTTGGGGGGGGGGGTTCTTTTATGACTTACGGGGGCTCTTTTTGGCATTTTGGGGGCGATTTCACCTGAGCCCCCATGTATTTCCCCCTGTCTGATAACGTTATACAGAAACTGCAACAGACAATACATACAGATGGTGACTTGACGTTGACTTAAAAGGTCGGTCCACAGACGTAAATAATCATATCTGATTGATACACATCTGTAAAAACCCAATTACATATATATACAATGATCTCTTTCTCTTCTATGGAAACAAAAAGCGTTAGTATCATTATTCAAATAATGCACATGATATTGTTTTCACTTTCAACTTGACTCCTCACAGCGTTATACATCAACTGCAACATACAATACATGAACTTCCTATTGTACTAGCGCATGTAGAAAAATATAAAAGATAATATTATTATTATCATAATTATTAGCTCTTGAGCTTTCGTGGGTTATCCTGTTCAAGCCGACTTAATTTTGATCTGTTATTCTTTTATATATCTGACATGACAATCCCTCATAAGACTTATGGGCAAACACATTGACTGGTTGCAAAAACTATAAAAGAACCCATAATTTTTTTGGGGGGAGGGTAAACTAACCCCCTAATTCATAGCAGACTTTGTAACTACATTCATATAAAAAACAAAGGCCTTTTGGTTTCTTTAAACCCATTCTTTTGTGTCCTGTTTTCTCTTTGGTCTTCGATTCCTAAATATTTAATTTTCACTATTTGTATGGTGTAGCACTTTCTCCTTTACCTGCCCCACTGTACCCTTACCTGAACAGAAAGCAGTTTATAACCATTCATTTTTTTTTTCTTCATCAACCACCTTCCCCTTGAGTAACAAAAAATAAAAGAGATTCAAGGAAAAAAATAGGAAAAGAAAGGGGAAAATCAGAAAAATCAGGAAAATAAGGAAAATAAGGGTAAAATCGGAAGGAAAGAAAAAAAAAATGAGGAAAAAAAAATCAGTAAAGAAAATAAATTATAAAATGGGGGAAAAAAGTTAAAAGTCTGGAAACCAATTTAAATCGGGTAATTATCAGGCCTGAACCATCACTTTCTTGTACCTTTTTATCTTGAACGGTCGCGTAGGGATGGTTGTTGCCCCCCTGGACGTCTTTCACCTTGGCGTAGGATCCATCGTAGTCTGATTCATCGACCCCGCCCTCTGCCCCTTCTGGAGGAGCGGCCGCTTTCTCCATACTAGTAGAGTTTCTGCCAGTTTCTGGAGAAAATGAAACGACTCGATACTCTTACATTTCATGGGAATCAACTTCATTTTATATACTTGACATCAAAGAGGAAATCAAACCCTGTCTAAAAGATAAAGTTGAGTTCTGGTCATGCGATTGTATTGTGAAAGAAACGGTCTGGAATCGATCAGAAAAAGTTGATTATGTAGCATTTAAGTATTGGTGTGTACTGCAAGGTTCTGGAGAAAATGAAAAAGAATCGATACTCATAACATTGCATGGGAATCAACTTCACTTTTAATGTACATGAAATCAAAGAGGAAAGCAAACCCTGTCTTAAATCATCAAAATATGGTTTTATGAAGAGAAGCAAGATGGAATGGAATTGGAATTCTGACCTTTCATTTCAGTTTGAGGGTGGTTTTAATTTAGGATCTTTTATTTTCTCAGGGCATAACCATCAAAGATATTGTCTGTTTGGTTTGGAGCCACAGAAGGATTTTAACTTGTATACTTTAACAAAGTGTGAACACCCTTTCTCTAAAGACAAAACATGCTAGAATACATGAAATACATCATGATTTTGATAAATTACCCCCCCCCCCCTCCAAAAATATATTTTAAAAATGACAATAAACATAAGAGTGATCAGTTTGTTCAACTTCATTTTCATATGAAGCAAATAGTGACAAACAAGGCAACAAACCCTCTGTCTCACCACAACCACTTTGTATGCCTAGAATAACTTAAACCCACATACACATATTTTGACGACATTGCCACGCATGATTATAAAAATAACCACAATCAAATCAAAGTACTCACTATCATTTAAAAAAATGTAAAAGGCACAAAATATTTCAGAAAAACAGCTTTAAATTATTTTTGTAATACATGAAGATAATGCATTGCAAAGCGTGGTTTTGTTTAAATCAATATCCTTCCTACAACCCACTTTGTGGTATGTGGGGTCTGGTGTGAGGATTACATAAACAAAGTAAACAGTTTGGAAAACAGAAGTGTGCCTGTCTATGATGGTTGTTTGCATGCAACAATCCCAGTTTTATAATTGGATGTTAAAGAACACATGTATGATGTCAAAATGTAATTGATATTTATCTGTAGAGGACGGGCATGGTTTTGTTGATTTAATCTTGACTGATAATCAAAGCATATATCTCCATCTGTTCTTTCTCAGCACCTCTCTAAGCATCTCTCTCTCCCCCCCCCCCCCCCCCCCCCCCCCCCCCTTCCTTCCTTCCTTCCTTCCTTCCTTCCTCCTTCCTCCCTCCCTCCCTCCCTCCCTCCCTCCCTCCCTCCCTCCCTCCCTCCCTCCCTCCCTCCCTCCCTCCCTCCCTCCCTCCCTCCCTCCCTCCCTCCCTCCCTCCCTCCCTCCCTCCCTCCCTCCCTCCCTCCCTCCCTCCCTCCCTCCCTCCCTCCCTCCCTCCCTCCCTCCCTCCCTCCGTGCCAGGAACCAATCTAAATTCCTTCAAAATCTTACCTTTCACGCTGGCATAGTCGCCACAGTCCTCTTCCAAGGCTCCCCCAGCCCCTATCGCCCCCACTACCACCCCTCCGTCTTTCCTGGTAACACTAGCCCCGCCCATGGTGTCCTCCACGCTGTTATAGGCGGGGTCATCCTCCGTTGTCGAGGGCAACTTGCGACTCCCTCTCGCCGAACCCGCATTCTTCTTCTTGTCATCCTTGATGGTATCGTACGTCCCGTTGTAGTCGTTCTCCTCATTCTCCGGGATGCCGGGTACCTTGGAGTGCATGGGGGGTAGCTCGGGGAGGCGTCGGTCGATGGTGGAAGCGCGCTTCATGTTGTTCGGGGAGGAGGGTTCGGCGGTGGGGGAGGAGGCTGCACCACCGTTGGGGGATGGAGGCGATTGTTTGATGCTCATGCTCATGGACTGGGTGAGGCTGGCATGGGGGTCACCGTTGGGGGCGCTCTCCTTGACCTCCTCAGTGGTTTGTGGAGACTGTAAGGTGCACAGAAATATGGAATAATGCTCTTTTTAAAATCTAGCAATCAAAAATTTCAGTGAATACATGTACATGTTCATCAGGCCAGGTACAAGAAACTCTTAGTTTCTCGACCACTCTACATGTACTTCCTTTTTTCAGCTTGCCCAGTGGTATTTTGTTTTCTTCTTTCTTCTTTTTTTTTTTTACTGTTACTTTAAATATTTGTCACTGGATATGATACTCGAATATACATTGTAAGATTCTGAGAAATTTAGACAATGAAGATACAAATATATATTTCAATTATGCAGGTTCAACTTGTTTTGAGCCTCAGTGTTGCCTATGTTCTAAACATTGGATTAACAGAGCAATGAGTGTCACAAACATTAACTAGGTTTACCACAATGTAAAGCTGTACGTGACATTGGCACATAACGAGTCAAAATACTCACCACAGTCTCGCCGCCATTTTCCTTCAGTGTGTCTTTGGCTTTGGCTTTGGCTGGAGCTTTCTCACTGCAGGAAAATCAAATAAACAAACTAAAATCAACCAAGTGCATGCTTTGGGAGTGCCAGCATAAGTGTCAAACCATGAACTCAACACGCAAATGAATCATCCACTATAATAATAAAATCAATGATATATCTGACAACATGGTAGAGTATTGTTTAGCTTTTAAAGTGTACATGTACATGTACATACACATGTATGTTTTTTCACCAAGTTTCACATACCGTAGGTTTTGTTTGCACCCATAATGCTCTATCACATAATGTTTATAATGTTCATAATGTTCATTATGTTCATAATATTCTATCATAATGTTCTGTAATATTGTACATGTACATGTACAGTAGGAAACAACATTTGGGGAATATTGAGGGGAAAAAAACAATAAATTAATGCAAGTGATCTGAGGTTGGGGAATGTATTTGGGAGATATTTTGGACAGTACTATTGTTTTCCAATACATGGCAATTTTGTGGGCTATCAGTATTTTCAATATTCCAATTTATGCTTTGTTAATTTGGGCTGCCTTTAATAACATTTGTAAATATTACGTTTACTGTATTTACATTTACATGTACATTCAAATCATTTCATAACATGTATGTATACAGTCAGTGTACAGTGTATGCTAATTCACATCTTGCTGTACACTACATATAAATCTACATTCTTTTGGGGGGGGGGGGGTAAATCATTGAAAACTACTGACCAAGATTTAGTTTCTTCTCATTTAGCAATTAGTCAAATCCTTTGTTGGTTAGTTACTACCTAGAAATTACACCCAAGGGCTGGACGCCCCCGTTTTCACCTGCTCAAGCAAGCAGGTAATCATTTATTAAATACAATGACTAATCGTCTATCTCCACTAAAAACAACCATCGTCAGCTGATCCCATCAGGCAGGGGTGGGATCAGCACCCTCCCATCCCTTCATGGATTAGGGGTTGCTAGGCAACCGTTCCGATGATGCAGTAGCTTTGCCTAACGAATTGGGTTCGTCACGCAGAGCGTTCAAACTTTTAAAGCCACTGGATTCATGAATTCGCTTTTAAAGGTAATGTAATTGGAGTTCGGTAAAGTTTGAAGGATTGGTGATAAAAATTGTACCATAACTTGTACCATAAACTTGTACCATAGTTGTACCCCATTGTACCCACCCCACTTATACCCTCTCCAGAAACTAGGGCGACTTATCATGCAACAAACTGAACCTCCATGGTAGAAAAAAGAAATCAGGAAAGTATTCATACTGATGGAACAAGAACTGCAGGTTGTGAGAGTTTAGAATCATCAAAAGGATAACAAATGGACCATTTTTCGTAAAGTGATCAAATGTACTGCCCAAATATTTGTTAAGTGCCTTGTTACAAATTATTGATTCACCTGTTGCAAATAATTGTATTTCAAAAGTTAGGATGTGAATTGCATACATTCTGTGTTGTTAGGTAGGACAAGCCATAATGTTTGTCCTACCTAGCAACAATTGATGTATGCAATTTGCTCTCTGACTATTGAAATACAATTACTTGTAACGGGTGAATTAAATCATTTTGTAACGAGGTACATGTACTTAAAGGTAAAGACCAGTATTGGAAACGCCCCAACTTCAAAAAATGAAATGGAAGCTCTCATTACCAATCATGTGAAAGAATATGTTTTGACTAATACATGATGATAACAAATTTGCCGGGAAACCGCCTACTAATTCATATATTTGGTAAATTTGTTTCTCTCATGGTCTGTGAGAGATATAGGGTACATCTTTCTGTGTATAGTGCTTGTAACTTTACGAAGAATGGGCCAAATTTCTTATCATTTTGATGATTTCAGAACCTTGCAGATGCTAGATGCTAGATGATCAGCCTTTTCTGATCGATTCCACAACGTTTCTTTCACAATGCAATCGCATGACCATAACTGGTCTTTACCTTTAACAAACATTCCTGAAGATAATTTGATTGCATTACGAAAAATAGCCAATTGACTTGTAATCTGGTTGAAAATAGAAGTGAAAACCAAGTTTCATGCAAATACAATGTATACAGTTACATGTACAGTTCATGTACATATGTAGATACAGGATATAGGACAAGAGCACCAACATGCGTGGTTTAAAAATTTGGTCCAAAGCCAGTATCAATGTGGGATAACAGGATTTCATTCAGAAATTGTTAGCTAGGCCTGAAATATGGGTACAATATTATACCGGTAATTGAATTAGTGATCATAATCTTTAGTCATTAATTGCATGAATGTTTAATTAGGACATATCAGCATCAATGGATGACTACAGTGTATCATTATCAATGGCCCCAATCGGGAATCAAAGTAATCTGTAAAATCATAAATATTACCATCACAACGTACATGTGTATGTCATAATTATAAGCTGGTGGTCTTTATGTACTTTTACTACATTGCAAGGACTTTAATCAAATGTGGGAACACTAAAGGTATGGATGGGGGGAAACTTGTCTTTATTTTGTAGAAGTGGTCAGAATCAACAACAGTGTTTCATTGATAAATTCCCTGCTATTTCCTGCCATTTTGGAACAATTAATAATTGTGAATGATCATAACCTTTTAATGAATTATGATTATTGCATGTAGGTTTTAATTACAATAGGATCAACATCTTACATGTAGCATCAATTGATGGACTACTATCATTATTAATGGCCCCATCAGGGATAATAGTAATTTATGAGATCATAAACATACAATGACCATTAACACATACAGTGTAGGCCTTCATACATTTTAAGCAGGTGGTCTTTATAAACAGGTCCTTTTACTACAAGGCACAGGCTTCAATTACAATACAATGTAATTTCTGCTGCATCCTGCCCTTGTGAAACAATTAATTATTATGAATGAGTGATCATGACCTTTTAATGAATATAATGATTATTGCAGGCAGGTTTTAATTATGATCATTAATATTAATGGCCCCCTAACAATGTTAAGTCTGAGATACACGGCCTTTCGTGTTATCAGTGTTTGTGATATGGTGTAATATTGAAGCCCTAAAAAAATTGCACTTTAAAATGATCAAGAAGTGCCTCGAAAAAGTAAAAATCTTTGAGTGACCAGTTTTACCATACCTCTTTTTCTCCAATGAACTATAGTGTCTATGAAAACCATTTGGCAAACAGTTTTAAAATATTTAATTCCAATCATAAATATCTTGATAATCAGACAGGCGATTGGCTTGTAAAAGTCACAGGGTTCCTCAATGACCTAAAGGTTCATAATTATCATTGCAGCATGAGCTAAATCCAGATTTTTTTTTCAGAATCTGAGACAAATTAAGTTACCGGATCCCTTTAAAGCATACCATGATGGTAGACAGTACATCTTTATTAGCAGGTGGTCATTGTATAGAGATGGTCACTTACATGTAAGTAGGTTTGTCTCAACAGCAGTTAATATTTAATTAATAAATTCTTTGCTACATGTGTGTCCTGCCATTTTGGAACAATTAATAATTCAAATTCAAGTTCAAATTCAATTTTATTTCACATCTCTTTAATAACACATCAAAAGATATACAAACAAATCAGTATAATTGTGAATGAGTGATCATAACCTTTAAATGATCATTGCATGCAGATCTTAATTAGGATGGCTTAGCTTCACAACAATGGTACATAATAGCAGGTGGTCATTATATAGAGATGGTCACTTAAGAAGGTTTGAATCAACAACAGTATTTTGTTGATAAATTCTTTGCTGGAGGTATATTATGTATACATACAGTGTGTGTCCTGCCATTTTGTAACAAGTAATCATTTTGAATGAGCGATCGTAACCTTTTAGTTTTATAATGATCATTGCATGCAGATCTTAATTGGGACGGCTTAGCATCCCAGCAATGTAGGTGACTATATCATTAGCAATGGCCCCCATTGGGGATCATATTAATCTTCGGGATCATAGGCATGACTGTTACCATGTAGGGGGCCCCCTTTAATAACGAACTCACGTGGTGGGGGCTCCACTAAAATCAGCATTAATATTGGAGATGGGGCTGGTTTTGAGGCACAGCTTGACAATATATAGTGGACATGTGCATGCGCATGTAATTTTAGCTTTAACAGTGTAGTGTAGTGAGAGCAGTTTTAACCAAAGTATCCACATTATTTTTTATTGTCTCTTATAACATATGATAATAAGATAATTTGATTAATTTATATAGCGCAGCTACTATATTAATATACTCTAGTGTGTTGTGATGAAAATAAAACTCATAACAGTGCTTTTTTATACAGACACACAATTAAAAATATTATGACAACATTTATAGCAAGCACTGTTTGGAAACATCTGCTATCCAAAGAACACCTTTACTACTGAATGATGTACATGTTACTTACATGTACAAATCAAGCCAATTTCACATACTGTACTCTATTAAAATTCCATTACCTTCAGAAAGGAAGATGGGTTTTTTATGAGCACCCATGAGCTTTCTCAATCTCTGCATTTTGGTTCCAAAGAATACTATAGTGAATATTTTCTTTAGGAAATTGCTCTTTAGACGCACTCACATCTGAACTATGATGAGAAATACATGTGTATAGTTGAAAAGTTTGGACCAAACTTCCATGCCATGTATTAGTGTGTAGTCCCATATACCCATTTGTATGTGCAGTTCAATGGCTTTGGGGAAAGATTGGGACACATTCTTTTCCTTTAATTACCGGTATTCCAAAAATTCCCAAAATACAATCATTCTTATGTGCTACCTTTCTCGATAGACCGGTTTACTATTACCACAAACATAACATATTCAAATTTATAGATGTTTTCTTCCTGGGGAACTTGGGACGAATTATTCCATTAACCCGTTATTGAATTAAGTGAATTAATGAACTACAATACTCGGAATCCAGTCTGCATACTTGTTGCTGTGTCAGGCAAGCCTCATGAAAGCTTTCAGGTTCTCAAAAACAACCTTTGTTTAATAAATATGCATACAATTTGAATATGTTAATATATCAAGTACCAGTCTATTGCTTCCAGAGAGTTTCTTAGGTGCACAATCTAACTACAAGTACCTGTACATGTACGTCATCAGTACTCATCTCTTTGACCCATAGAAACAAAAAACTTACTCTTTGGTTTTTTCTCCGCAAGCACAGAGCGCTAGCACCATCAGAAGACACAAACCTGATGCAAAAATAATGAAGATGGTTGCCGGGGGCCCCAGATGACTGAATTCTGTACCCTTTGATGAATCTGGTGAAGACAAATAATGGATAAAGAAAAGGTTGCTTTATGAATAATAAAAAGAAAAATTCAGAGAACAGGAAAGAAGGAATTAATAATTGATTTCTCAATAAAGGGCTCCATACAAAACAATGTTTTCCCCACGGGAGGCTGCAATAGAATTTGTAGAGTCAATGGTCTGTGTGTGCATGTGAACCACTTTTAAATTTCAAAGTTTCGCTGGATGTGGATGGACGTTTAAAAAATGGGGCCCAAGTGTAAAGAATCACCTATTTATACAAAGCCCGACTACCGGCATAAGAACAATAATAATAATATATTGTTATGTCTAGAAAAGGAATATAAATGTTTGCATCAAGATATGAACTTGTAGCAAATTAAGGCACATATTTACATGTAAAAAACACTGGTAAAATTAGGAGAGGGTACAGGTGAGTTTCTCTCATAATCACCTTAAATTTACTTTATGGACGCATGAGAGTTAGATATTTCAAGTTAAAAGAAAAAATTGACAACGTCTGATTTTTGTAAATTTGAAAAAAGGGGACATTTCTTTTGATTCTTTTGAAAGAACAAATATTTTGTGAAAAAGGGTCATATTCAAAATACGCTTATTTATCTTTACCTGTTTTGTTTTTCAACTACAGATCGATCAATCGATCTAATACTGGGTGCTTGAATACCTCTTTTTTGTTGTTGTTTTTTGCACAAAGGAACCATAATGTGTGGGAAACATTCATGAAATATATAGGAAGCATATTTGTAATAATGGCTAATACTAACAACCCTACATGTACATCACACTTTTTTGTATGAATCCCCCTCCTCCCCCTCCTTCCTCTCCCCTCCCACCCCCCCCCCCCCCCCCATTTACACAAAAATGGCACACAAAGGACATGGGGCCTGAGGCAAGGGTTCATTCTCTGTTCTGCCATTAAAAATGATTTCAGAACAGAATACATTTAAGTGTGTTTACTGTGTGTCAATAAGAAATGATACCATGTTCACTGTCAATTTGCAGTGCATAGCCTTATAATTTTAATGTACATACATGTACATACATTTACAGGGGTGGATACATGTATGTTCTTTAAAAAGCAAACAATGAAATGTTGACACATTTTATTTATTTAACTTGCGTGAATTTATCTATTCATGCTTCCTCTTGCAGTTTGTTATTAATATTTAGGGAAAATCCCTTCACTCTACAAACATCATATAAAGGTGATAACTCTAGGAGTACAATGTCAATGTCTAAACATACATGTAACGTACATGACATGCTTTGTTCATTTACAGGCCGTCTTTTGTGGCCTGGAAACAGGCCAGCTAAAATTAAGTTTCCCACACTTTGATTCCCATTTTGTACAATGAAGAAGTACAATAAAAGAAATATACATTTTTAAAGATATGTTTTTATAGAACCTTTCGAACCAGTGTGAAAATACTCTTTTTCCAAGAACTAGCTCTTGATTTGCCATCTAAAAATTAGATCTCCTACAAATTTACCGCTAAAATAAAAAATTTAAACCATCAGGCCTAGAAATTGGATTGTTTTAAAGTAGGACTGAAGTAACAATGTCGTAAAAGACCTGATTTTCAAGATTAAAATTCATTAACCCTTTCGCATGATAACTTTTGTTTCACATCCCTAGAAAAAAATGCCAGAAGCAAGAGTATCTATAGAAAGGGCAACAATTCTTCACGTACTGCATGTACATTTTCATTTCATGACTACATTGCTTTCGATGCCAGGAAGTTTGCAGCTTTATATTTGATAGGGATATTTGATAGGGATAGTTGAGTTCTTGTTCCAGTCCGCAAATGCCTACAAAGCTCTTATTTTTATTTATATACCTCATTTTAATATTCTTTACTAATCCTGTCTTCTGATTGGTTGAAAATGCAGTCATGTTCTTAACCATGCCCGCTAATTGAAATTCATAGTCATTTTTCCCGGCTCTACCGGTTTATATCCATTTTTCATAGCACTTTTTCCATGGCTGTGAAACGTGACGTCATTTTGCTGCGATCCCCATTTTGGTTTACGTGTTACCGTATAAGTTTCTTTTGTGCGATGACCGATGACAAGTAGACTAGACGCACAGTCTGTGTAAATATGTTGCGAATTTGTGAATTTATAAAGTTACTGTTCATGTTCTACTGTTCTACTGGAGCACAGCTTGTTGGTGATATCATCCTGTACAAAAGTTACTGTTCGTGTAAACGTGTTTGGTATTCCCTGTTCTACTGGAGCACAGCTTGTTGGATTTCATACTGTACACAAGTTATTGTTGGTGTTAATATTCATGACTTCAAAGAGATGGAAACCTAAATGGGTGAGTCAACATTTTCCTTTTTTTCGGTATATAAAATATATATTGACTGCTTTTAATATTCGAGGCATAGTTGTTTCTATAGGGTCTCGGGAAACTCACAACCTGCAATGACCCCGCGGCGCAAGCGCCTTGGGGTCATAGCAGGTTGTGAGTTTCCCTTGACCCTATAGAAACCACTATGCCTCTCAAAGCAGTCAATATATCCTTATTATGACCTTTCACTATGCCCTTTTAGGACCTTAAGTTGCTATGAAGGTAATTTTAGACCCCAAAGAGTGTGAAATTTAGCCCCCCCCCCCCCGCCCCCTCCACTCAGTGTTATTTAGGGTACATGTACGTGTATGCATGTTCCCTCCGTTTGAAAGCACCCCCCTAAGTCTGGTGTGTAAAGCAATACAGGTCGATTTTCGTGTGTATTACGAGCCAGACTTTGTTGCGTGAAAAATAGCTCTTTACCAGGGATTTTGGGAACAAGAATGCGGTCCCTTCATTCCCGGACTGGGGGTGGGGGGGGGGGGGCCAGGGATATTGCCTATACGATCATACTAATTCAGCTCCACTTTTAAAAAAACACAGCTACCGGGGCCGGCTGGTTGAGCGCATTATAACCAACACAAAAAAGCAATCAATAAGCCAACATCAGCATTAGCTGGAATAAAATGTATTTACATGTACTTTTCAAAGGCTGGTTCAAATTATTGAATATTTGTCGGATCCAGAAATATTAGAAATCGTTATATTTATATATATCAGCCGTCTCGGATCCCATTTTGATCAAACAAAGATGATTTTGTCATGTTAGGCCAAATTTAAAAAAAACATGTTTAGCGTCCTACTTTTTTAAAAATGGGAAGGAGGAGGCCCTTTTTGTGTTTTTTTCAAAATGGCCGCTCAAAATGGCCACTCGGTACTTTTTCTCAGACAGACGGGCTATATTTCAAGATTCTTTCAAATTTGACACTCAGTTTTTCATTATCTCACAACAAAATTATTTTGTGTGGCGCCCTCTGCAACAAAACTCAAAAGCGCGAAAAATTAATCGCGCGAAAATAACAGCGTTTACAGATCTACGTGTGCATGTACAATGTATGTACATACATGTACATGTACGATGTATGCATCGTACATCTACATGTAATATACATTGTACATGTAGTGATATGTCGTTCATCTACAACTCTACATACAACATGCATGTAATGTTCATCTACATTAGGCCTAAAATAAAAGCTTGTTGCATTGCCCTTTGGGTGCCAAAACATGGGTCGGTCGGTCGGAAAAGTTTTTATTTTTTAAAACTTTTCTTTTGTCGCCCTCTTTGGGCCGATATTTTTCAGATTTGAATGTTTTTCGTTTCTCCTTTTTTTCCAACTCTCTTTTGGCTGATATTTTTCAGTTTTTAATGCTTTAATACATGTGTTTCAACTTCATCATTTCATTGATATCTTTTTTCACCTCATGATCATCCATGGTTTGCACGAGTGAGAATTTTGGAATAATTTGATTTTATGCAATTTATATCCCATTTAAAGGGATCGTTTAACAATGTTAAATCTGAGATACACGGTCCTACATGTTATCAGTGTCTGTGATATGGTGTAACATTGAAGCCCTAAAAAAATCGCGCTTCAAAATGATCAAGAAGTGCCTCAAAAAAGTAAAAATCTTTGAGTGACCGGTTATACCATACTCGTTTTCCCCAATAGACTGTAGTGTTATGAAAACCGTCAGGCGAACGGTTTTCAAAATTTGTAATTCCAATCATAAATATCTTGATAATCAGACAGGCGATCGGCTTGTAAAAGTCATGGGGTTCCTGACTGACCTAAAGGTTTATAATTATCATTGCATTATGAGCTAAATCCAGAATTTTATTTCAGAATCTGAGACAAAGTTACCGGATCCCTTTAAACAAACAAAATATTCATTAATAATAAAAAAAAATCTAAAAAACGGTTTAAAAAAAAAAAACTTTTAAAAAATGCCGACCGTAGATTTTCAGATTTTTGGGTCGGTCGCAAAGGGCAATGCAACAAGTTTTTATTTTAGGCCTTAGGCTTAATCTACATACATACCAGTAGGGCTAATTGAGACCGGTAAACAAACAATACTACTTTGTTATCCTAGTAATTATGAGTCAGTCCGTGTTTGTTTGCCAAGTCCATGCATGCAGGGGTATATTGACTGGAGGAGGGCATGTTTACATGCTACTCAGGTTGATATATATTCCCTTATTATAAAACCTACTGCAGCTGGCTCCTAAAAGTATAAGGTGGACTATATAATATGTGCACATATAATTGCATGTTAACCTGGTTTAATGTACATATTTACTGTATGGTAGTTATGTATCACTTCCGATTCTTCTCCTTTTGCATGCAGCCTATCACAAAGATGTCTGTAGAAAGATTACCAGTTTTGTATGCAGGCACACTAAACCCTAGTACCTCTTTGCAAGAAGTATAGAGGATTGCATGCATAGGGTGTGACTCTCCTACAGTATACATGTACAAGAGGCCTCCAATTAACGTTCTGTACAAATTTATGCAAATCTGTGACAAATATATATATAAATGCATCCAGTTATGAATGAAAGTGAGAAATTGATTTCATGATGAATGATTTTTCTTGTTCATTTTACAAAATTATAAATTTGATGGGAAGAACTTA